TTTTGTTTCCCTTCATCTTCTCTCTTTAATTTTTCATATACATATCACTGTTCTTGTTATTTTTTTGTTCCCTTTCTTTCTTTCTTTCTTTTTTTTTTTTTTTTCAGCTTTTCTTTCGTCATTGTATTAATACTTTTCATACACCATTTCATATACTATAACACTTAATAATTCACATCTTGCATTATCATCACTATGTCCAGTTTAGAACAACAGCCTATAATGAATACTAGTTATCTGGCTCAACTGGCCCCCCAAGTACCTCTGGCACTGGCTCAACTGGCAGCACAAGCAGCACCAAATCAACAACAGATTTCAAGCCAACAACCAACTCAAGTTAATTCTACTCAGCAACAGACCCAGCAAGCTACTCAACAACCCTATGTTGTTCAGCAACCTCAACGATCCTCTTCAACCTTGCCTCAAACCAGTCAACAACAACCTCCAAATCAACTGCAACAGCCATATCAACAATTCCCCCAAAATTATTACCCAGATCAATACCAACAATATCAACAATTATTAAATGGAGCCAATACTTCTAATCAATCATATTATTATATGAATCAACAACAACAACAACAACAACCTCAACAACAACCTCAACCTCAACAACCACAACATCAATCAACAAACGCTCCGCAATACCCATATGGTGCAGCTCCTTATAATTATTCGTTATATCAACAATCAATTCCTCAAAGTCAAATCTCTCAACCTCAACCTCAACATTATAATCAACTACCAACTGGTTCTTCGAATCCTGCTGCTGCTGCTACCGCTGTTGCTGCTTCTGCTCCAACAACTGCTCCAACAACTGCTAATACCAATTATACTGCTTCTACTCCAATTCAAACTGATACTTTAAATACTGCCAATACTTCTACTGTTGGTCAATATCAACCTCCAGGTATTAGACCAAGAGTTACTACTACCATGTGGGAAGATGAAAAAACTTTATGTTATCAAGTTGATGCCAATAATGTTTCCGTGGTTAGAAGAGCCGATAATAATATGATTAATGGTACTAAATTATTAAATGTTGCTCAAATGACTAGAGGTCGTCGTGACGGAATTTTAAAACTGGAAAAAGTTCGTCATGTGGTTAAAATTGGCTCAATGCATTTGAAAGGAGTGTGGATTCCTTTTGAAAGAGCCTTGGCAATGGCTCAACGTGAAGGAATTGTTGATTTATTATATCCTTTATTTGTTAGAGATATTAAAAGAGTTATACAAACGGGAGTTACCCCAGCTGCTTCTGCCGCAGCAAATTCAAATCAATTAAAACAATCAACTCCAATCACCCAAGCAGCAACTGCTAATCTTCTGAATAACGGTACTCCTGCCACCACTAATCCAAATCCAAACGTGGCAGCTGCTCAATTATCTAGTTATTATCAACAATACTCTTATCCAAATGGTGCTGCATCTACTAATACTAATCAAAATAATTCTACTGCCGCAGGTGGTTCAGCTAATACTCCTTTAAGTACTCATGCTACAAAACAATCCCCTATAGATTCAAGACCTCAACAATCTTCTCCAACTACCACCACTGGTAATCTTCAACAACTTCCTCAACAAGCTCCAAATGCTCCTCAACCAACTCCAGGTGCTCCTCAATATCAATATCAACAACCTTATTATCCAAACCAGTACTACCAGCCTTATCCAAATAATAACTACTCTTCGTATGGTGGTCAACCAGTCTACCCTGGTTATCAATACTTAAACCAAAATTTACCGCAACCTCCTCCTCCAAAATCTGAAGATGGCAAAAAAAAATAATCAATTTCAATAAAACCATTAAGCCTCTTTGTTTCTTTTATCAACCTTGCTTATTTTCGTTTAAAAGTCTTTTATTATTACTACTACTATTATCTTTTCTTTTTGTTGCCTAATTATTAGCCCCCCCTTTTTTTTTACCCTATTTTATTATAAAATTTTATTCTACGTGTATGAATTGTGTTATTCTATATTTTTGTCAATAGTAACTTAATCTTTTTCTTTCCAATATAGTTATGAGTAATCTTACCATTGATCTTGTAAGCAAGTCTAATGGAGTTTTGTTAATTACTTCATTTGTCTTTGATTGGCAGTTCACGCACGCCGTACCTGCGCCAATGCGAAACAAAAAAAACTCTAACAAAAAGAAAAAAAGACGGTTTCCTTGTTTAACCCAATTGTTTCCAAAGAGTGTTATTGTTAGAGATATAACAGCAAAGATTCAGTATGCTCGAGTCGAGGTACAACACGAGAGGGGATAGAATAATAATCGGAGTAGCCGGAGTAGTCAGAATAGCTTGTGGTAATCTTCTCGTGAGGAAATGTTGAAGTTGAAAAAGACAAAAAAAAAAAATAAACTAGTTTTAAAACCTAAAAGCATGCATGGAATCTTTAGCACATCTCGTTTAGTCCTTTCGAGTCGATGACCATTAAGATTATCACTGAATGCATTTCGTTTCGTATTCACAGAAGTTGTTTTTTAACGCTAATGGTTGACGTGGGAATATGCTGGTTTCTTGTTATTATGTACAGGAGACTGGGTAGGTAGAGTAACTACAAGAGAGCATTCAAATTACAATGCAGACAGTAAGATTTACTTGTAATATTGTATATTCAACATAAGAGATAGCCAGCGAGTTAAGGAAAATGGGCTTTTCGTTTTTTTCAATCAGTTTTAGAAGTTTCGTTTGAAGGAGTCAAGTCATTGTAAGATTTTTGTAATCCTTCAACTTGTTTTTTAAACGTTTTAATATCAATTTCCTTTTGTTTAATTAATTCTTTATATTTAGCAATTTCTTCTTCATTACTAGCAAATTCTCCTTCGTTTATTTGACTTAAATTACGATATTCAATTTCCTTTTTAACCAATTTCTTAATAATAGTAATCATGGTATAAATTGATAAGGTCAAGTATAATACTGCTCCATTCAAGTATAAATTTCTTTGGGTGTAAAATTTAGTAGCCAATTGATCATAAGTTAAATTACCTTGACTGGCAACTGCATTAAAATTAGTAAAATAGGGTGAATTGAATCCATATCTACCTAATCTTTGTACGCAGTCGATGAATGACAACCCTAATAGCGACACACTAAACACTATCCCAACTTTAACATTGGTTGAGTTCCCTAATAGATCATATATTTCAACAATTTTGGTTCTAACGCTTAATGGCAATGGAAGTAATAAAAGAACTAATATCCCCATTTGGCCAATTAAGGCCCCGAAAACTAATGACATTTGAAGACTCATCTTGCTCTAATCAATACTTTTGGATTATCTAATACTACTTGAAAGGAAGAGTTAATGCCAATTGATCCTTGCCGTTTAAAGATTAGCTGGTCCTTTCTTTCCAGCAAAAAAAGTATCATTAGAATTTCAGGATCAGTTTTTGGTCGACGCACGAGCGGTGTTTCTTTAAGCCGCAAAAAAATCCTTTGCAACCTTTTTACAATGCAAAAGTGTTCATTGATTTAAGAGTATCCATTGAATTATTAATCTATAAACCGTAAACTCTCTTTGCGTAGTAGTAAGCAAAGACACTGAATAAAAACATGCAAAAAACAATTGAGAAAAACCAGGCTAATCCCTCATAATCTTGGCCAGGAACAATACAATTCATACCCCATAAACCAGTAACAACATTGATTGGTAATACTATGGTACCGAGAATGGTGATTTTACCTAAAACGTCATTGGTGTCATTGTTGACTTTAGTCATGTCAATGTTGATTTGTGCCAAATAGTTAGAATGGAATCTAGCCAACAATTTTTCGTAATGATTTAAGGATTGTACCATGGTAACAATATGATCTTGAATATCTCCCAAATACATCCCAATATCGGACTTGGGTTGAAGGCCATTGGAGCTTCTATTGATATAAGCACCATTTGAGTTCCAAAGAGTAGTAGCCTCTAATTGCTCTGAGAATCGTTTACTGAAACCTTTAATCACATCAGCTTTGGATCCTAATAACCTTAATACCGACATTACTCTTTTACGACATTCACCAATACGTCTTAACATATCTCCTTTACGTTTCCAACCTAGAATCTTGGAAGAAGTAGACTTTGTTGAGGAGGATTTAGATGATTTCTTGGATTTACGAGACGTAACCGATGAACCACTACGTCCAGGTTTACCCAATCTAGGAGTATTAAAATTTCCATCAACTGTGGATTTGGATCTTTTACGTCTATAAAAAATATGATCCGAATTGTGACGAACCTTATTACGTTTTTCTTGATATTCATCATCACTTTCTTCTTCTTCACTATCACTTTCTTCTTCACTATCAGTGTCTCCAGAGTGCATTTTCAAAATAGCATCTTCTATTTGATTAACTTCCTCCTCAATACTTTCAATCATTGGTGCAAAAGAATCAGTGATATCATCAATTAATGCATAACATATCCAATCAGATGATACTGTGAGATAATCCTTTAATAATCTAGCTCTTCTTCTGACATTGATTGGATGAGGAGTCGCAGAAAAATGAAACGTAATCACAGCATCTCTGAAAACAATCATATACATATTGAGCGGTGATAATTCTCCTTCTCTGATTTTCTTAGTCTTGGTCCTTGTTGATGAACTACTCTTGGATCTATTATTCGAGCTACCGTGATAATCATGTGAGACATTCGACTTGTAGTTATCTCGGGATCTCCATAATAATCTCGAAAACGTCGACCAAATCTTTGATTTACGTTCATTCCCACCAAATACACTTTCATGTCCACTTGCCCCTGAATTATCCAATCTATCATACATTTCTTGTAACTTATTGAATTTTTTCTCCTGTTCTTTTGCTCTTTGTTTACGTCTTTCATAAACGATATCAAAAGAAGTGAAACAAATAAAGTAGTAAGATTTGAATAATTCTACTTTCTCACGAGCTTCTCCAAGAAATATATCTTCGGTGGTTAACGGATGGATACCGAATGTCTTTGAAAGTACTTTCATTTCTTCCTCTGTTGGATCAAGGACATCTAACCAAAATGGATTTACATTGATGTCGTTGGAATTAGAAGCTACTAGAGATCCAGTGGCGGTAGCTGTGCCAGGGACGCCAGGTGCTGCAAGACTTATATTTTTGTTCTCCATAGCAGTACCTTGTTTTTGGTTGCTAACACGAGAGGCGTTATTCAAACCTGTTAAAGAGTTTATTCTATTGGAGGACACGTTATTATTATTGAAGGACGTTGATGCTTCTCCTAAAGGATTCGAAGAGTCTGCTGCCTGAGCGGTGTCATTTAAATCACTTGCAGGAATTGGAACAGGTGTTCCATCTTTCACTGATTCACTAGCTGATGAGAACCCATTTTTCTGAGAGTAAAAGGATGGCATGAATAAATCTTTTAACGTTAGGTTTGTTTCTTCTAAAATATCATCATTTTGAGCATTAAGGCCATCCCCCCATTTCTTTTGGAGTGAAACTGAACCATCTTGAAATTTATTGCTACCGTCTTTTGCTAAAAGACCACTAATGGTTGGTGAATGAATCGTTTTTTGTAAGTCTTCCCGGAAATAGGTGAAGCGGCATAAGCTTGAATCAACCTGTGGTTTTTGGGGAGATTTATCAGCGTGTTGATGTTTGTGTTGGTTAGGAGTCTGATATTGACTATTACTTAAAATAGTTTGTACATGTTCTTTTGACTTTTCCCAAGGTTGAATAGGTTGAGGTCTAATTCTAAAAGAGTTGTTAGTTGTCTCAAGTGATTCAACTTCATTAACCTGGGTATTATTAAGTAAGGGAGTATCTTCACGAGATACATAATCTTGTTCATTGGCCAACAGGGAAGGCGAATGGGATTCATCACGCAGAAATGGTGATCTTGGTTCATCGTTACTGCCACTGTGAACTGTATGAGCCAAAGGGTAATGGAAATTCACATTCTGTTGATCTCTTTCATGATTACTTTCGTTGTGATCATCGCCATACTCCTCTAATTCTTGATTAACAAATTCTTGCATAACTTGTAAATCTGGCCAGCGATAATTGGATTGTTTATTACCTTCAGAGTCCATTTCATGATCGTAATAATCGGGGAAACAAACATCATCTAAAGATGTTGAATCACTTGAATGATCCGAAGATGGATTTGAACCACCAAACTCCAATGAATTAATCGAAAGTAAATCTTCATTGCTGCCATTATAGCTTTGACCATCATGGAAAGGTTCGTGCCAGGTTTGATTAGAAGCAAGATTACGCTGTTCCTTAGTGTATTGATCCATATCTAATAAAACCGAGCCATATGCAGAACGTTCAGCCCGATTACTATTATACCGATAAGGAAGATCGTTCCCGTTGCTTTGAGAAAGTAATCCTTGAAGATTTTGGTTGGTTAATGGAAGACTTGCCCTTTTCTCATAGATGGCTTGTCTTGCGGAATTATTACCAACATTTGAACTGGAAACTGCTGATCTTTTATTTCTAGGAATATTTGAATCTGTATTGAAAGCTTTGGGTATCTGATGATTAGTGTTATGCATAGCCGTTTGTCCTTGATTATGAGAATGGAAGTTTTGCAGAGAGTTTCGACGTCTTGATCTTGCGGGAGAAGAATGGATATGAGCCAAATCATCATGCATTCGATGATCGATATAAGCAGAAAGATTAATACCTGAATTGGAATGGTTCACTCCCGAGTGATTTGAACCAGATGGATTCAACCGATTATTCTCAAGTAATGGGAATGACGATGACGATTGGTTATTAGGAGACTCTACCGAGTTTGCTCCAACCCCAACTGGTGCAAAGGAGCCATTCCCTTGCAGACCAAATTCTCGTCTTGGTCTTGATCTATTCTTTGATTTGCCTTTATTCTTACCCATTTTCTATTATCAGTTTGATTTGGGCTTTAGGCTAAAACGATTTGAGCAGCAAATACAAGTTATTATCAACAAAAGTTTTCAAAACGAAGGAGAATTCCGTGATTATTAAATTAGTTGTTCACTTCATTGCTATTCGTATCTTTTTTTTTTGTTGTTTCATTTGATTCCATCTGACACCCGTGCACCCACCGTAAAATTGCAAAAAAACCGAAATTTCGAAAAGCTTTAGGGTCATTTCAATTTCAAATAGCCTGATATTGCAACAGTCACCAGGAAGCAGAAGGAGCTGTTGGTAATATCGCGATTTTTGCAACTGGTTTGGGTGGGAGGTGGCTTTGCAAATGGTGTAATGAGACCTGGAGGATATAAATAGAAGAAGGCTGAAAAAGGACCCTTTCCTTCTGGTATGACCAATCAAGTCAGTGAAACTACAGAAAAATATAATTCAATTGATATCGTATATAATTGTATTTATTCACGGTTTTACTCTTCTTCTGATTCTGATTCCGGTTCTGCTTCAGCTTTGTTGTTGAGGTTATTGGGCTTAGCTTCAGTGACGTCTTCAAATTCGTCATCGTCGTTTTCCTCCTCTTCACTTTCTGCCGGTTTCTTTTCGGTTTTTGGCTTTTTGGTAGGGGGCTCGATTGTCCCACTGCTTGCTCCAAGTCCGTTAAACCTATCCAAGGCATCTTGGATATTTGATTGGTTTTCCACCAACTTAAGCCACGAGTCCTCTGTTAGTGATATCCCCTTTTTCCCAGGTTTTTTCTCCTTGGTATCCTTATCAAAGTAGAATTCTCGTATGTCCACCAAATTGATCCCATTGAACTGTCTGACCGTTACTTGCTTCTTCTTATCTAATTCTATCACCACGTCTTTGCCTCCCGTGGACGTCACGGCTGCCCCACTTCTGCCCGTGGATGCATTGGATGCTCCTCCCCGTTTATAAAACTTTCTGTATGCCATGATTCTTCAATTGACCAGTGAATGCTGAATATATTGGGGAAAAGAAGAAGAAAGGAAGACTTTTGGGCCAGTTGTTTTTTGATGGCGCACGCGTAAAACTGCAAAAGAAAATTGAAAAACTTCAATGATTATAGGATGGTACAAGGGTTGATGTAAATAACTTTACTTTGTTTTATTTAAATATATATGAAAGCCAAAGGGGTTCTTCTTTTATAAAAAAAAAATCAAAAAAAAAAAAATCAAAAAAATATATAACAGTCTAAAAAAGTCTAAAAAGGATAATCAATGGTTTATACCACTAGGCCAGGTTTCGTTCAAATGATGACCTAGCATTCGATGTACTTTTTCTTCCAAAGGAGTATCTTTATCATTGACGCCATCTTCGTTCAATTTAACTTGCCAGTAACAATTAATTGCAACATTGAGTTCTTCCACACTAGAAACACCCAAAACAATTGAAACTTTTTTATTCCATCTCAAATAACCGGGTCTTTCAGAGTCTTTTTTACCGAAACTTAAACCAAATAGCCAGTGTCTTAAGGCAAAGCGAGTGGATAAGTCGGCTAATTCAACTTGGTCTTCTTTTATTAAAGTTTGGGCAATATTTGAAATGCAATTTTTCAAATCTGGGGATGCAGGGTGGAAATCGTGAGTAACTTGGGATCTTAATAGAGACATACTCAAAATTGATCCATTGAGTAATTTTTGAAGTCCACATTCATTTAAGAATTTATCATGGTATTCAAATAGTTTAGTATTTTGAATACATCCATTACTATAGGACATTACTACGTCTAATGATCCAATATCATCTTGATGTGAATCATGACAATTTTTAGCAATCTTATATAAAAATTCAACCGGATATCCAGAAATCCCAATGTTTTTAATTATACCTTCCCTTTTCATCAATGATAATTCTTTTAGTGCTTCATAAATTTCATCTTCCTTAACAAATTCAATATCATGCATATACACTAAATCAAGATATTTAGTATTCAATCGACTTAACGATCTTTCAACAGATTTCCTAACAGCATCCCTTGAATAATCAAATTCGTTTAATTTAATTCTACCAGCCTTAGTACAAATAAAATACAGTTCTCTATTCCATTTACTTTTCAATTCAAATAAGGCTTTCCCAAGTAATTCTTCGGATGCTCCATAATATGGCGAGGTGTCAATGGCAATTAATCCACTTCTGAACGCTTGAGAAACAATCTCCTTCACCGGTAACTTATATGGATCTGATGCATATTGAGTATTGAAAACCGCTCCTCCAACTATTAGTGGTGGTAGATACTTGATCGAGTATGGTTGAGGCGCACTGGTTGGTCCAATTGGTTTGATAATTGACATCTCGGTTGTTTCAGTGGGTTCTTCTAAGCTTGCTGTTCGGTCTCTCCTCCTCGATTTCGAATCGTTTCTAGTTAAACTCGTATCAAAGACTAGCCTATGTCCTCCCCAATTCTTTTTCTTTTGATTTTTGTTTGGTCGTTTGGCCAAAAAAAAAAATTTTGGTGAGAACTGCGAGAAAATCCGATTGCCTAACAATTTTCCCCTATACTTTTCCATTGGATTAGCACTGGACCACCTGAAGACTCGATCAAGTAGGTGAAGCAGGAGGTGGGTCAAGCAGGTCAGTGGATCACGTAGAACTTACAGGATTGGGTTAACTCTAGATATACATTGTAGAAAAAAAAAAAGAAGTAGAAACACAAGATTTGAAATGAATAATTGAAAAGATGCAAATTAGAAACTAAATAAGAAGAATTAAAAGATATGATCACCTTCAACAAGGTAATTGCCGGGGACAAGACCAAACATACCCACACGATCATTAGAATTTTTGCCTAATTCCACTGCAAACCAACCATCATCTTGTTTATGAACAATGTACATGTACCAACCTTTTTTAAAGGATAATTCATTATGATTTTGAGCTTTGAAAGAATATCTTGCCTTTGCCTTAGCAATATAAGGTTGACGAGTGATTGGAGTGGATTTTTCAACGGTATCATCAGCTAACATTGAATGAAGATCAGTGAAAGATTTAGAAGCTTTGTGAAAGATTGAAGAAGGAGCCTTTTTAGGAGACATTAAATGTTGTTGTTGGTTTGGAGAAGGCATTGGTTTATTAACAATTGTAGTACCAATCAGATCTTCGTTATATAAGTCATCATTTAAAACTGGCTCCAACATTGATTTTGGTCTTATTCTCTTAGGAGGACCGGATCTGGAAGTAGGAATATTTTTATTTGATTTTGGAGATGAATTTATATGAATAGGAGAAGCAAAACTTATTGAATCATATCTCGTAGCCACTTCTGTTGAATCATCGATGAAATCCGAAGCCGGTTTGAAAGGACTATTTGGGATTGAATTTGATTTCCTGTATTCTTCATCTCTAATTCTATCTTCTTCTTCCTTTTTAGCTCTTCTTACTGATTTTCTATATTTAGTCATATCACCATCACCACCAGCACTTATATCTTCCAAAGCTTTTGCAATGAAATCAAAAGAAAAATCTTTTGAAATTGGAACGGCAGGTTTATTGCTTGGTTGATTTAAAACATTTAAGTTTTTATTATAAGAAGTACCTTCTTTTGACTTTAAATTAATTTGTTCTTGAAATTGATGTAATTGTTTACCTTTACGAGGACTAGCCCAATTTCTTTCTTGACTTGAGCCACTATCTGAATATCTAGTTGGATTTGAAGAATTAGAGGATCCATTTGAATTTTTAAAGTTATTTTCTTTAATTGAAAAAACATCTTGATTATCATCAAAATTACTATATTGTGAACCATCAGTGGGGGCTCTCCTACGGATTTGCAGAGGAGAGGTTAAATGAAGGTTACTATTGGTTTTCCTATGAAGAAGATGTTGTTGATTATAATTATAATTTGTTGGACTTGGAGGAGGTAAATCGACCTTATTATTTTGTAAAGCATTTGAGCCAAATGGTGGAGTTTGTAAAGGATGGGAAGATCTTGGAGTTGTTGGATGATGAGTTAGCGGAGAAGAATTTGATTGAACGGGAGACAATTGATCAATTGTTTGAATTTGAGTGGCTTGACTCGAGGGAGAAGATATTGAAGGAGGTAACGTTTCCGGAGATGGTTTAGTCACTGTTGGAATTGGAGGTATTTGATATTGTTGTTGTTGTTGTTGTTGTTGTTGTTGTTGTTGGGGAGATTGATTAATATGAGACATGTTTGAATGGGTTGAATAAGTTCTTGCTAAGACCCTGGTATAATCAGGGGTTTCGAATTCGGCCAATTGATAATTTTTTTCATTAGAAGAATCATCATAGCCTGACATATAATCGATGAATTTAGGAGATTGATAAATTTTATTACCGGTACCATAAATTTCAGCAAAATCCTGTAAATCTTTTGGAGGGTTAATGATGGCAAAACTAGATCTTGCTTTATCGACTGAATTATCGTTATCAACACATAAAGTAGCAATATTATTACAAAAATTAAAACAATTCATTTTACATAATTGAATTCTTTCAATTTCCAATTGATAGAAATTTTGTAAAGAGATTGACCAATCTCGTATCCAAATTTCATTATATTCTTTATATTTGTCAATGGCGGCTTGATAATTCAATTGATTATTGATTGAATTGGATTTTAATTTTGATAATTTCATTTCATATTTTTCTAATTCTTTACCCCAGGTAGTTTGACAAGCTAAAGAACAGGATTTAATTTGACCACATTCGTCTTGATATTTTGTTCTTAATATTTCCAAGTTTTTCAAAGAATCATTTCTTTTATTTAAAACTTTTATCATATGATGTTCTATTTTGCCAACTTCTTTTGAGTAAACTTGGGCAAAATGATTAAGAGAATCGTAATTTATTTGGTTAATTGATTTAATCAATTTCCCGTTATATTTCAACATTGAATTATTTTCACATTGTAATTGATCTAAAGCTATTTTCAAGCTTCCGGTTTCATTTGAGCCTAAGTATATTTTATTATTAAGTTTTTCAATTTTTTTATTATACTCTTTTTCAATGTTAATTCTTTCAAGATAGTAATCCAACAATTCTTGCATGGTATTAATTGAATGTTTAATTTTAGTTTGAATAATATTAAACCCAGCATCTTTTGACCCCCAAAAATTATTAACAAATGTTATTTCATTTGGACCAAACTGTCCATTTCTCGACATGGTTAATTAGTGAAAGAAGAAAAGAAGAAGTAGAGAAAAAAATTAAAGGATTGAAGTACGTTAAATAATGTTATGGTAACCAAAAAAATCGTAATCACAACCACCCAGCAAAATTTAACGAATTAATACCGTCAAGAAACAAAAAATTATTAAGATTTCAAAAATTGCCTTAAGAAGAAGAAGTAGTTGGAATATCTTACTTTAATCTTATTGAAAGAAGATTATATTGAAAAGATACTTTTCTGTTTATCAAAAGTACTAAAGGGGTAATGTTATTAAACAGAAGTTCCAGCTTAAACAGAAGCTTTTAGAAAAACAACAAAGTGTTTTACTTTTAAATTGGCTGCTGATTGTTCTGGACGCATTCGAAACAAGAGCCCGAAACACAATCCGATCACTGACGAAGTATTTATCAAAACACTGTTCAATCAACCTCTGCTTCACTCGTTTAAGTAGTTGATGATGTTGAAATTTTTGCAGTTTCTCGATTCGGCCAATTTGTCAACAAAACCTCTGGTGCACGGGTGCGGGTCTGCAAGCACTCAATAACCTTTCCGGTTTGGGTAAGTCCTCTGGTGCACGGGTATTTTCTCTCTACTCACCCGTTATACCAGTAAAACAAGCACTGCAGCACCAGTATCAAAAGATTAGGGCCCGGGAGACTTATATACTGTGCGGACGGTCGTATATACGTCCTTGCAATACGTCACAACAGGGTGGTTATTGTGGGTTGCCAGCGACAGTGCTGCCAGTGCTGTCGAGCTGTTATCACGGTTGTTGCAGTTGTTGTAGTTGTTGTAGTTGTTGTAGTTGTAGTAGTTGTAGTTGTTGTAGTTGTAGTTGTTGTTGTTGAAGTTGTGGTTGTTGTTGTTGAAGTTGTGGTTGTTGTTGTTGAAGTTGTAGTTGTTGTAGTTATTGGAGTTGAGATAATGGTAGTTGTTCCCGGAGTCCGAGCCACTGTGAGGTCTGTGCACGTGACCGGGCCCATTATTCCGGTGACGTCAAAAATGACTTTATTTTTCCAACGAGTCAGTACTTGAGAAGATACTTCATCCATTCATTGGGGATACCTTGATATTTGATAGTATGAGTGATAGCGAAGCCAGTGGCAAGGCCAAGGTGTACGTGTGGATGCGTCGGATAGCATCGTTTTTAATCAACCAGTGGTTTTTCATACTATTGGGGGTATTTGTTGCTTTAGCCCATCTGTATCCAGAGTTTGCCAAACAAGGAGGAACCATTAGAGCAGAGTATTCTATAGGGTATGGTGCCGTGGCGGTGATTTTCTTGATCTCCGGGTTGTCGATGCTGTCGAAAGACTTGATGAAGAATACATTCCATTGGAGAGCACATTTTACGGTATTGACTAGTTCGTTTTTAATCACGTCGGCCATTATATTCGGAATCTGTTGTGGGATCAAAGCCAGTCATGACCAGGCTATAGATGATTGGTTATTGGTGGGACTTATTGTTACCCATAGCTGTCCAACCACTGTTAGTTCCAATGTTGTAATGACAAAGCAAGCCCATGGGAATGATATCTTGACCCTATGTGAAGTTTTCATTGGGAATGTTTTGGGTGCTTTTATTACCCCGGCGTTGGTTCAGATGTATTTGAGAGGAGTGTGGGAATTCGGGAACCCGACCCATCAAGAACTGGGCGATAGCTCCATGACTGAATTATACGGAGAAGTCATGAAGCAAATTGGATTATCGGTGTTTGTACCGTTATTTGTGGGACAAGTGGTTCAAAATATATTTCCTAAACAAACCAAATGGTCCTTGACCACGTTCAAATTGAATAAAGTGGGTTCGTTCATGTTACTTTTAATCATGTTCCAATCATTTTCAACTGCTTTCGCCCAGGATGCCTTTACTTCGGTTAGCCATGTCAGTATAATTTTTTTGGTGTTTTTCAATATTGGAATTTATCTTTTTTTCACCGTGTTGACCTACGCCTATTCCAGACCTTATTGGATTCTATTGATCTTTGATACTCCGCCAGAACAATCGAACTCCAGATTATATCGCTGGTGCTACAAATTCTTCACGCCCTTTTACTACAATCGAAGAGATACCGTGGCCATGATGTTATGTGGGCCGGCCAAAACCGCCGCTCTAGGGGTTTCTTTAGTCAGTTCCCAATACGGCTCTCATAGTAAGTATCTAGGTAAACTATTGGTTCCGCTTGTATTATACCAAGCTGAACAGGTGATGACGGCACAAATCTTGGTAAAATTCATGAAGAAATGGGTTTATGCTGACCCAAACCTAAAGCAGGACATTGAAACCCCAACTGAGGAACCCGAAACCCCCAATCACGAACCAGAAAGCTCAAATGAAACCAGTTCGCGCGAACCTTTAGAAAGAGACAACCAGAGCTCCCATTCGTACAAAAGATAATGCATTTCACATAAACCACTAATATATATTTATCCATACCACCTTCGTAGCACCTTATCGCAGACCCAGAAAGTCATCGGCTGCGAAAAATCGGTGTCTTATTACATTTCGGCCTTCATTCGGCCTTCATTCGCTAAACCTTCTTCTCCTTCCCATATTCACCACCTCCGGCCTCCAGCCAGCTCTTCCTTCGATAAAGATATCTTCTTGTAGAGCTTAGACTCGCCGACATCTGCGACATTTTCTGTTTTCCGGTCAACGCTTCCCCGGAAATCGCTTTATGTAACCACGCATAATCTTATCAATTATCAGCTTGGTCTACCTTCTGTCCATCCCCGTCTCTACCGCGATCGTTATGCTGTCCATACCCATCGCTATGCCCATGCCCTTCCTGGTCTCGCCATACTGGACCCCTGGGGCAGGATCCCCGTCGGCGTACGACTGCGTAGTTGCACAGTAGAATGAGCTTACGAAGCAAGTTTAAATACCGCTTGTTAAGTCAACAACTAGCGAGCATTGATCATTCGTAGTCCACACCCATCCTCATCGCTCTGTATTCCCCTATACACTGGTCTACTGATCCCCCGATATATCATGCCTGCTGGGCCTGCTGTATATGCCATGCCTGCTGGGCCTGCTGTACCTACTCTATGCTGCCGGGAGCTGTGGGTGAACGGGTCTTCCGACTGTGGATAGCCAATGATAAAGAAATGCACCCCATGTTCTAACAAAACAAAAAAAAAAATTAATTTTTTTTTAATTTTTTTGTTTTAAATAAAGAATTGTGCACCCCGTGCCTTGGCTATTATGGGAACATCGATAACGGACATATAACCATCAAACCACTTTTGAGCAGGCCCATACAGTAGTTACTTTTCTTTCTAGTAGTAGCTATGATTCTGAATCATCCACCGATAGACCCAAGTGTATTTAGTTTTATAAACACTTCCAGTAATAACTCCAACTCCAGTACTAATAATTCGAGTGCCAATACTAATATTGATATGGATTTAAATGACTTAGCTTGGAATAATGTTAATGTACCACCACCGGTATCATCGACCACGGTTAACTCTGACTCACTCAATTTGAATGGAGAGATTTTTTTCAACCAGAATAATCAACTAACCAATGCCGATATTGATGCTTTAACTGCAGATTTGAATTCATCAAGTAGCTCTACTTCTTTACCAAATACTTACCTGGATTTAAATACTTCGATTACTACTCCGGAATTTCCTTCTCCCAATAAAATGTCCTACCATTATGCTTATAATGAACGACCAAATATCCGTCATAGTCATTCTTCTTCGTTCAGTTTACCTATTGATCAATTGAATCTACTTACTTTAAAACCTTTCCTGTCTTATTCTTCTAAATCGCCATCTCCAGATGAACAACCACAAGCTGATTCAACTCCGGCCAGACCAACAAAGGCTACTAATCATCGCCAATCAAAAAGTCAAGATTTTGATTTTTCAAATGCTACAATTAACCCCCGGCAATTATTCACGGAATCAATTCCAGAATTAGAATCTTCCAAAACAAATAATGAGATTCTTCCTCAATCAATTGCCATCAATTCTAATTCCGGAGGGTACGTCTTGCCTTCTTCCGTGTCGTCCCCCTCTTTATCTACTTTATTTAAACAAGTGAATAAACCCGCACCTCCCATAACAAGTAATCGTCCCAGTGGTAAATCAAGATCGATTTCTTTGAGTTCGGGAGTTAATCAGCAGCCCAACCCCCACGATGAAAAATTCGATTTTGTTATGAATGATGAATGTTTTAATGCCATTTCTTATTGGTTAAATAATACTTCTGAAGTTGTTAATAAAGAAGAAATCCCACCAATTCAACAAGAAGAACTGCTGGCAGAAATCTTAACTAATCCAACTGGAATGGTGAAGAATTCTCAATTCAAACGTCGTAATTCAATTCAAGTTTTATCTCAACCAATTCAACAATCTTTAGATTATGATATTAATAATTCAATCACCTATAATTCTGCTGGTCAGAAAAGAAAACGTAGAAAATCTTTCAATTATGAAATGATGGTTCCTCCTCCTTTAATTCATCGTGGTTCTTCAACAACAAATACTCCTTTGAGTAGTGCCAATTCAACAACTTCTTTATCTTCTTTATTACCAAATTCCCCAAATAAAGATGTTCATTGGTCAAATTCTCCTTCTATTCTACAAAATCAAAAATTCGACCATATTCCAACGTCTTTAACCGAAAATATCAAAGAAGAACAAGAAGTTAAACATGATGATGATGATGATAGTCCAAAACCTTTCCCCTGTGCTGATTGTACTAAAGTGTTCAAAAGAAGTGAACATTTAAAAAGACATATAAGATCAGTCCATTCGAATATTAGACCTTTCCACTGTAAATACTGTGAGAAAAAATTCTCCAGATCAGATAATTTGGCTCAACATTTGAAAACTCATTATAAAACTGATGAATTCGGTAATACTACAATTATTTATGGCAATCCCAATATCAATGGCCGTGGTGGAAGAAGAAAATCAAAACCTACTTGAATTTGTTTTCTTTTCAATTTTTTTTTTTTTCTCTTTATTTCTCTTCTATTTATTCTCTCGATGTTTTGCGTATTCTTTAGGCATTGGTTGTCACCTCTTTATAGTTTCTTCAATATATGGATTATGAATGCTTATACCCTTTGTATTGGTGTTTCCTAATTAGGACTCGCAACAAGCATGGGCGCACGACCCTGGCTGTTTCATGACCCTAATACTACTACTACTACCAATAATACTACTACTACTATACCAATACTACTGCTAAGGCTAATACTAGTACTAGCACTAACACTGGTACTTGGGCTAATAGTGAATACTGGCAAATGAACTCGAGAAAAACGAGAAGTTCAGGTGAAATCTACGAGTCTTCATACTCATTGAATTTTCAGGTTAAAATTGGCAGTAGAAGATTACATGACAGTAGAATCCTCGTATTTCACTTGGTCATTGAACAAACAGTATTTTGTAACTCATGAATATTGTTCTTTTACCGTTTTAAAATTATCTCCATGTAGAATTCCACCCTTTGCTCACTTAATTTAGAAATATCAATTTCATTTTTGGGCCATTTTTTCTCCCTCTATTTTGCTACTTCTTCTTCTACTACTTCTCTTCTTTAATCTATTGGGTTAAGAATGTCTCGTTCTATCTATCAAAGCAATGGTAAGCCATTGTCTCAGCAGGCAATCTATCAACAAAAATTAAAACAAGGTATCTTCAATTCTCCGGGAGCTCCCTCGGTAGGGGTTAATTCTCTGGCTTCGGATACTGCAGCTTTATTGGCAGCTTCTGCTGACTTGAATGTTAAACCTTCTTATGAACGAACCGTGGCTCCAGAGGCTCATGTTGCTGCTTTGGCAGCTAAAAAGGATACAATCAGCTCTTGGTCGAGAGAAAACCATGATCCTTGGGCAACTTCTGCTGCTTCTTCAGTTAAACCAGCTGGCTCGTTAACTTCTGAATCTTCTTATATTGCGGATTCTTCTTCGGTTAAGCATGGGGTTCCGGCCTATAGTAATGATGCTGTTTTCAAAATGGCCAGTGCTAATTCTACTTCCACGATGACTTCAAGAACTACTCCAGAAAAATTGGCCTCAAAACACGGTTTAGTTAGTAAAAATAAAAAGAATAACTCTTTTGATATCAATAAAATCAATCAGCTCGCTAATAAGAACTCTGCCAAATCAATTCATTCTAGGTTTAACCCTGATTTAGACTATCGTCATGGTATTAAACATCAACAAATTCATCCAACTGAATATTTAGATGTAAGTGAAGAAAAATTAGCTGCTGAATCGGCTGCTGCTTCTTTGAAACATGGTGGAGGTTATACTAATCTGGTCTCCTCTCAACCAAGACTGAAAACTTTCACCGCTGCTCAAGTTGTCGATGCTACTTTATTGGCTGCTGCTAGTGCAAAAGCAAATGATCGTTTAAAATCAATCAATTCAACTACTCCTGCTGATTTTAAAAATCAAGCTCATCAATATGCAAAAGCTTTAACCATTGCTCAAAAAAACTCTGAAGAACGTATTAAAAATCAAAACGCTGGTATGATAAATTTAGGTGGTGGATTATCGATGCCTCAAAGTAAATTGGATGAATTAGCTACTTTAATTGTTGGTCCTGTTCTTTCGGATATCGATAATAAGGCTAAATTACAAAGAGAAACCGATTTAATCACTAAAGCTAAACACGAAGAATTAACTAAACAACATCAAAAGGCAAAAGAAGAAGAAATTGCTGCTAAAAATAAAGAAAAAGCTGATATTGCTCAAGCTAAACGAGAAAGAATTGATGCAAATGAAGTTAAAAAGAAGGAAGAAGATGGGAAATATGTTGAATATCAAACCACCCGTAATACAGAAGTTGAAAATAAACAACAAGAATTTGAAGAATTAAAAGCAAAATACGCTCAAGAAAAAGATGATTTATTGAATGAAAAACAAGATGCTTTAAATAAAATTGAATCTGAAGAAACTGAATTAATTAATAATCGTAAATCTGAATTGGACGATTTACAAAAGGAGAAAGATGAAATTTTAAAACCAATTTTAGCTGAGTTGGAAGAAGAAACCACTAAATTAAATAATTTAACTGATGCTAAAAATGAATTAACTAATGAAGTTAATTCTGCAGAAACTTTAAATAAAGAATATACCACCAAATTATCTGATTTAGAAAATCAATTAAAACAATCAATCGCTGATATCGAACAATACACTGTTGATTTGGAAAACTCTAATAAAAAACATGATGAAACTTCAAAAGAAGTTGATGAATTACATCAACGTTCAATTGATGAATTAGCTAAACATGAAGAATCACACAAAGCTTTAGATTCAGAAATTGAAACTAAAACTAAAACAAAAGATGACCATTTGAAGAATAAGGCTGATAAAAAGCAAGAAATTTTATCTCATCTCGATGATCGTGTTAAAGAAGAACATCAAATCAATAAAGAATTACCGGATCATTTAAAGAAAACAATTGATGAAGATAAATTAAGAGATACCGGATCTCTTTTCACAATCGAAGAACCTTCAGTTAAAAATTTATCAATTTTAGATGCTGAAACAAAACGTGCTGAGCATATTGATACTAAATCAGATATTGCCTTTGCAGTTCATGGTAATTCAACTCCATCAAATAAAAATTCAAATCAAACTAAAGCTAGAACTGGTGAACATTCTTCCACTGATCAAGAAACTAAAAAATTAAAACTGGAACCTGCTTTAACTAGTTCTCCACCTTCTGCTTCTCCTAAAAAGAGATCTATTCGTAATAAAATTACTGGTTTTTTCGGTTCTCCAAAATCAAGTCCAACAAAGTCAAAATTTGATGAGCTGCCTAAAAAACAACCTGCACCAACTAAAACCAATACTGGTGGAGTAACCAGTGAAAATGAAAGTAAAGATCGTTCAAACCTGGAAGTAAGCAATGGAGAATTCGATGATGAAATCTCAATTGATGAAGATAAAAACAAAGGTGGAGTTTTCAAAGAAGAAATTTAATTAATCCTGTTTTCTACTTTTTCATTTTCCTGTATTATTCATTTATTTTCAATTCATATCTGTTCTTTTCCACCTTTTCTTTTTTTTTTTTGACTGTGTTTTTCTCCCTACGACTTTATATCGATGTTTAATCAGACCTATTAACAATTTGTTTTAATTTACTGTGATTCGAAAAACTTGTATTTGATGTACGTCTTTAAATTATATTAGTGTAGTAATTTTGCGACTGAAAATTTCAACTGAAAATTTAGACTTGACCCATCACTCTTTTACATTCTGGTCTAAACATTTATCGATATATATTCCCCGTTGGGTATACCTGTTCTCTCTTGATTATAGATATACCATGGCTCTTACCATGCCTCAGCCTGCTGAAGTAGCTGAACCAAATGCTGCTAATAGGCTATTGAGAAAGTTCAACTTCAAGTTAGCATACGCTTCCGAAGAATACAAAACTCGTCGTAAACAGCAAATGGTGCTATTTATGACTTCGGCTGCTATGACCATCTTTGCTGCAAGATTTGCTTATAAGTCCACCATAACCAGACAATACGTACCTACTTTATTCCAAGGGAACCATTCTCCACCTTTAAGTTACAATTTCACAACCGACGCTGCAGTGGCCGTGGGCACCGGTACCTTATTATGTGGGAGTGTCAGCAGCATGATGATATTCGGCAGTTGTTGGATCATGGATGTGTCAAACTTCAAAGAATTCGGTTGGAGGATGAAATCGATACTAGGAGGATGGGAAAAACAGAAAGAATTAGCAGCCATGCCCATGGACGAAGAAAGTGCCATGATCCAAGACGGGTTGAATGACATTTTAGAAGGCAAATATGACGATTTGGACGAGTTAAGCAATGATTTGGATACACCTGATAAATAACCTATATAACCTCTGTATATGAATGAAACCCTCCGTACACCAGGAAGTGCACCCGTGCACCGAGTAACTTGAGATGGCTGGAGAAAAAAAGCCAATTTAACCCTTTAGGGAATAAACGAATATAGCAGTTGATATAATTTATAAACAAGTAGAGAACCTTTAGATCCACAAGTTCTTTGAGGGAAACCGAACAATTGAGTATGGCCAGGATATCAGCACCATCGAGTAACAGACAACGACCCTCGTCGTCGTCCGCATTGAGAAGACACCAGGAATTACAAGAACAAGCCAGATTGGGAGGATCACCTTCAAGTGGTCGAAGTTCAGAAAGCAGAGATCGAGTTACAAGTATACGAGAAACGGGACTATATCGAAATCAACCCGGAGATCCACCAGCTACAACGTCAAGTAGTCGAACCATACAAAAAAGAAGATATCGACCAGGTACTAAAGCATTAAGAGAAATTAGACAATTTCAAAAACTGGGAGATTTATTAATTAGAAAATTGCCCTTTGCAAGATTAGTGAAGGAAGTAGCAGAAAATTTCATTGGAACCGATTATGGTATAAGATGGCAGCTGAATGCGGTTTTGGCCTTACAAGAAGCTTGTGAAGCCTTCTTGGTTCATTTATTAGAAGATACTAATTTATGTGCAATCCATGCCAAAAGAGTTACTATAATGCAAAAAGATATTCAATTGGCTAGAAGAATTAGAGGCCAATTGTAAAAATGTGTCACACATTCCCGGAATTGTATATTGTATTGTATTCTTATCTTTGTATATTAATATAGCTTAATGTAATCGTTTATGTAATACTTTATGTAATTAAGAGACTCAGTGGACAATCCAACGCGTTTCTTGATATGGGCTTCAAATATTATCCTCCAAATAAAGAAATTCAAACAGCCAGCCTCTTGAAATGGTGCTACAAAGTATTCACTCACATGGCACAAATGTCAATCCAGCTCGATGACATTTAGATCAAGTACAAAACTGGCCATCAGGTTCCTTATCGACGAATCAGTGGGTTTCCCTCGACTGCGTTTCGGAGCTAAATAATTAGCATATGCTAAACCAGATGCATTCTACTAAAGCAACTGTTTCTCAATGCTAATGGGTAACACCCCAAGGGTGGGGAGGACGATATTGTCATTTTTAAAACAAACTACAGAACAATACCTTAGTTTGCAAAAAAAAAAAATATCCAGTTTGGCTAAGTTAGCCTTTATTATATTCCTTTACACTGGCCCCTATATTTCTTTGTTTCAAAATCTACCTATTTATGTATATCTTGTTCCTCTGTATTTAGTAACCCTCGCTCCTTGGATTATGCCAATGACCTGCCTCATTTTAATTTTTCATTTTGATCCTTTGACTCTTTAATTCTATATATATATAACCAGTTTTCTTTTCATGCCTTTTGACTAAACTCTCTTCTTTCCCAATTCTTTTCTTTCTGTTATGTCTGCCACAGTAACTTCGGGTTCCCGTACTGGTCCCTCAGGTAAGAGGAAAGTCGTATACAGACAGGATCCTGATGGGGTTTTCCGAATGAAAAAGGAATTCACCGATGCTACCTCTATAGCTTCTTCTTCTCATAAACCTGAGCAGAATCAGTCTGGTCTTGAAGCTTTAAATAATGATAAGGATGATTTGATTGACTTATCTTATAAGTTTGTACCGGTTCCTAAACCCGCACCGGCCCCTGCCCCTGCCCCTGCGGACCCAGCACCAGAGCCAGCAGCCCACCGGGCGGTTTCCCCCTGCTCGCCAGGCCCGGTCGCGCCAGCGGCGGTCGACCCGACTCGCCCCAGCTCGGCGGGCTCCAGCGAACGCGAGCCTGGAGCCAAGTTGCCTAATCAGGAGACCGAGTCCCATCATCGCCCCAAGACCAAAAAGAACAAATCCAAAACAAAGCATAAACCCAAATCAACCAAACGTCATTCATCATCGACTTCAGTTGAAACCCAGCAGGCATTAGAGCCTCCTCCTACCATCACTCCCGAATCCGAAGCTGAGTTTGCTCATAAGTTGGCTGAAGCTCTTGAATCTGCTACCGAATCAGACTTGGAATCAGATTTTGAAAAAAATCTCCCCGAAGTTCAACCAGAAATTATTGTTAACCCTACTTTTTGGAATCGTTTGAGACTGAAAATGCCTGCCAATAGATTCGATCCTCCTAAATCTTTATCTGATCAACGTATCATCAGTTATGGTCTTGGGATTCTTTCTGCATTTATACTTCAACGTCTTTCTCCTATTTTGGGACATTATGCCCTTATTTTATTTGATCTTTTGAAGATTATGATTCTTCTGGGGATAGTGGTTGGTGGTGTTTGTTGGTACGCTGGTCTTATCAAGTTATCTGATAATGTTTACATTAGTAATTTCATGGATAAGGTCCGGGCTAAAATTAATGGAGAATCTCCAAAACAGAAGGAAGCACCTGCAAGTGACTTGATGGAATATGACAGTGATGAGGAATCAGACGTTTCCTGGCCCGGTGCCAGCGATGACGACGACGACAGCGAAGAAGAAGAAATTGAAGAACAACCGGTTGCAAAACCAATTGTTGAACCCAAACCAGTGGCTCCTTCTAATATTTCACTTCCTCCTCCAACTGCTTCCTCCTCTGCAGCATCAACCGTCCCACCACCTTCTCCTCCTAAATCGAAAAGGAGAGAATCACTCACTAGGGTAACTCCATTCGTGGCTCCTCCGCTTCATCATCGTGCAAATACAACTCAACCCAATTCAACGAAGACCAACTTTCCTCAATTGAACCGTAACCACACCACCGAAGCTTATCAACGTCGCCACTCTAAAACTGAACCTCCTCGTCGTGATCTGGCCCATAGTCTGGAACTGGGTGGTCGCCCAGCTGGCAGACGTCGTACTGGTAGTCACTCTCCAGTTAGACGTACTTCTCCTCATAAAAAATTACCTCCCCAACCAGAAGATTTACCCTTGGTTAATGAAATTAAGTTATATAGAGATGACCACTCTTTAGATGGTCTTGGAGTAAGCTACGAGGACGATGACTTTGATACTGCTTTGAACTACAACAACGACTTACATTCAAACCGTCACGTAAACAGGCTGAACAGTACCATGAGCAAGAAATCAGTCTTGGGTACTAGAGCCAACTATGAAACTTTTTTGGCTAATGCCGGTTCTGACTGATGTTTTGATACTTGGATTTTGCATAAACTCTTATATCCTTTCTTATCTGTATAGCATTCTATTTTTTTTTCATTCATTTCTTCTACTTTGCATTATGGCATTTATCTCTAATAGTCTATGAATATATAACGTCAATGGTGTTACAATTGCCTAAGTATCTTCTAAATATCTTCTAAGTATCTTCTAAGTATCTTCTAAGTATCTTCTAAGTAAGACCTTAATTGGTCGTGTCCGTTTTCCAACTTTTGTCAGAGCCAAAAAAAAATTTAGACGTTTTTCAAAACATATAAACTCTGGTGTTGCACAAAGATTATCCTTATAACCCAACTTTCCCCATATTAGCACATCATGCCTTTATATAGAGACGATAGCTTTCTTGTTGTGCATCCAGGATCTCAAAATACGATATTTTCGTTTGGATTACTGGACTCATTGAGTCCTCCTCAATATAAAATTCCATCCGTGGTGTATAAAAATACTTCTACTAACGAATATCGATCCAAAAGGGAAGAAAATGAATCCACATTGATAGAGATACACCCCATCAAGGGCTCTAGGATTGTTGATCTTGATGCATTCAATCATTTACTCAAAATAATATTACAAAGTGTTATCAGTAATAATCCAATAATTACAATTAATCAAATTCCTTTATTATTAGTAACCCCAAGTTTGAAATGGTCACGTTTTGATGTCGAGCATGTTACTAAATACGTTTTTGAATCGTTGGAATTCACCGCTTTCAATATTCTTGATTTATCAATTGCATCTACATTTGCAATTGGTGCTTCAACCAATTCTTTGGTTGTTAATGTAGGACATGAATCAACTCAAGTTGTTCCAGTTTTGGGATACCAGCTGGTAAAGTTTGCTTCTAAATACTTGGAAAACGTCGGTGGGATAACCATAGATGGAGAATTGAAAAGATTATTACCTCATTTGAATGAGGGTCAAATTAATGCCCTTAAAACTTCAAATATTTATGAAGTATTAAATGACACTGAAGGGTCTTTCTACTCTTTTGATGCTTTGAATACTGAAAAAAATGATGAAGATTTCGATGTTGCCTCGTACGTTGCCAAAGAAGAAGGTGGAGAAAGCCAAATGGATATTGATGAAAAGAAAGAAGAAGAAGAATCAAAACCTAATTCTGAACTAGAAAAAAACTATTTCTTAGATCCAGTTTCTAATGAAAAAATTTATATCGGTAAAGAAAGGTTCCAAGGTACTTCTAAATTGGTTTCTCAAATTGTAACTGCCATTCATAAAACTTTAACTGCTATCCCGGATTTAGAGAAAAGACAAGACTGTTATGAAAATTTAATTTTTGTTGGTTCAACTTTCAATATTCCAGGTTTAAAAAGGGCAATCATCACTAAGCTTATTGAAAATCACTTAATAAAACCTCCTAGTGATGCTTCTAAAACTAGTGATGAAGATAAAGTTAATTCGGCAATTGCTGCTTATCAACAATCTGATGATCCTTATGCTGCTAATGATAATGTCGCTCTTAATCAAGTTCCTACAACCATTAAGGCAGTCAAATACCCCGATTATTTCCCTGAATGGAAGAAACCAAAAGAAACAAATGGCTCTTGGAATGATGTCTACTTCCTTGGTGGCCAAATTTACTCTAAACAAATTTTTGGTGCTAACTCGAATCATGGAGGTGATTCTTTCCTCGACGCGGACATTTATGAAGACAGAGGCCCTCAAGCTATATGGGATGTAGCTCTTTAGTCCCTCTTACCCTTTCAATGTATAATTCTGTATTATTTAGAGCTAAACCTAATTTCAATATATCAATTGCAAAATTACTTTGCAAGACGCGTATTTCGATTTTTTTGATTTTTTTTTTTTTTTTGTTAGCGAAAATGAAACTCTTTCGCATCACTGAAGTTTGGTAAATGATAACCAATTCTACTTTAACAGAAGCTTTTCAGCTCATCTTATGTTGATAAGACAAACGTTGAGATCGTTAGTAAAGACAAAGTATCATCAGCTATCACCCACGTCTAGAATACCCTGCATCATGGCTCCGAAACAACAGCAATCCATAAACCTGTTTTTCACGTCTTCAAGAAATACGGCTAAGAAGGCCGTAGAGTCAGAACCTAGAAAAAGAGACCCTTCCCCAGTTAAAAATCAAACTAAGAAACAAAAGACTGAAAACGGAATACTGATATCCAGCTTGATCGGCAAACAGAAGGATGGAGAAACCAAAGCTAGTTCTCAGGAAGACTCCAAAGCTGAATCACATTCCCCCAAAGAATCTTCCAAAGATTCCGTGGAGCCAACTACAGATCCAAGCGAAGCTAGTGACGATGGATACCAAAGTGATGCAGATAAGGAAAAGGAATTGCTGGATGCATCGAAGTTGATCAAGTTGACTGAAGATCAAAAGCCAAGTACTCCTAAAAAAATAACTGCTAAGATCCCATATGCTTCCTTAGCGGAGGTTTTTGAAAATGTCGAAAAAGAATCGTCTAGATTGAAAATCACTGCCATAGTTTCCCTGTTTTTCTTGGATATTCTACAAAACTCTACTGTTGATAACTTGGTAAGGGTTGTTTATTTATTCATTAATAGACTTGGTCCTGACTATGAACCAGATTTGGAATTGGGTTTGGGAGAAACATTATTGATAAAAGCAATTAGTGAAGGGTATGGTAGACAATCTAGTCAGATTAAAAAGGATTTGCAGGAGTATGGTGATTTGGGTTTAGTTGCTCAAAAATCAAGATCTGGTCAAAGAACTATGTTTAAACCGGCACCTTTAGAGATTGAAGGAGTTTTCGATAATTTAACAAAGATTGCAAAATCCACTGGTAAAGATTCCCAATCCAAGAAAATTTCCATCATCAATAAGATGTTAACTGCTTGTGATTCGAAAAGTAGTGAGGCAAAATTTTTAATTAGATCACTCGAAGGTAAGTTAAGAATTGGTTTAGCTGAAAAAACCGTATTGATTGCTTTGGCTCAAGCATTTGTCAAATATGAAAATCCAAAGATATCGGCCGAAAAATTAGCTCAAGCTGAAGATATAATTCGTGAAGCATTTTGTCAAGTTCCAAATTATGAAATCGTTATTAGACATGCCTACACTCATGGCATCTTTAACGTTTTAGATCATTGTCAATTACAACCAGGTGTTCCTTTAAAACCCATGTTAGCAAAACCTACCAAATCAATTAGTGAAGTTTTAGATCGTTTTCAAGGAGAAGAATTCACTTGTGAATATAAATATGATGGAGAAAGAGCTCAAGTGCATTTATTATCAACCGGTGAAGTTAAAATATATTCTCGTAATTCTGAAGATATGTCTCAAAGGTACCCAGATCTCATTTCTATTATCAAGGACTTTTTACGTGAAAATGTAAATGATACTCAGACTGTAAATCCTCACTCAATGATCTTAGATTGTGAAGCGGTTGCTTGGGATAGAAATACTAATAAGATTTTACCTTTTCAAGTTTTATCGACAAGAAAACGTAAAGGCGTGGAAGAAAAAGATATAACAGTTCATATTTGTTTATTTGCATTTGATATGTTATATTTTAATGACCAGCCTTTAATAACTAAATCACTCAAAGAACGGCGTGATCTTATGTTTGAAAATTTAAAACCTATAGAAGGAAAATTTCAATTTGCAACTGCTAAAAATTCATCAAACTTGGATGAATTACAAACTTTCTTAGACCAGTCGGTGAAGGATAGTTGTGAAGGTTTAATGGTCAAAATGTTGAATGGTGGTGATTCATTTTATGAACCTTCGAAGCGTTCAAGAAATTGGTTAAAATTAAAGAAAGATTATTTGGCAGGGGTAGGAGATTCATTGGATTTGGTGGTTATTGGAGGTTATATGGGTAAAGGTAAGAGAACAGGTACTTATGGAGGGTTCTTACTAGCTTCTTATAATGAAGATACAGGAGATTATGAAACTACTTGTAAAATCGGAACTGGATTCTCGGATGAGGATTTACTTTCCATTTATAATAAATTAAAATCAACCGAAATTTCAAAACCAAAGTCATTTTACATTCATGATACTAGTTCCACTAACTTACCAGATGTTTGGTTTGAGCCTTCGATGATTTTCGAGGTTCTAACTGCTGATTTATCATTAAGTCCCGTTTATAAAGCTGCTCATCAAGTTTATGGTAAAGGTATTTCTCTTCGATTTCCAAGATTTATAAGAATAAGGGATGATAAAAGCATTGAAGATGCCACTTCTTCAACCCAAGTTTCAGAATTTTACGAGAGACAAGCTAATCTCAATTAATTTATAGCTACATTATATAGAAATAATAATAAAAATAATAAGTATTAAAAATTAATCAAATTAAATAAATGTAATAAATGCATAGATTATGAATACAGCATTGATTTCGATGAATTGAATTGAATAAACAACAAAGTTGTTTTTTTTAATTATGCATGAATTAAAAAGAAAAGCAAACTAAAATAAGTGAATCAAATGCAAGGATCAAGTCACTTTATCTCTTCCTTCTCTTACTCTTCTTTTAATTTTATCACTTAATTTAGATTTAATGGAAGATGATGGTTTCTCAGAATATGAATTTTCATTATCAAGTTTATTGGTGAAATTCAATTCGATTTGAGAATCATCTCTAAGTAAATTAGGCTTGGAAAAATCTAAAGAGTCATTAGTATTATTAGAAGAAGAGGTTGGAGGTGACTTTAAAGGACTTGATTGCTGTTTGTTAGCCGATTTAAAATTGAAATCATCAGCAATTGAAGAGGAAGATTGCATTACTGAAGATAATTGAGAATCAACTTGAATATTTGGATTTTTAGCATTTTTATGCAAATGATAATCAGAAAACATTGGAATGTTAGTTAATGAATTATCAGAATTCATTAAGGAAACACCATCAGAAACTGAAGAAGAACGTTTACTTAAAGATAATTCACTATCTGAAGGAGTATTAATAGAAGTTTCAGAACTATTTTTATCTTGTTTAGCTTTTAACTTAGCAGCTTTACGTTTAGCTAATCTTCTGTTTCTCAATTCTTGGGTTTTCATTTCTTCTTCCTCGTCACTATCAACATAATGAACATCATCAGAAATTCTCAAATTGTTCTTCATTTCCCAAAGATTGAAATCATTTGGAAATAATTCTGGACCAAAAGTATTAACTAATTCGGTAATTTCTTCACTTAATTCATTTCTTTGTTTTTTCAATTCTCTAATTGAACTACCAGAGATTAAAGAAAGATATAAAGGTCTGATTGATTTAAATAAATCCATTCCTTGTTCACCAGTTATTAAAGCAGCATAAGTAACTAAAACCCCACACATATATAAGGTCAACCAACTACCAATATAACTTGAGGAATTTGAAAATATTTTATAATGATAACAATACCAAGTACCAATAGTTGCATAAAAACTATAAACTAAAGGAGCGATAACCATACCAATTAAAATTTTCCAAGTAGCAACAACATCGTTAGCTTTAATTTTAACTGTTGAATTAGCCAAAGCTAATTTAGCCTTTTTAGAAGAAATTATTTTAGCACTAATGAAAACTGGACTAAATAAAGTAGCACCTGGTAAAGATAAAATGAAGAAAAAAATTAATTTTAAAAGTCTGAATAAAAAGATTGGTAAAGTTCTTAATTTATTTGATTCATTACAGTCTTCAACGTGGTGATCTGGTAAATATAATTGTTTTAAATTATTATTATAATTTAAAATTTTTTCTTTAATTTCTTGAACTTTAGGTTGATTTTTAAAAGTTTGGTAACCCAAAACCAATCTTCTATTCATTTCCACAACCAAGGGTAATGGTAAATATTGAGCAAAATTTCCAGCGTATAATCTACGAGCAGCTTGAATCACCATCAAAGTATCATAATCTTCACAAGTGACAGTGACTGCTTTTAAACCAGTGGTAACGAGATCCAATAATTCTTTAACTGATTCACGATTAGTTTCAGGATTAGCATATTTTTTAACCAAATCTTTTGGAATTTCAATGGGATGGCCAAATTCCACAACAGCTCTTGAACGGAATTTATGAGCATTGAAATAATTCATACCACAAGGAACAATTTTCACATTACAATTAGGATCGTTATTCATAGCACCCAAAGCCATAACAGCCACCCCGGCTTTTATTGGTAATAAATCGGTACGATCATGAGAACCACCTTCGGGAAAGATACCAATACAATTCCCATTGCTCAAATGATCGAAAACCAATTGATAAACATTGGATTGATCAACTTTATCTGCTTTTTTAAAGGAAGTACCCTTAGTTAATAATTTTTTAATTTGGGGAGTGTTTTTAAATTCTTTACGAATGATTAATTCAGTATCGGATAAGATATCAACAATTTCACTAGCACCTAAAGATTGGGGTAAGGCAATTAAACCTTTTAACATACATTCTGATAAAAACTTAGTGCCCTCACCTTTAACTAGGGTTGGATTTGAATCAAAATCAATAAAGATTTTACCGCTACCTTTAACAAGGCAATCTTGAGCTCTAATAACAGGGATTGATAATTGACATTTTGACAAACTACCAATGAATTTCAAATTATACGATTTGGCGGCGATTAAAAAGGATATTCTACGGCCTGATTCTCTTTTAACCTGATTCATTAAAATGATTGGATCCACAAACTGATTAGCGTGAGGAGCGGCAACAAAGATGACTGGACCGGATCTGGGTAATCTGAAAGCACCTCTTGGTCTAATTTCTCTAAAGAAACAATCAAAAATAATGGTGAATATCCATAAAATAAAGTCGTAAACAATCAAACGATACCATTTGAAAGGTTTGTACGTGAAATCAAGGTTAGCATCGGGATTTGAAGGTGTGGTTTTAAGTCTATGAAGCTCGGCTTGTTTAGCTTCCTCGTTTACTTTATTAGCTTCCTCGTTTACTTTATTAGCTTCCTCATTCACTTTATTGGCTTCCTCATTCACTTTATTAGCTTCCTCATTCAACTTAGCTTCCTCATTCACTTTATTAGCTTCCTCATTCACTTTATTAGCTTCCTCATTCAANTAGCTTCCTCATTCAACTTAGCTTCCTCATTCACTTTATTAGCTTCCTCATTCACTTTATTAGCTTCCTCATTCAACTTAGCTTCCTCATTCACTCTATTAGCCTCATCATTTAACTTAGCTTCCTTATTTAGCTCAGCACTTAATTCGTTCTGATCATTTGTTTGATCGAGCGACGCAACGGGAGTTGGCTGGATAAGATGGACCTCCGGTATGATGTTTTCCTTGGAGAACTCACCCACTTGTTCGGTGATCATTACTGTCGAACCCTGATTACCTAAAAGTATCGAAAGGAGCCTCTTGGGTTTCCCTAACCTTCTTTTTTGGGTTTTGGCTCTTGCAGAGAGCGCACGACTTGACCCTGGCCCTAATTGTTAAAAACCCACCCTTCGGACCTATCGGCGATTTCCCACAATCGATCGGTCACGTGCACGGATCTGTGGTCACGTGCTGCGTCACGTGAAATGAGCACAAAAATTTTACCCGGTGCACGGACCTTTCTTTTCTTACCGAGGACCTCGGATACCTCGAGTCGGCAGTCCGCACGACGACCCTGACACCTTATCCGTTGCTTTATTGTGGACTCGGTTACCGCTGACAGCATACACTTTGAACCTCGGTCCGTGTGCCAGGCGCCAACCGCCAGGCCCAATTCTGCGAGAACAGCACCGTTGGATACCGCCGGCCCGGTGCTACCTGGCCACCACGAATTGAGCTGCCAGACCTGGTGTAGCGCTGGCAAACCTCCGGCAAACCCTGGCGGAAGGAAGAAGAAAGTGTTAAACAAAAGTTGATCCCCGCAAAAACAAAAAAAAAAAATAAAAAAATCATTAAAAAAAATCACCGAAACATCAAAAAACAAAAAAAAAAAAAAAAAATGAGACTTTATTACCGGAAATAACTAAAAAAAAGACGTAAGCTTTAAAAAAGTGATTTTTCACATTAATATTTTAGAGTTAACCCACTGAAATTGATCAATTGCTATAATATAAATACAAAATTAAATCCTTTATTATTTCGGTAAAGGGAGTTTTTCTTTTTCTTTTGATTTTATATTTTTATTAATTATTCTTTTTTAATAAGTAAGTATGTCAGAGATATCATTTAAGGATAAGGTTGTTGTTGTTACCGGAGCCGGAGGAGGGTTAGGTAAGCATTATTGTCTTGAGTATGCTAAGAGAGGAGCCAAGGTTGTTGTTAATGATTTGGGAGGATCCTTGAGTGGTAATGATGATGGAGGATCCAAGGCTGCTGATGTCGTTGTGAATGAAATCAAGTCTAGTGGAGGAATTGCTGTTGCTGATTATAATAATGTTTTGGATGGGGATAAGATTATTGAAACCGCGGTGAAAAATTTCGGTACCGTTCATATTTTGATTAATAACGCTGGGATTTTGAGAGATGCTTCATTCAAGAAGATGAACGAGCGTGATTTCCAATTGGTGCTTGATGTTCATGTGAATGGTGCTTTTAAGGCTACCCAGGCTGCTTGGGAGCATTTCAGAAAACAAGGTTATGGTCGTGTCATAAATACTGCTTCTCCTGCTGGGTTATACGGGAACTTTGGTCAAACCAATTATTCTGCTGCTAAATCTGGTTTGGTTGGTTTTGCTGAAACTTTGGCTAAAGAGGGGGAAAAATATAACATTGTGGTTAATACTATTGCTCCATTGGCTAAATCAAGAATGACTGAATCGGTGTTACCTCCTCCAATTTTGGAACAATTGAGTCCTGCTAAGATTGCTCCTTTGGTTTTATACTTGACTCATGATTCAAATCAAACCACTGGTCAAATTTTTGAAGTTGCCGCTGGGTTCTATGGTCAAATTAGATGGGAACGTTCTGGTGGGGTTTTGTTCAAACCAGATGAATCTTTTACTGCTGAATCGGTTGCCAAAAAATTTGATGAGATTTTGAACTTCGACGATTCTTCCAAACCAGAATTATTAAAGAATCAACATCCTTTTATGTTGAATTTCTACGAAGAATTAACCAAAAACGCTAGACAATTACCTTCAAATGATAATTCAGGGGTTGATCCAGTCACTTTGAAAGACCGTGTCGTTTTAATTACTGGTGCTGGTGCTGGTTTAGGTAGAGCCTATGCTCTCTATTTTGCTAAATATGGGGCTAAGGTTGTTGTTAATGATTTTAAAGATCCTTCTAAAGTTGTTGATGAAATTAAAGCCGCTGGTGGGGAAGCCCATGGTGATACTCATGACGTTGCTAATCAAGCTCAAGAAATTATCGATAACGTTGTTAATAAATACGGTACCATTGATGTCTTGGTTAATAATGCCGGTATCTTGAGAGATCGTTCTTTTGCTAAAATGTCTTGGGATGAATGGAAATTGGTCCAACAAGTTCATTTGAATGGTACCTTTAATTTAACCAGATTGGCCTGGCCTCACTTCTTGAAGAATAATTACGGTAGAGTGGTTAACATCACTTCTACTTCTGGTATTTATGGTAACTTCGGTCAAGCCAATTATTCCACCGCTAAATGTGCCATTTTGGGTCTTTCAAAAACTATTGCCCTTGAAGGTGCTAAAAATAATATTAAAGTTAACGTGGTTGCTCCTCATGCTGAAACTGCTATGACTTTAACCGTTTTCAGAGAAGAAGATAAAAACTTGTATCCTCCAGAATTGGTTGCTCCTTTATTGGTTTACTTGGCTTCTGAAAATGTTCCAGTCACTGGTGAATTATTCGAAGCCGGTGGTGGTTGGATTGGTAACACTAGATGGCAAAGAGCTAAAGGTGCTGTTTCCACTGATGAAGTTACCACTCCTGAATTTGTTAAAGATCACTTTAATGATGTCATTGATTTCTCAACTGGTACCGCTAATCCTAAATCAACTACCGAATCTTCAATGGCCATTCTTTCTGCCGTTCAAGGTGATGATGATGACGATGATGAAGATGAAGATGATGACGATGACGATGAAGAAGAAGGTGAAGATCCAGTCTTTACTTATGGTGATAGAGAAGTCATTCTCTATAACTTGGCTGTTGGTGCCACTCACAAAGAATTACCTTACGTTTATGAAAATGATCAAGAATTCCAAGTTGTTCCAACTTTTGGTCACTTGCCAACTTTCAACTCTGTGAAGTCTCAAATGAGTTTTTCAAAATTATTACGTAATTTCAATCCAATGCTTTTATTACACGGTGAACATTACATCAAAATTGAAAAATGGCCTGTTCCAACTGAAGGTTCTATCAAGACTTCTTATCAACCATTAGCCATCACTCAAAAGAAAACTAATACCATCGTTGTTCATGGTTCCAAATCTGTTGATAGTAACACTGGTGAAACTGTCTTTTCAAATGAAGCTACTTTCTTTATTAGAAATTGTGAAGGTGATACTAAACAATATGCCGAACGTAAATCTTTTGCTGTTGCTCAATTCAATGCTCCAAAATCTGATGCAGAATTCACTCAAGATATTAAGATTTCTGAAGACCAAGCTGCCTTGTATAGATTAACTGGTGATCGTAATCCATTACATATTGATCCTGCCTTTGCTGCTGGTGCTAAATTCGACCGTCCTATCTTACATGGTATGTGTACTTACGGTTTATGTGCTAAAGTTTTATTAGATAAATATGGTCCATTTAATGAAATTAAAGCTAGATTCACTGGTATTGTTTTCCCAGGTGAAACTTTGAGAGTTTATGCCTGGAAACAAGGTGATACTGTTATCTTCCAAGCTCATGTTGTTGAAAGAAAAACTATCGCCATTAACAATGCTGCTATTAAATTAATTAGTGATAAAGCTAAGATTTAATTTTGAATGCTTATGATTTTTTATTCAAATGAGTCCTTTTATTTAGTTCGTTTTTATTTTTATGTCCACTGTTCAATTTTCAAATTGTAGATATAAAATTGTAGTGTTGCATGAGGTGTTATCGCTTTGTTCTAACTTTCTTACTTTGTTCTTCTGGTTGCGAAAAATAGGTTTGGTTTTGAACAAAATGTATTAATTACAATATGATTTAACTACAATGTGATTACCGAGTATTATATATTAAATGATGTTCTTGATTGATATTCGTGAAGGGCCAATAGATGCTAAAAGAAATAAATAAAAAATGAAAGAAGAATTTTAAAGATTAAAGAATTGAATACCCCTCTTATTGATCATTTTCAACTTCTTCCTCAACTTCATCAATATCCAAAGATACGAAACTATAGAGGCCTCCTTGAGATCTCTTATGGCCATGATTTATATGGCGGCCAAGAGATTTTGCAAGTCCATAATTACCTCCATACAATGAACTCAGAGATCCACCCCCAGTATTAGAGGTAGAAAATGGTACCGAAAAATCAACTGGAGTATCATTAATTGGATCAATGAGTGATAAAGTATTATTGGAAATAGCTGAATCAATAGTTGATTTGGGAGTGACGGTAGATAATGGTGAACTTATAATGGGTGAAGAATCTGTTAACAGGGCAGTGCTTGGTTTAGTATTGATTCTTTTAAGGCTATGACGAGAGGCTTTTGTTTTGAGTGAAGGATTATTATTAATGGTATTAGAAGGATTTGAACTATTATTAGGAAATTTAAATCCAGAATTAGGCATATTATTTGAATTATGATTAATTTGGGTATTTTGTTTAACACTTGAAATATCATTGAATGGAGAAGTGATTGGTACATTGTTGTTGTTACCATTAAAGGATGAATTTTTCCTTAGATGAGGAGCTTGAGGAACCGGGGCACTTGGTTTTCTCATCATTGGATTTAATAATGAGGTGGATGAAGATTTAGCGGCCATTGAAGGGAAAGGACTAACAGAATTACTTGAATTTCTATTCAAATTGGATGAAAGAGATGATGTCTTTTTATTGCTGAGATTAGATTCAAAAAGTTCTGGGAATTCAATCATTGGAGATGAATAAGAATCAGCTAATGAATCACTTGAAGAAAATGCAGAATATTGATCTGATGAAAAAGATGATGCTGATGAGTTAATGGAAAAAGTTGATGCAGAATTGATATTAGTGCTATTAGATAATGAAGGTCTATGATTGGGTTCTTTACTGTTAAGGGATGATGTTGATCTGAATAAAGCTGAAGGTGGTTGAAAATCATCATCAAAGAAACAAGATGATGAAGACATTTCGAAATTTTTAGAATCTGGAGAAGTGCAAGAATTGAAAATTGATGGAGTTGATACTGTAGAAGATCTTGAAGCTCTATTATCATTAATAGTATTTGAATGTCTATTTTGAACTTTAGTTGAAGATCTATGTCTTTTCAAAATCTTTAAATTTTCAGCATGAGAAGTAACAGTTGTATAAGAATTTGATCTGTTATGAGCAAAAGGTCTATTATTTGATGGTTTACTTGAAATCATGGAAGTACTAATATTAGGAAAATGGTTTTGAGATTTAGCTCTAGTTAATTTAGTTTCCTGTCTAACTTTACCCATTTCTAATTCACAAGTCTTTTGATAATTAATATTTTTCATTTCAATATAACCTCGAGGATAACAATTTGTTTTATATTTATCAAAGAAATTCTTATAACCACCTTCTAAAACAACAATATCAGGATAGGATAAGAAAGGATAATGATCACTATTTAAAATACGATCACATTTTCTTAAGTGAGAAGCCATGGTTGGACCTCTAAATATGCTAAATTCACAATGAAAAATAAGTAATTTTTTCTTATCATTATTAATAGAATTAGTTGAATTTAATTTAGAAGTAATAAATTTTTGTTCTAAATCTTTTTGAGATGAAATATTAAGAGATCCATTTATATGACCACCTTCAAATTCATAATTGAAACGACAATCAATGATAATAAATTCGTCAAATTCATGATTGTATTCACCATTTACAATTTTGAACATTTCATCTTCGTCAATTCTTGGTAATAAATCATTATCAACTTTAAAAGTTTTGATTGAAGTATTAGATAAATGGGAGTTATCTTCCATCATCATATCATTATAAGATTCTTTTTCTTTATTAGTTTGATACATTGAATGAATTCTTCTAATACTTTTATCGGTATAAGCAGTACTATTTCTAGTAGGTTGAGTAGGAGAGTTTGAAAGTTCATTCATAAGATGATCTTCATCGTTAAGGGTAGTATTATTTCCATCATCATCATCATCATCGTCTTCGTCATTGTCGTCATCAACATCAGTATCTTCCAGAGAACCTTGACGTTGGTGATGAGAACGATAACGATTCAAAAAATTATTAGATCTATTTAAACCTTTATTATCGGAATCATTTTGGGAATGTTTAGAAACCAGAGTCATTGATTTAGTAAGACTTTTGGATTTAGAAGAGAATTTCATCTTCATTGGGAATTCAAAATTATTAACAAAATTAGATAAATTTTTAAAAGGTTTACGATTAGTTAAAGGAGAAGAAGAATTAGGAAATTCATTTTTAACCATCAAGTTATCATTTTGTTGAAATTGATTTGAATTTTTAGATGCATAAGGAGAATCCGAATCAAGATAATCATTGGTATCACCATTGATATCGGCGTATTTAAAATACTCATCCAATTCTTTGGCAGGAGAATCAAAATAACTACTCAAAGGACGATCTCTTTTAGGAGCAGGGTTTGTTCTTAACCTTGATTGGTCAACCAGTTTACCATCACCGGCCTCATCAGCAAGAATCTTTGGGATGAAAGACATTTTATTCTTAGGAAATGGACTTAGACTAGAATCATTTAATAAGGATAAATTCTTATTCTTCCCGGATGATGATGAAGGAGATGATGTTGAATTAGTACCGAGGGACGTTAATGGAGGACCTAAACTTTTTCCCACTAGAAAAGAATCAGATTCATTCTTCATTCTGCAAAGGAATATACCAAGTTATATACTTGACCAATTCTGAATGAACTAGACCCCCAAATGAAACCAATTTGAAACTAAATCTCAAGACTCCAACCCGATTCTAGAGCGGAAACAGTCGAATTGACAATAGTTGAAGATCGGTTGAGTGACGAGTTACAACAAAGATGAGCTTACCTCAAAGACTGCTGCTATTATTAAGCTGATTTCCCAGTTTCTTAATTGTTTTTGCTAAGTATTGTCTACAAACAAAAAACTAGCACCAAAAACAAAAAAAAAAAAAATAATAATAATAAAAAAAAAAGTAGAGTTTCAGGATTCACAAAAGAATGGCTATAACGTGACTTCACAAAGACAACGAAGCTAAGTAAAGCAAGTGGGAAGAGATTCGAGACTAGAGGACGGTTGTAAGTCAAGCTCGAGAGGTAAAAGTAAAAAGCCGGCGAATTGGGGAGGCAGTAATGGAAACTTGGGAAGTAACGGTACTAAATGCACAAATGATGGTTGGGAAGACAGCCAGAGAAAAATCCCAAAACAGAAGGAACGACAGATTTGGGCAAGGAGCGAATGTAGTTAAAGAAGTGAAAAAGAGTGAAAGGGAGTGAGTAGACTAGGAATAATTAGACTGGGGGGATGATGTTATAGAGGAAGATGCAAAATTTGAGAGGGAAAAATTGGTATATATAATAAGGATAGACATGAGATCAAATGGCTTCTACAACCCTCTCGCAACTTGAAATTGATCAAAGTTAGGATATTGTTTTAGCCTTTGCAACATTGGAAAGGTAACGAAAGCATAACAACCCCAAATTAGGGAGTATATCGGCTTTTATTACCTCCCTCTATAAATTTCTTTCCTTTATTTACTTTACTGTATTTATTTGTGTTAAAAACCATCTTGCATTCGTTCTTCCCTCTCGAAAATATTGGGGGGATGGTGGTTTACAGAGAATGATTGCTAGTTACAATTTTGAACTCGTGATTAAAGTTAATTGCTCCAGCAGCTTGCTATATATGGGTGCTTAGAAAGCAATCATTGTATGTCTCAAACATAAAAGCTTTCCTAAATTGAATGGTTTGTTCTTTCTGATCCCAAAAACATTCACCTACATGACCTTGCTTTTATCTTTTCCTATCAGATGAATTGTTTCCTTATTCTGGCTGCATAAACACGGCTATTCGAATTTCTTTTGCTAAAATTCATAATTTCTTCATAAATTATTTCCTGCCATACATTGGGGCTCTTCAATGCTTTGCATCTACGATTTACTTTTTTGTTTGTTTGTCTTTCTTTGTTTATGTTCATATAGCTTATATTTTTTTCTTTTCTTTTCTGTTTTCTGTTCAATGGTGTCTTTTCCATTGGGGTTTTACCACATCTTCCATGCTTAGACTGATCTTTCAACCGTTTTTCTTTCGTCATTTCACTTCTCTCCTCTTGTTTGAATTTATTAGCCAGTTATTATTTTGAATTGTTTGTTGTTTCAGTTGAGTTTACAATTATTTTCTCTTGTTGTTTGTCTATTGACCCAAACGATCAAAAGTCTATCTTTTTTTTGTTCTTGTTCAGATGTATGCCGTAGTTCAATACCTTGTGTTCTTACTAGTCATTTGACTTTGAATAAGTTGGTCAAACAATAGTATTCGATAAGCACTAAAACCGTCCCCTCGAGTTCAAAATAAAGGGACAAAGAAAAGGTAAATAGAAGGTATAGAAAAGTTGATCCGAGCCAAACTCTTTTGATTCGTGTTCCACTTGGTTCATAACTTCGGAGAACTTGCTTTGCACATGCTCCTCCGCTTGCCTTAGTCCTTGCCTTGATCTCCTCTTCCTTCCTTCCTTCTTCCTTCCTCGTCTCCTTTTCTCCCTTCTTTCTCCACTCATCTCTTCTTCTTTCATCCTTTCTTTGATCTCTCTTCGTCTATTCATTATTCCACCCACCATTCATCCATCTATATTCTTCTCCCGTTCCACCTGAACGCGTTTGGGTCGTTCGCCATTATTTGTGTAATGTTTTGGTTGCTTCCAAATCAAGTAGTTCGTTTTTTTTTCGCAATTTTTGTTTGTTGATGTTTTGATGTTTTCGTGTAGCACCATCTTCCTTTATATTATGGGTATTTTAATGACGAATGTATTCACTCATGTAGATCTTCTACAAGGTATTCCTTGGTACAAAGACAACAAACAAACGACTCCCTGGTGATGCCCTTCTTTCTTTTGTAGTCCCTCGAGTACCTGCTTGTTCTACTTGTGTTCAAATGCACCTAATTTGTTCTGTTGTCCAGTTGTTCACAAGGAAGTTACCAGTGCAACCTGGTAGTTAGTGGATCATTCAGCAACGTTTTGTCAAGTGTTTTAGTGGCTGTAGTACTTTTAATAGCTGGCGTTTGGCGGGGCTTTAGTGTCTGTAAGTAATTTACTTGCGTAACGGTTGCCATAGTCAAGGGAGAATGCCTTGGTCAGGTTGAATGAATGCCTTGGTCAGGTTGAATGAATGCCTTGGTCAGGTTGAATGAATGCCTTGGTCAGGTTGAATGAATGCCTTGGTCAGGTTGAATGAATTCCTTGGTCAGGTTGAATGAATTCCTTGGTCAGGTTGAATGAATTCCTTGGTCAGGTTGACTGAGAATGCCTTCGAACCATTTCTCCATTCAACCTCTGGGTATCGGGATCCATTCTATTATTGCTCAAATCACAAATTCATGTACTCTCGCTAATCGTATATAGCCTTTTTCATCCTTCATTCACTTTCGTTTTGTTCCTCTTCCCATTTGAACGTCTCCGTTTGATGCTTTTTGAGTCAAATACAAGTGTAATTTGCTTATTGCCTTCCCCTTGTTACTGCCAACGTAATTATAATTCAAGTGTTCGCAAAATCGTCAAGACCGTTAATCGTAAATTGTTCCCAATTGCCCTCATAACCTTGAACTGATGCTTTATTACTTAAGTCTCTACCTACTATCACATGCCTCATGTCTGACTCGGACTCATCCGTTATGTCGGAACGTAACCTTGCAGTTTTGCTGATATGGAATTTTCAACAATGTAATAACTTTTCCTTTTACAGTGTTACTTTTTCATTTCTATTATGTAGGTAATTTATTCTTTTTTTGGTCAATTACTTCCTCCTATTTGGATCATCATCCTTGCCTTTACGAACTCATCATTTCATTATATGATTCTCGAGGCTATGTCTCATCGCTATTGTATACATCGATCTACTCGAATATCGTATGCTTTATTTACATTTAATATTCTATATAATGGGGAATTAATTATTATTCTATCCGATCCAAAAACTCATCCATAGTAGCAATTCTTTTCTTCGGAAGCTCGGTGGGTAGTTGTTGAGGCTTGAAGTGCTCTCGACTGTTTGCATTACTTGAGGTTGAATAAGGAATGTCCAGAGATGCATTTCTTACTCCATTAGTCCAGAAATTAAAATTATCATCACCCCCAACAACAAAAGTGTCATCCGCTTGTTCCTCATCACTGAAATTTTCATCTTCAACTTCATCACTATTTCTACTGAAATCTAATTGATCATTTACAATCCCACGACTGAAAGCTGTTGGTGTTGTCTGATTTCTTAGCGATGAATAATCGTGCTGTAATTGTAATGGTGACTTCCCAACAGTATTTTTAAAACTATAAGGAGATTTTTGTGATTGCAGTGGTGAATTGTCAACAATGTAATTAGTAGGAGATTTCAATGGCTTTGATTTAGGAGGCGGTAAACTTGGTAACTCAATCTCCTCTTGTTCGGATATACTGGAGCTAGAAAGCAGACTCAGTCTTTTATGTTTTGATTTTGTGGTTGAGCTTAATGAAAATGCATCATCGGTTAAGTAAGCATTCAAGTTCAATGATGATGTCGAACTAGCTATTCTAGTTAGCCCGACCGATCTAATCGAGGACGAGACAGAATTCTTCCTAGAGCAAGTTGGTGACGCAACATTCTTGGGAGATTCATTGAAAACTTTCAGTGAAATTGAATCTTGATTCGGAATCTCAAATGATTTATTATTCTTGTAGGATTGTTCACTTGATTTATTGTTTGAATCGGTTTTTGATGTTAAACCACCAAATATAGGTGGAGGTTCCATCAAATCAGTAAATTTTTTGGTATTTTGTAATCTTTCCTTGGGTTTCTTCTCAGGTGATGATAATGAACTAATTGTTGGCTTTTTCTCGGACTCTGCTGATTGTAATTTGGTTGATTTTTTGGATCTGCTAAAAAATCTTCTCGAGGGACTAATCATTGATTTGATCGACGATGGAGATCCAGCTCCAATAGTGATTATCTCATCATTAGTTGTTCCAGGAGTCATTATAGGAGAATGGTTAAACGTCTGTGTCGATAAAGGAGTTTTCTGGGCAGTTGTGATGGTATTGAGTGAAGGATCAGAGTTACTTTTCTTTTCATGAAATGAATCTTTAATTTTCAATGGAGGTGGTACACCCACTTTATTCTTCGATTCAAACGATGGGTTCTTTAAAGTATCTTCACTATTAAATGCTGCAATATTTGTTGGTGAATTGAGGAAAAATTTATCAATGCTAAAATTATCATTACTTGGTTTTTCTCGTAAAGTTCTCGTGGTAGCTGATGGTGGCTTTTCCAAAGCTTTATGTGAAGATATACTCAAATTACTTGAATTCGAAATTAACATATTAAAGGCACTTTGACTATCTTGTTCTTTTAAGTTATCATCGTTTAGAGACCTCAATACCTCTGAGGTATCATAAGGTTCAACTTCTTCCTTTTCAAGAGATCCCATTGAGCTTGAGTCATCAAAGTACGAATTGAGTAGATCATCAACGGGTTCTAAGTTACTTAATGATGTTGGATCATTCAATAATTTTTGTTCATTGATTTCGTGTTCTTTTTGTTGTTGAATGATGTCATGATTAGGAGGAGCCGGAGAGGGCTCAGGCTTATTACTAAAGAATCTTCTTATCTTAGTAGCAAGACCAGTTTCATTTGATATAGGTTTATTTTGATTTGAAATCAACTTCTTATTAAACTCCACGAATTCACTTATTTGTTTTGAATTTTGTAAGTCAAATGTGGTGAAAGCATGCTGTTTTATATCTTTTATAGTCATCCTTTGCTTAGGATCCTTAATGAGTAATTTATTGATCAAATCTTTTAATAACTTTAATTCATTAACATCTTCTAATGTAGTTCGTGATGATTTCTTGATTTGAGGGAACTTTAAAGGTTCTGTGACGATTTTTTTGAAAAGGGAGAATTCGTTATTACCATTGAAGGGTAAATTATGGAATACTAAACAGTAAAGAATTACTCCTAATGACCATAAATCAATTTTATTATCGATTTTACTCTTGGCTCTGTCGGCATCATTAAGCATGGATAATCTATTATTAACAAATTGACATAGTTCAGGAGCAAAAAATGCTGGGGTACCCATTGTTTTACCCAATTCTTTATCATCATTAGCATTATTTTCAAGAATTAGACTAACTCCAAAATCAGAAATCTTAATGGTTTTATCAGCACTGATCAATAAGTTGGATGGTTTTAAGTCACGGTGTATTATATGCTTGTAGTCATGGAGGTACTCAAGACCGTTTATTACATCCCTTAATAACTTATTCAAAGTAAGTCCCTCTCCATTCTTATTGTGTTTTTCATGATAATGGTTATAATTTTTCCAATCAACCTCACCATATTTGCAGTACTCCAACACTAGCAATATCTTATCGTATTTTAAATCATCAATAACTTGATATAGTTGAACAACATTGGGATGTTTACAACCTTTCATTATTTGAATTTCCCTCTTTATCTTGGTCGTATGACTCAAGTATGTTTTCGTTATAAGACGCGTCTTATCAATACGATTGATGGTCTTTATAGCTACATACTTGTTCTTGGGGCTTTTTTCAATGCTTTTCTTCCTGGATCCTTTGATAGAATTGGTGGATGGGGTTGGCAGTAAAATATTGGAATCCTTCTCCGAAACATTTTCTGCTAGCATTACCTTACCAAATTGGCCCTGTCCTATCTTTTTTAATATCCGATAGGTATTATTGATGATCTTCCTATTCGAACTACCCTCATTTTCAATCGATAGATGAGAAACGTCCATTCTTTCATCGATTTTGAATAGTTTCTTGGGGGTCTTTTTTTTTTTCTTTTTTTTCAATACAACGTCTCTCTAAGTTAACATTGGCAGTAACAAGAGTTTCCGAAAGGTCTATTAATTGTTTATGGAGTTCACTCTTCTAGTTTATTTTCTCTCCCTTCTGACTTTGATAAATGTATGTTTAAGGGGCTTGGACTCGGTTCGAACTCAACGGTATATCTGATTTCGAGGTTAAAAGATGTAGCGAGCAGGAAAAAAGTCGCTTTTAGAAAGATCATATGCAGTCAGATAAAACTGTTTAATAGGGCATCTTGCAACTGAAAGACTGCAAAAAAGCCAAACTACTTGAATTTGAAATACAACAGTTGTAGTAGGTAAGTTAAAACGTTCGACTTAAGTGGTTTGCGCTTTAGTAATGTAATTGAATTTTGAAAATGCGAGAATGGGCCATTGGCTTCGGCTCGTTTTCAATTACTTGAACTGATCAGGGAAGTTTTTAGTAAGTAGAGGGATTAGAAGTATTCAAAAAGCAGTTGTAGTTAAGATACATGATGATGAATTAGGCGTTCGGTGGCAATGTTTTATTTCTTTGAATTTTGAAAGATTTTTATAGCTTTTTGGGGAAATATTGATAGAAGAAACCAATATTAACTTTTAAAAAGCTAGTAAGGGCCATTAATAGTAACTTTCTATAAGGGCACGGATATGATTTAGTAACTACAATAATCTACATGAAGACATAATACTAAGAACATCATAAAAATCAACATTATAAAACTCAACAATAATTATACCCGTTCCAAGTGTTGAGTATCGACCTTTTCCTTTCTCTTATCATTGTCAAGCCTTTCATCGGTAATGGATTCCTCCATTGAAGACTTGACTCCAGTGGCTGCGAATTCATCTTCAATCTTTTCATCTCTGTCACCATCAAGAGAGGTACCTCTATTTTCAGGACCAACAAACATAATTAAGATAAGATAACCAAAGACACAACCCATGAAAATACTCATAACTGTTGCATAATCATAAGCACTTTCACCATTGACAGTAATAGGGAAACGTTCACCAATAGTACTTTCAATAGTTGAAGAAGCACCACTAGCCAAATTACCTAATTGGTAAGACAAACCCAGGATTAAAGATCTATAAAGGGGAGGAGATAATTCAGCAAGATGAATTGGGACAATTGCCCAAGAACCTTGAACGAAAAATTGAAGAAAGAAAGCTCCAGCATTAATACCAGCACCACTTGAGAAAGCCCATCCATAAATACAAACCCCACCAAGAACACTGGAGATCATAACAGTTAAACGACGACCAACAAAAGAACTTAAATGACCTAAAGTAAGCCCACCAGCCATTGCACCCAAGTTAGCAACACAATTAGTTACCGTTGAACGATCTTTACCAAAGCCTTTTTGAGCAGTTAACATGGTTGGATATAAATCTTGCGATCCATGAGAACTAAAATTAAAACCTGCCATCATTAAAACCAAATAAACAAAAATCAACCAATAACGCTTGAAAGCATCTTTTGCAGCATTACTCATGGTAAATTTTTCCCCCAATTTTGTATTAGCAGTATTTGATTCTTTACGTTTAATTAAATTTTTTTGAGTGACTTCAGTTTCTCTCAGTAAGTAAAGACCAAGAATCATTAAGAATGGGGGACCAGAAGAAAACCAAAAGATAGATCTCCAACCGTAAGGAGAATTATCAACAATTGCTCTGGTGAAAATGACTGCTAATAAATAACCAAAAGCATAACCTTGCTGAAAAATACCACTAACAACCCCTCTAGCTTTAATTGGACAATCTTCTAAAGCATAAGCAGCAGCGTTACCAAAGATCCCACCCATAAAACAACCAAATAAAGCACGAACACCAAGAAAAGATTGATAATCTTTAACAAACCCAGTACCAATCTGAAGAACACATAAAATGAAAAGATTAATCATAAGAGGCCATCTTCTACCGTACATTTCACCCATATAACCAAAGATAAAAGCACCCACTGAACGAAGAAACAAAACCAACGAAATCGACCACGATAAATCAGAAACCGAACGATCAAAATACTCACTCAAGGCCACCATATTCAAAGAGACTGCAAAATAATCTAAAGCATCAAACGTCCAAATAATAAAAGCCAAGAGAAAATAACACCAATTTCTGAGTGATAAACTGCTCAACGCTTCAAAAGGATTTAAAATATCTGACCAAGTATATTGAGCTAATTCTGATTTTGGAACAAATAAGCTAGTAAAACGAGAACAAAAATACTTCAATATCGCTCTTGAAGTAAACGTTGGTGGTTTAATCACATGTTTATTATGTTCTTTAATGATTTCAGAATCATGGGATGAAGATATAGATAACCTATTACTCATTTTGTCTTTTGTATTAGATACTTTTCAGAAAAACTACAATTATACTGATTACCACCTCCAATATTTATACTCTAACTGTCAGAATAATTGAACGTTACAAAAATTCTAATCTAAGAACGCGGGGAAAAGGATAGTCTAACCCATTTAGTTATCATTGGTTTCATTATAACCCTATGGACGAAAAAAATAACCTAAACCACAACTCAACTAAATTGCACCATCAGAACCTCCCCTCTACAAGACAAGAATATTTTGTTATCCCATCACCGGTCTATGACAATCCCAATTTCAACTTCAATTAAAGTTTGCAACTCTCCTGGTCCAACAAGCTGAAGAAGAGGAGGAACAGCAATTGGAGGAGGGGCATAGAGTCAAACTTGTAAACTGCAAAATGGGGATTGAAGTTGCAGATGTCATGCATGAGCGTTAAAAAATAGTTCAAACTGCAAAAATGAAGTCAGAGTTAGAGATTCGGTGTTTCCAGTAGAGAAGAGAGTTTGGAGCCTAAAAAGCTGGGGTTAAAAAATGGGTGAAATCGATGAGTTGCTGATACGAAGAATGTGAACATCTTGCTTTCGCTAAAAGAAGAAGGCAAGATAATACGATATACCAGCTGGATAAACTCCAGAGGAAAAACGAGTGGTGGGGTCAGTAGATACGGCATTGTTCTCAGATCTTCTACTTCAAATACCAAGACATATCTATCAACAGGATTGATTTAAACAGCATTGTTTTACTGAAAAGCAGGGGATTCGTCCCGGTGGTTTATCCTATTCGCTCCGAAGGTGGGGTTACAGAAATACAAATGATGCTAGAGAATAGTGATACTTTTATTCCGGTAATTACCATAAAGATCTTTCAACTATGTAATCAGCAACCACTGGACGGTGATCACTCATGTAGAAATCAAAATAGCTGTGTAAGATTCCAAAAGCCTTGATGACGATATTGTACTGTTGGTGAAGATTGACATTGTAATAATTAATATCAGCAATGTCGGAATCTTCCGTCAAGGCCAAACCGTCTTCGATGAGAGACAAATCTTTTGATTCTCCTCCTTCGATCCCGGGGACCTGTTCTTCAAACTTTTCATTAGCATTATTAATACTCAATTCATGAGAAACAGGTTTATTGCCATTCTTGGCAAAGTAAGGTGCCCAAATGTAATCAATGATGGTATTATCTTCATGATGTTTATCAAATCCTGTAAAAGTGGACCAATGTCCGTAGCTGTTTAAAGAGTCAGCCAAAGTTCTACTATCTTTGAAGCCATGTTCTTTTAAAATATGATAAGGTTCATCAGTTGGTTGAGTATTGAAATCTCCACATAAAAATGATGGATAATCATTATAATTTGTCATTCTATCGATGATTAATAAAGAACTTTTCCTTCTAGCTTCGATTCCTTTATGATCATAATGGGTATTGAAAAAATTGATCTTGATTAATGGATTAACTCGTGATTGTAAAGTAACCATGGTGACGATTCTTTCTAATGCAGCGTCCCAACCTCTACTGGGGACGTCGGGGGTTTCACTTAACCAAAAAGTCCGGTTTTCAATAACACTCCATTCTTGATCTTTGAATAAAATTGGAGCATATTCTCCTCTTGTCAATCCATCACTACGTCCAACTCCATAGTAAGTCCATTCTCCTTCATTCCCGTGGTTCAAGTTGAACAAAATATCCTCCAACTGATTATGTAACACCTCTTGTAAACAAACCACATTAGCATTTCCTGGTCTGGTATTAAAGGCAATACTTGATGTTATCAATTGCTTTCTTTTAGACCACGGCTTCTCATGAGAATCCCGGTTCTTATTATCAAACCTAATGTTATTCGTATAGATACGTAAGTTCAATGGATCCACCAAATTAGGGAAATGGGCTTCATATCTTAAAGGATGAAATGATATTCTAAACATCAGTAGCAATACCCCAATTAAAATCAAACTAATCGAAATCACCTTCAAATAAAAGAACTTCCCCTTCCCTTTCCCCTGGTTCTTATCTTCAGTTCTTCTCTCTTCCAACTCAACTGCTCCGTAGCTTGTTTGTCCGTTCATTAAGGATTCGTCTTCTGTCATTCTTATCGTTATCTCTACAAAGTACCCTACTTCTTTCTTATATCCCTGTTCAAACGTGGGGTTGAGGGCCCCTTCCAGCTTCGTCTCCTTTGGCGTGATTGCAAATTAGGGCTACACGACCTCCGTTTTGCGGCCTAATAAACCCATACATCTATGTTTTGTAGTATTATATATTAAACTTATATACATTCAGTGTCTTTTGATGGGCTTGGTGGTGTGTTCTTCGACACCGGTGGCCGATGGCTCATCGTCTTTGATTTCGACAATTTTGGCTTCTTGCTCGGGGGTTTCGTTCTTTGGTAGTTCTTGTTTCGAAGCAGCCAATACAAATACAAGTACGTTAATAATAGCAAAACCAAAGGTGAATATGGTCAAGAAAGCACAGCAGTAAACGACGAATTTCAAAGGCTCATTTAAGATGAGGTCAAGGGGATTTAATCTGAATTCATAGTAAAAATCTTTTATATCTAAAAATTGTCTTAAGAAAACAATTCTAATAAATTCAATGAATTGGGTTAAAGTGGATTCGTTATCGTCATTCAAAAAATCTTCGAAAGACACTGGAGGTTGGATTGGTTCAATTGGAGCACGGGGTCTATTCAAATCGTAATCATCATTTTCTAGAACTGATTTTGGATTATAAGTTAAATTACCAATTAGTTCAGCTTCTTTGATCGAATGACCCAAATAAATATTATCAAACATGATGTCTTTACTCATAGTCCACAATTCAAACCCAATACCATCGATTAATCCAATATTTGAAGGAGTTTTATCTTCGTAATAATCTGGATTTAAGATTTTACGAGGTTTCCAGGTTCCTTTATAATTTGGATTAATAATATCTGGTTGTAGCCAAATACCTCTATAATTTGCGTTTGGTACCATTGGAGGTTGCCACTCACCACATCCTTTAGTTTCACAAATTGGATTTATAATATCGGGAGAAATCCATTCGCCATCTTCTTCGTCATTCCAATCTTCTGGTTTAACTGCTTCAGGATCAGGAATAAATAGAGGTTCACTTTCATCCCAATCCTCGGGTTTGACTGCCTCGGGGTCTGGAATGTACGCATTCCCATAAAGTTCATCATAATCATCTGGTTTTGCTGGGTAATTTGGATCGGGGATAAATTTACGATCATCCCAACTCAAAGGTTTTGTATCATAAGGATCTTCGATTTCCTCAGGAGGATTCAAGGGAGGAGTCAATAAAGCTGTGTTTTTAACTAAATTACCTGCTTTAGCAACATCTCCATTAATTCTAATTTCAAAGTCTTGATTCTTTTTCAAAATTAATGTATAAAGATTAGTTAACTGATCATTTCTTGACATTGGTGCAGTTCTTAAATGATGTGCTTCAACTTCTCCAGTGGAGGGGTTTGGTCTATTTATAATAAAGTGTACTTTATCATTGGATCCACAAACATCAGGTCCAAACATAATTTGATATGGGGTTTCTCCATTGAATTCAGATTCATCATACCCTTGATTCAAAAGCTTAACATAGGTCCCACCACAACTTAATCCATCTTGTAACTTAATTTCATATTGTAAAACCAAATCCTGATCAGTATTATCAAACGATTCATTTAATTTATACGAAATTGCATGGTAAGCCGCAGGGGTCTTCATCACTAATCCTTTATCACCTTTAAATCCAGGGTATACCTTTGATGTTTCAATTGCCCACTGGCCTCTATAAGTGAACTCGTCATCTTTCTCTGCATGGCTGATTCTCCAAGGCGATTCATTAATATCTTCATAATCAAATTGTTCAAAAATGGCTGCATTCTTCAACACTGATTTTTTCAATGGCTTATATTCCGGCACGTCTGACGCTATGGCAACCCCTGCGGCAACCGCAAGAGTAACACCAACACTGAAACAGCTCAACTTCATCCTTGCAATCTGTCCTAGTACAGAGATTAGTACGGATGATGTGTTTGAAATTTATGGAAAATTTAATTTAGAGTCGCGCATGGATCAATATCAGATTTCGATTAATATACAACTACTTAGTAGAAAGGCAAGTATGAAGAGATAATAGAGGAATGAAGTGAAGGTGATAGAGGAAGTGAAGGTGAAACTTAACGTATAAATGGAAATTAAACGAAAAAGTAGGAAGTAATGGAATAAGTGAAAGAAAGACAAGTAATGGATTATGCTTCGGTTTCTTCAAGAAGGGCAAACTTGTTGGCCGAAGAAGGAAGCTCATGATCCTCACTGCCGTCCTTGTGGTCCTCGCAGCCATCCTTGTAAAAATCTTCAACGTATGCGTCTTCTTCCATTTGGTCTTCTTGCTCTTGGGTTATTTTGGGTTGTTCATTGAGCTCATCGTGCACGTCGTTCTTGATCTGTATATCTTTATTGATTCTCTCCCAGCCGGACTTTCTGGCATTCTGAACGTACTTGGCTCTTTCCATACTCTGTTGGATCTTGTGATTCAAGATCCCTTCAATCTTGCTTGATCTTTCAGTTTTATGCTTCAACGAACTGGTGCTTTTCCTATTGAGTTTTTTGATTCTCTTGTTTTCAATTTTTTTATTCAACAAGTTTTCGTTCTTGATAGTGGTTCGGATAATAGACTTCTTAACGTCACTGTTCTCCTCTTTTGGAATGCTGGATAACTCTTTGGCTTCGTGACTAACGTCATCCTCGAGTCCTCTTCTTGCGGCTCTGCTATGCTTGGAAACTGGCCCAAAGTTAGTATTCTGTTCGTGCACCGCTACAGTTCCTAGTACATACCCTTCTTAGCCATATTTAATTTTTTGGTCTACTGCTAACCGGTGTTCAATGAAAAGTTGCAATCATTTACGTCTGCTCTGCTCATCTCCTTTTTTTTTTCACATCATATCCCAACCTCCGTACATCTGATTAAAACCCATACACCAATACAATTCCTTAACATCACCAAAAGCTCCTTCGGGTTTGTTCATTAAAGAAGCTACTTTGATAACAAACTTCGACTGCAAAATGAATATCTACAACAAAAACCAAGCTTCTCTTGACCAATTTGAAATGGGTGGAACCGGCCCAGTTGCCGGTGTCTCTTGTGCCAACGGTCTAGGTATCAAATGTTATGTTTGACTACGCAAATCGAAACAGAACCTTGACTATAATAGTTGAAGAACACTTAATCCGAGGTAAAATTGAAGATTCAAGGATATACATTGAAGTGGAATTGAATGTTTTCAACCTATTGAATAGTCGAGTGCAACTATGTTGTGAGTTGATTGATTTATGTGATGAAATGGGGTTAAAAGAAGTATACTTTATTATTGATAAATTTGGAAATAATAATAAGGAAATTCAATTTTTTTATAAAATCATGAAAGCTACGTTTGATGGAGAATTGGTGTTACCATTACAAGATGAATTTTTCAATAAAAGTGTTATTAAAATTTCTATATAACTCAATTTAGAACCCGTTTACCATTTTCATTTATTTCATCAGAAGTATCGTTATCTAATGCTTTAACTGCTTTAACATAATCATTTATAGCTTTATCAAGACCTTGTTGTAGAGGAAATACACAAGTATCAAGATCTTTTATCAACTTATCTTTCAATTTTTCATTTTTATTAATAGCATCATTAGAATTGAAGATTTTTATAATATTATCAATTAATTCATTTAAATTTGATTTACACTGTCTTAAACTGGCAAAGATTTTCTTCAACTGGATAGGATTATTACCATTTAAGAAGATTGACCAAAAATGTGATAAAAATTCCATGATTGTTATATTGAAAGTGATTAATTGTTGATAAATTGAATCATTTATAATATTATTATTATTTTGAAAATTTAATTGATTTGAATCTTTAAAATTATTTATAATTTTGTAAATTTTGGAATTATGTTTTGTAATTGTAATAAAATCAGAAACTGATTTGTCGATAACATTCTCTTTATTTTGATAAATATCATTTAGGTTTATACTATTTTGATGAAATCCACAATTTTTATAATATTGTTTAATATCCTCAATTGGTGTATTTGTGATTGAAGTAGTACTGACATCATCTTTTATATCCAACACGGGGTTTTCGTAATTGATATTATTCGATATGTTTAATTGGATATATTTTAATTCTTCATGATCATTTAAATCGTTCAAATTTAATTCTTCTTCGAATTCGTCGATTTCACTCGGTGATAATTCACTCGATCCACCTCTCTTAGGTATATTGTTCACGGTATTTGCTTCCAAGATTGAATTCATACTGATAATTTTAGAACTTAATTTATTCATGTTTTTCATTAATATGATCATTTCATTTTCTTGTCCCGGACCCTTTGATTTCACTTTGGTGGTCTTATCAGTGTCATCTAAAAATCTCATCGTAATATCCGGTTTATTACCTAATTTTTGAGAATTATCATCCTGATTTGCTCTTAAATCAATAATTTTCTTAACTTCAGTATTCTCTTCATTATTTTCGTTTGGTTTTTCCTCAGTGTCAAGATAATTGACATCAATGTATAAATACTTATCTAAAACAACATCTCCTCTAGTGTTTATAGTATTAATTTTATCCCCTCTCAATCTTCTAAACAATTTTGAATTGAAAAATCTTGACCAGAACTCACCTTCACTAGCTTTAGCTGGAACCAAATCATCAAAGGCTCTTTTGATGATTGGATAAGTATCGAAAATTTCATTAATAGTATCCCTAGTAACATTCACATTAACCTGATTATCTGAAGTTGCCACTGGTTTAATAGTGGATAATACATTATAAGGACCTCTATGTTGCGAAATTGTCAACGCATAAGTCCTTAATTGATTCAATCTGGTTGACCAGAACACATTGGGAGATAATTTGAACTTAATTACCGATTGAGTAAAGATGTTTCTTAAATTTTTATCTTCTAATAAATATTTTTGCTGTAACTGATGGTTTTTCAATAAGCTTGCATCGCTTAATGAGTCGGGATTCGTAAACAGCATCATATCATTGCTCGAGGTTGCTGTCTTTGGTGGTGATGTGGCTGAAGGGGTTTGGTTCGGTGCAGGGGATGCAATTGCTGGTGTTGGTGAATCTTTAATGATAGTCTTCAGTCTAGCAATAATCGTTTGTAATGATTCTTTGATGTTATTCATCGTGGGCCTATTGGTAAAAGACAACCTCAAGTCTTTCTCTTCGCCATCCTGATCGTATAAGATTCTCAACATCAATTTATTGGAAGATTCTTTTGGTGCTTGTAGTTTTTTCAATTTGTTCAATGCAATCGTGACAATTTTCAGCTGATCAATGGCTTTCCATTCCAAAACCGAGGGAGTCACTTCTTCCAATATATGGAGCATCCCTGAAACATTCTTGACCGAACATGCTCCTGATACCGTCGACATTGTGGTATTAGAATAAAGCGATTTGTAAAGGAAGCTGATTCAATTAATGGTTTATATGATTTTCATTTTGAGGGTGTGCTCAAACCGAAAAACTCTTCTATAAAAATTATAAGGGGAGAAAAAGAGTAGTACTTGAAGATACTTTATTACATTTCTATCAACCGATTTACAAGTACCCAGCAGAGAATGTTAGCCAGAATAACCCGTCTTGGGTTGAGGAACCAGTTAAGAACCAATTTGAGGAGTAATTCCAGACTGATATTGAGGTATCAGTCCACGGTGCAGGGGGAAACCAGGGTGAAGACTCCAGTTACGGTAGACCGGGAATTTCCAGATCCTTTTAAACAGCAGAAACAAAATCGTTATTATTTCGTTGCCTACGGTATTGGAGTCACGTTATCGTGTATTATAATTTTCAACTATGAGAAAACCCGATCTCCAGTGATCAACTCTGTTTTGTATTGTTTACGTAGAAGTGACAAGATTAAGAATGAATTGGGGAATAATATTGACTTTACTTCGAGTTGGCCATGGATTTCCGGGGAGTTGAATACCATGCAAGGAAGAATAGATATTGAGTTTAGAGTTGGGGGAGACCGTAATAAAGGTACTTTGAAATTGAAAGCTACAAGAGATTCTAAGTTAGAGCCTTTTAATGTTCATGAATGGAAGTTAATCATTGATGATGGTCCCGAGATCGACTTAAAGAAAGACACTTCGGTGGAGTTTGGTTTTTAGTCATGTAAATAGCACCGTATCTGAAAATGTATATATTTGTAATTGCCAGTGCAAGATGCAAGAACGTAGATTATTTGATTTCATTAACTTGGATGATTGTTCAGTATAACGGAAACCAGCAAGCAATTAATCAGTGTTAGTATTGTATTAACATATTGTATTAACATATTGTATTAACATTAGTATTGTATTAGCATTAGTATTGTATTGGCCTTGGTGTTAGTAAGTCGGAACCGGTGTCTCAGGTCGGATCGGATCAGGTCCAGTGGTCGGAATATCGCAAGTCGAGTGGTTTCCCGGATCAGAGCAGCTCTTGTGACCGGAATATCCCAGGCCGAGTGGTCGTATTCCCCGGGTCGGAAAATCGTAGAGCGACCGGGTCGGTGCAGCTCCCAAGACCGGAACCGCATCTCCAGGAAAACACCCGTAACCACGCACGTGACGGGTTTGGAAGGCACGGGCCTGTCTATTTTTAGACCCACACTTCGGTGGGCGCGTCACGTGATGCGTCCCCCCCCTTCTCCCTGCAGGGTTCCTACTTCCCAAAAGGTCAAATCAAGCACCGAATTGGCTTCGGTTCATTTTCACCAAATTAAAAAATGTTACTGGCTGAGTAAATAAAGTATGAGCCCATAGCCTTTAGCAAATTTCAATCGAAAGGAAACCCTCTTTTCTAAAAGGTTTAATTGTTTTAGGGAAAGTTGATCTTATAACAACGGATATTTGCTACTTGATTTTTTTCGGGCAGTTTAAAACTTATACATTCGTTTATTGGGTTAGGTGTCTTTTCATTCAGTTGGGTTAGGTGTCTTCGTTCAGTTGGTAAAAACTTTCGTTGTTGTTGCTAGTTGGATAAGTGAATAACCAGCATAAAAAGAGTACGGTTCAAATACGACTCCGTGTATCGATAGGCCTTTGTTATATTGTTTGTATCACTGAGAGGTATTTTGGAATTTTCGCTTTTGGACGATATTCAGGTTTTTGTCTCCCTTTTTCCAAAGAAAAAGATTTTAGAAAAGCTTTAGGAAGGAAACCATTAGAGGGAGGGTCTAATAGGAGCTTACGTTCGTTTTACTATTGATTTAGAATGGGATATAATCAAGGATTGGCCGTTGGTCTTGGGATTGGGGTTACGGTGATTGTTGTTTTCGCTATTTGTATAGTTATATGGTACCGTAATCAACGTCAACAAAGAAGAGAAGATAATATCGAAAATGATATTGATTTGGATTTGAGAGATAATCAAAGCTTTAGTCAATTCCAGGAAGAATTACATAAACCATATAATGATCCCAATAAATCATCCACAACCCAATCGGGAGATCTGGTTAATAATGAAAAATTAGTGCAAGATCATAATAGCATTAATAGTACCAAATCAGATAAGGACATCATCCAACCACCTCCACAATTAAATCATAATCGTAATTACAGTTCAACGTCAACGGATTTTAATAGTCGTCATAATAAGACGGGATCTTCTTACGATTTTTATGAATCTTTTATTCCAATTTTACCAGAACGTAATAATAATAATAATAATAATAATAATGATATTGATGAAAGTATAATTCAACCTCCTCCTCCAATCAACGATACCATAGAATCAAATCCAACTTCAAATAATAGCTCCAATACTTCCATCATCGGTAATCCAAATACTAAATCTTTAGATAATTTGGCTAAACAATTAACTGGCCCTACTTTTTTCGAAAAATTGCCTTCTAGAGCTGCAACCATAAATGTCAAACAAAGAAATCCAACTAATTTACCTAACAATTCAAGTGGTGACTTGATTCAAAATCAATTAATTGATACTAATGATGCAATTAATGATAATTATGTCTATGAGTCAAATTCCCCCCGTAAAAGAGATACTAAAATTAGTGTTCTATCCAACAATGAAGAACCAGTCCCTTCTCATCCTTATAGAACCATCCATGCAAGTAGTCCCTTTGAAGATAAGAATAAAATCTAATCTTATATAATTTATATTAGAATATATATTGGCCTATACTTTTTTTTTTTTGTATTGCGAAATTTTTCATTTGCCTTTACTCTTCTTCCTTTGAATAATCATGTTTAACTCCCTATTCAGAAGAAAATCTACTTATAAAAGATTTAAAAACTCTCCAGCATATGATCTAAACTATTTTATAAAGCTTTTCACGAGCAGAAACTCAATTCTCCTAGGTTTGGGAGCAGGAACCTTTTATCTTGCAAATTTACATGAAGCTCCCTTCACCAAAAGACTTCGATTCATTTGGGTTCCTCGTTGGATTGAAACCAAGGCAGGTGATTGGTCCTATAGAAGCCTTATGAGGGAACGAGGAGCGGACCTTTTACCTTCAAATCATCCAGTTAACATTAAGGTTACTAGCATAATGAATAATTTATTAACTACTGCCATTGCAAATTCACAAGACCAAGATCAAATCAACCATTTAAAATCTTTGAACTGGTCTGTAAACATTCTTAAATCAGATCCCCATGAACCTCCAAATGCTTTCATCTTACCAAATGGTAAAGTTTTCGTTCTAAGTTCAATCTTACCCCTTTGTAAAAATGATGATGCTTTAGCTACTATATTGGCTCATGAATTATCTCATCAACTAGCAAGACACTCGGGTGAACAACTTCTGAAACTGCCTTTCTTCCTTTTATTAGCTGCTTCGGATTTTACAAAAAATCGTGCATTCAATAGACTTACAGTTGATGGGTTATTGCAAATGCCCAACTCAAGAGAAATGGAAACTGAAGCAGACCGTATAGGCTGTGAAATAATGTCAAGACTGTGCTATGATCCAAACGAGGCAGTTAACTTCTGGATTGGAATGAATAAGATTACAAGTCAAGACGATGGTTGGTTCCAAGATTTTTTTGCAACCCATCCGAACTCTGCTAAAAGAATAAACGATATCAGGTCTTGGTTACCTGAACTACAATCAATGAGAGACCTTTCGAATTGTTACGAAAAACAATTCTTACAATTTGATGAACATGTTAAGAAATTTATTCAAAATTGACATTATATATTAACGGTGATTTCTTCATATTCTTCTTGTTTATCTTTCTTCTTCAATAGTTTATCGCTTTTGTATACTTTCCCTCCGGGGATTTCTTTAATTATCAACTTATGCTTATTTATTATCGAATATTTTTCAATTTCAATCATTATTTTGAATTCTTGATAACTTTTGCCCTTTTGTGGTACTTCTAATAAGTAGATCGAAACAACTCCCAACCTTTCACGATTCTCAATATCTTTACTTGAATAGAATGGAGTGGATAACTTGATAAAATCGGTTATGTGATTGGTTTCTTGTAAATCAAACTTAGGCGCTTCAACTTTGATGTTAATGAAAGTTTCAATATTAGAATCGTCTAAATTTATATTGAACTGATCATTTTCATCAATGAATAATTTAACAATCTCTTCATTAGACCTGGAATGGCCTCGGATATTACTAATGTAGTCAAGTATTCTTGTTTCAGTCAATTGCATTATTTGAGCCCGAAAGTTATCAAATTCATTCTCTACTCCCTGTATTACATTCCCTATATCCTGCTCGTCGTATCGTTCAATTCTTATACTGTCACTTTCATTTTCCCATGCTTCGATATTTTTTGGCTTGATCTTATTAAACAGCTTCTCAAATTGGGTCTTATGATAATACCTATATGCTATGTAGGACCCAATAATCACTGGAGGGCCCAAAGTTACTAGAACATTTGGATGCACATGAGTTAATCCATATGATCCAGCCAATAATCCACTAAAGTATTTGGCACTTAACGGTATTTTGTAATTCCATATCAAGTCTATTGGACTCTTGTTCACTCGGTAGCTCTTTACCGGTGGGAAACTATGGTTGTTTCTTATCGCCAACACCAATCCCTTATGAGCAGTTATCTTAGGAGGTCTTAGTAGCATATTCGTATTAGCTGATCTAATCATCGTAGAAAGTTGTGAAAAAAAAAAAATGTACTGAAAAAAAAAATTACTGAAAAAAGATCTTAAATCATCTTCAAATCATCAAGACTCACAAATAACCTATTCAGCCTTAACTTCATGGGACGCTCAGAAGCAGGATCAGCTAAATATGCTTCCAAGCAGCTAAAAGCATCCGGTCTACAGAAACTAAAGTTCTATTGTCAGTTATGCTCCAAACAATGCAGAGATGCAAATGGGTTTAAGAATCATTTAAACTCTCCATCGCATAAAGGCAGAGTCCAGCAACTCAGCGAAAGTGGTGAAGGACATAGCGTGATTGAAAATTACTCCAGAGACTTTGAAAAGGATTTTTTGAAACTATTGAGGATCAATCATGGAACTAAGAAGATAAATGCAAATAAGTTTTATCAGGAATATATTCTACATGATAAGGATCACGTTCATATGAATTCAACAAGATGGTCCTCTTTGACTTCTTTCATCAAATACCTTGGTAACAAGGGTTTAGTAAGGGTTGAATCTCCTCCAGATGATACTGACGAATTTAACTTGGATATAAGGTTAACCGATACTTCTTCTGAGTATTATCAAAAACAGCAACAGTATTTGAAAAAACAAAGGAGTTTGAAAACAGATGAGCAGATTTCAATGAAACTTTTGAATGAGCAGATCAAACAAGGGCAGAAGTATCAAGATTCTGTCAAAGAAGCTGAGCCGGCTGCAAAACCTGCCGAAACGTTGAACGGACCAATTAAACTTTCCTTATCTTCCAAAAGAACCTTGCCTCGGAAAACAAAAGCACAATCGGCTTTCGACGGTAGTGACAGCGACGAAGAAGACTTACAAGAACCTCCAAAGAAGACATCAAACATACAAAGTATAAGTAATAGGCTATTATCCAATAAGAGATAATTTTTGGTCTATAAATGAATTGATGAAAAAAAAAAAAAAAAGAAAAGAAAAAAAGTTAGAAAAATAATACTATACTATACTCTTTCGTAACACAAGACATAGACATCTTTTGAATTGACTTGACTGAATTCCGAACTTTGATCATTGTAATGACCATGTGCTAAGTTTGGTCTCACCGTGTCATCGTCAAATAAGCACCAATAAGGATGCTTCAAGTTATCTTTATTACTTGCTGTTTGATTGAAATTAGATTTGTTCACCAATGAAGTATAATGACCGCTTTTCAAGTTACCATAGTGATTGATAAGACCAACTAACTTATATGAAATTTTATGTTGAATGTTATTTGAGTTGTTATTAAAACTTAATTCCAAGGGATATTGAATAACAGTATCTAATTTGTCAGTTAAATTAAACATGGAAAACCTGGATAAGTGAATTAACATAATCTGGGGTAATTTGATGAATTGTAAAGTCTTAGTTGAAATAGATGGATTTTTCGGTACATGGCCATTTGCATGGTTAGCTTTTTTAGCGGGAGATTTACTTCTTTTGGCTAACCTGAAAATTCCACTTCTTTTTGGCGTGAACACTGGATGATTATCAAGGGCACTTCCTGGTGCTGCTTGATTTTCTAATTTATTACATTTAGGACAATTCCAAGCATTTTCGCCAGTTAAAACTTCATCTTGAGTGTAATATCTTAAACAATCTGCTAGATCAACAATTCGATTCATATTATTATTAGGAATTGGTAAAGACAAAATAGTAAAGGGCGAGTAATTTATAGATTCAAAACCACATTTATTACAAATAAGTTTATTTTGTAAATGACCTTGAAATAAATCATTAATCGGTGAATTGCCTTCACTTTTGATTAACGACTGACACCAATTTAGATATTCATTTTTATCCTTAACATTGATATTTATATTCCATTTGGTTACAATTTTTTCCATTGTAATCATATCAATATTTTGATCTAAATAACTATAAGATAGCTCTTCGTGAAGTCTTTCCAACACAAACAATAAGAATTCTTGAGCGTCTTGTTGTTCATTGGGTATATTAAAATCAGGTTTTATTATTGATGCAATTCTCAAAAATTTTGTAGGAGCAACTGATGATCCACCATGTAATGTAAAAGTTTTAAGCAAACCAGATAACGCTTCTGATAATAAGAGTGAATCTTTTGAATTTTGCAGAAGTTTCATTAATTTGACAAATTTTGGATCCTTTATGTATTTATGATATTCCAGATTGGAGAAAATAAATCGTAATTGTTTTAAACCAAATAATAATTGAATTGTCAGATTTATATAGCATGAAGAACCAAAATTTTTCAATCCACAAATGCTGAATTCTTTTAAAAAATGCATTTTCTGAGCTTTTATTTGATCTTGTTGCAGTTTGACATGATTCGGGATGAAAGATGCAGAATGAGCTGGAATTGCTCCTGGGTTTTGATAATATTGAGATGAATGGATATTATGGACTTTATGCGCATGAGGATTTGAATAATAATTTTGTGAGTGAATACGTTGTGATGTTGATGCTCCGGAATATGGTTGAACGGATGATCTTGAACTAGGGAAATGACTATTATTGGAAGTATATGGGTGATTTTGAAATGATCCAGTTACATTAAGTTGAGTGGGCAAAGGTTCTGGAGGTCTCACCCTAGTAGTATTTATTGAAGCTGGTGGCCTTGAATATCTGACTGAAGGTGGATTTGGTAGTGACATATGTTTGGAGGCGATTGATTGATCATATTGTGGGTACAGTTGTTGTCTGGACTTATCATAAAGATTTCTTTTTCCATTAAGTAAAAGACTTGAATCACTGGAATTGTTATTTGAGAATAAAATATCATCAGATGAGGTTTGTTCTATTGGATAAGGAGCTTGTTCTATTTTAGCCACCGGTTCAAGAGGATATGGAACAGATTTGCTAACTGAATCATAAGATATATTAACAGTATGTTTGGGCAAAGGTGGAGGAGCTTCATCGGGTAAAGGAGGAAAGCTTGATTCACTTGAATTTTTACTCAAATCCGGTAAAGAATCCAGAGATGCCGGTAAATTTTCGAGTTTAACTGAGGGGAATCTAGATTTAAACTTGAAGATAGATTCATCAGCTTCATCTCCAAAAGAGCTTAATGTTTCGTTATCATTATTGTTTGAATGGAAAGGAGAATCCAACGATTTTTGATTTGGAACATTCACCATTTTATTTGAATTTGATTGATCTATAGATTCTTTTTGTTTTAAATAATCAATATATTCGTATAACCATTGGTATAATTCGTTAACGTCAAAACTCAATAAGCTTTTCAGACTAAGATATTCAAGAACCCATTTTCTTAATTTTGTTAATTGAATTACATAGGAATCATCCCTTATGATGTCATCGGTGTTATAAAATGCAAAAACGTTCAAATATATGATAAAATCTTGTTCGTTGGATTCAATGAATTGATCAAAACCTTGGAAATGCATCATGATAAAACTATTAACAAAGTAATTAAAGATAAGATAACCTTTTATGTAAGTAGTCAAACCTTTTTCAGTATTAACTAAAGATGACAGTTCTTCGTAAAGCAATTCACAATAATCTATCAAATCGAATATAGACTTTGATTTTAGGTTTTCATCGAGCTGTAAACTACGAAATTCATGATTTATCAATTTGACATAGTGTACTTTGGTATCTTTCTCATTATGAGTTTGACCAAGCGGCAAAGCTTTGGGAGCTCCTGCTGGTACTGGTGGCGGCGGCGGAGGGAGTTCTGGTGGAGAAATCCGGTGTAGTCTTCCATTCTTCTGCTGGTTCAACTGTAGACCTCCGGCCGGATGATGGTGATGATACGAAGACATGCCACAAGGTTGATGCAATTGCTAGTGTCCGAGGAAGATATTGTGATAACACAGTCCCAAAAAGACAAGTGAAGCAATAAAAAGAACAGTAGAAATGCAATGAAATGAAAATGAAGTATCCGGTTAGTTCATTAAGGAGTAATAAATGCTAATAAGAAGTCGGATTGGCCAACTTATTGATCCGGCCCAGCGCTATTAATTGATCACGGATAAGTTTCGAATGCACTGGTAACTTTGCAAATTGGTTTGAAGACTTGGGGGCAATCGGGCAAGTCGAATCGTCTAGCTTAACTTGACTTGTCTACCGTGGAATGATTGGATTCAATGGGGGTTTATTCGAATAACTAAAGGAAAACATCAACCAAATCAAATTTACCAAACAAATAAATAAATAAAAAAAAACAAAAATGCGTGCCTGGATATTCATTTTTCTGTCAACGAGAGGCGCATGGAACTTTATAGCGATGACTTCTACACTTGAAGGTTGCAAAAAATAGAAAATACAAATAAGATTGCAAAACTGGTGTTATATTAATAGAAGCGGGTCTATAAAATGACTATGAAGGGTTGAAAGGTATCATGCCAAAGCTGCTGACCAAACTGTCATAGACTGAACCTCCTTGGTTATTCAGTTGGACGTTTTCGGGGTTGGAGGACCCTTCACGAGTGTAAACGTTGTAGTATAAGCCGTAGGAGCGTAAAGCCTCGTCTTCGTCGACTTCCTCTTCGGCCAGGTTGATGGCAGGGGCTGGAGAGGATACACCACCGGGGAAAGGCTGAGGGGTGGTACCGGAAAAATAATGCAATGGATGGTGCTGGGAGACAGGCTTTTGGGTTTGTTGTGATTGCGATTGGGTCAGTTGTTGGTGTTGATGATGCTGGTGGCCCGAAGGAGTAGGCGTCATTCCTGTGGAAATGCCAGGGGTAGGGGTACCTGCATTATTATTAGCGATATCGGTCAAGTTTCTCATTGTTTCCCAGAAGTCAAGCCCTTCTTCCAAATCTTCTTCATTTTCGCTTTCATTCGTTAATTTGGCTCTTTTGTTTGCTCCGTGATCAGTTGAATGACTTCTCTTCCCATCAACGGTGTTTGCTTCTGCGGCAACTGCGATTTGTACGGCTTGAGTTAGAGGTGTTAACGAGTTGTTATCGTTGTTTTTATCACTCATGTCCCCGGGATTACGGTTCAAGATCTTGTTGAGATTGGACGCCTTTTGGTTATCTTCATTGGATGATTTTGAATGGTTTTCAGGGTTTTTGGGATCGTGATGGTGGTGATGGTGGTGGTGGTGATGGTGGTGAGTGGTACCATGACTCTTGGAGCTTGAAGAAGGTGACGATCCCGAAGAGTTCAATTTCGGAACCTCTGTTAATGGAGGTAAATAGTTAAAATGTTGATATCTTGCCATTTTATTGTGAGGATCACCAGTATAATAAGCGCCATTAGGCGAGCTGTGTTGAGAATACCCGTTATCGTTTTTAGGAGATTGACTGTTAACCGAGGAATAGGGCTCATAGGGAGCCAATTCATTCGGAGGGATTCCTGGATGCATCATGGGCGACTGCTGGTGCTGGGTGTTAGGCGGCGAATAATGATGATGAATGTGCTGATGGACAGTAACTTCTAGACCTTGATGCTTGGCATAATTAATTAATTGTTGAACTAATTCTTGATTTTTGATATTCCCACCATTTTCAGGACTGAACAATAAGTTGTCTTGTTCACTTCCCAAAGAATACTTCCAAGTGGTCTCACTAGTGACAGGTCTAGTTATTGCCGATGGCGGTATAAGTCGTTTAGCTGGCTGGTAAGGTATTGGAGCACTAGGCAGCGAATGAGTGGGTTCATCAGGTTTAGGCTGCTCTTTGGGAGGAGCAGGGTTTTTCTTCTTCTTCAACTGGCTCTTCTGTTGGGCTTTTATAATTTTTTTCTTTTTCAACATCTCCTTAGCATGAGAGTCTTCGATATTCTGTTGTAAAACTTTCGAATCTAAACTACCATTAGTGATTAAATCGACTTCCCGAGTAACCAAGGGATTGGCTTTACCCCTAACCACATCAGTAACAATCTTTCTCCATCTATTACGACAAGTTAATGAAGGCCTACCACTAATTTCACCCGCAATAGTTCTCCATTTAGTACCATGAATCTTAATTTGTCGTATTAATAGTAAATCCTCGTCATAAGTCCAAGGTCTCAAACGATCTTTGGTACTTGGATCCAATACTTCGAGGTATCTTTTAGCACATTGATCATCGGTTCTTCCCTTTATCTCAATTGAAACTTTTTGCCATGAAGGACCATATTTTTGATGTGCTTGGATAAGCAATTCATCTTCTTCGGGTGTCCATTTCCCTCTTCTTAAACTGGGATCCAATGAGTGGCACCATCTTTTCCGACAATCTTTTGCTTTTCTAATACCATCAGATCCAATTTTTTCGGAAACTGCATCCCATTCAATTGATTCCGGTTGTATATTTTTCAATTCTTCTTCAGGGTATAATTCCCTGATTGCTCTCATCAACTGGGCATCTTCTTCTTTGCTCCATGGCAGCCTGGTGTCTTTTCTATAAGTTTGAAGCCCGAGCGATTCGGTGATTGCCAAAGGATCTAATTGTTTGATCTTCCTTTTTGAAGAAACTTCGGGATCTTCCTCCTTCGGTACATCATTTGCGGTAGACATAATCAATACTAATAAGAGATGTGTTTACGAACAGAATATCATATATGTATATTGTATACTACCTGAATGTAAACTAGTTTCTAGGTCTTCTTTCGTTGTTTCTCTCAGTCAAAATAGGGACTCTAGCAACAAATCTCGATGCAAATACGGGACACGGTCTGGAATTGGATAACCTCAAGTACGTCTTGACCAGCAATATCAACCACGAATATCTTAATCAGGTAAATCAGCCTTGATAAGCTATAAACAAGGGTCAAAAAAAAAAAAAAATCGAAGAGAAGAGTCATGATGTGAGAAAAAAAAACGAAGAGGTTGACTCGACCGCACACGTGATTTGTGGTGTGCGGATGTTTTTATTCGTTTTGATTTTTGTATCACGTGATCCCGATGACTTAGTCTAATTAGATTGGGGGTCCTTTAGTCTTCTAATGTTCTTATTGTCAATTAATCTGAGTAGGTTTCTTAAGAGCATGGAGATGGTGACTTTACCGATGGAGGGAACGTATAAGGCTGCTTTAGTTTTGATATCGTCGTTGAAGTTTTTAGCACTGGAGAAGTTAATTACCACGGTACCATTACGAACGTATTCGGTAGGAAATTTGTACTTGTCAGAAGGAACCCCAGTGATGATTACATCACAGGTAGGAGCGAGGTTTTCGACAGAGTATTCGGAGGAGTCTAATTCTATGACTTTGTGCCTTTGTTCCGATAAGTCGTCACCTCTAGTGAACTGTTGGATGTTATTGATATCGACCGAGTAGACTGTGGCACCATCGTTTGCTAATAAAGCAGCCAAAGGACGGCCGACGATTTCTGAACGGTTAACAACAAGGACTTTCTTACCGTATAAACGGTTACCGTAGTGTAAGAGTTTATTATAGACCCCCAAATATTCCAAGATTTTAACCATTGCCAAAGGAGTACACGGTAAAATCGATTTTTGTTCATTTGCTGGAGGATCCAAGAACCTTACGTTATGGTACAAGTTGTGGTAGTATAAGAAGTTTAAACCTTCGACGTCTTTTTCGGTTGAGATTAATTGCTGTAAATATTGATCTTGGTTATTACCAAACACTGGGAAATAAACCATTATACCATTAACTTGATCGTCTTTATTTGCCTTGATAAGAGCTCCTTCTAAATCATTTTTATCAACTTGTCTCAACTCGTAATCAAACCCCAAAGACTGACAGGTCTTACCGGTCCAATTAGCGTACATTTCTGCAGCAGGGTCATCATTAGCCAAAAATCCAACCAATTTAGGAGTAATTGAAAGCTTACTCACGTTTTCAGTGATTTCTTCCGTGTATGGTTTAGCAATTGTTGAAGCTAAAATGGTTCTACCGGCAGGCTTTACAGAAGCTGAATCAGACATTATATTGTTGAAAATATCGATGTATGGGAAAAAGAAAAAGAATAAAGAATATGAAAAATTTCCGGAGTAATATATATACTTTGCACGTTCTCCGAGTCTAAAAAAAAAAAAAAGTAATAATAGTATGAACCGTCTTAATTTCAAATGTTCAATCCTTTATAATTTACCCTGTATTATTTTCTTTATTTCACTCAGCTCTCTAATAACAACCGGTTTATTGAGTTTGTATGCTAATTAACTGCTCGAGTCAACTTTTATTAGCTCTTCATAACCTCATCTTGTGCGACTCTGGTTGAAAAATTGCAACCCCTGTAAACACACCCGTACCTTCAATGGACGATTACCTTATTCATAGACAGCTTATTATATCTTTACTTATGTTTATCGATATACGTTCTGTAGGAGCTCAAGCTGGTGGGGGTGTGAGTTAAGAAGCGGTTTTATATACTTACGCGTGGGTGCCAATTTTGACTCGTGTCCTACAAAAGGTAAAGTGGAATGACTGTTGATATGTATCTGTATATGTGGATGTATATAAGTGGAAGCGTCATCTTAAATGGGCACTGGCGTTCTTGTATAGACTTTGCCAAATGAAAGCTTCACTTAGCATTAGTTCCACATCCTTTTCTTTCCAGTGGCTAGTAGGAGGATTTTGCAAGAATAATAATATCTCTTGGAAATCTTTCTCTTTTAGTTCATTACTGAATTTGATCAAAAATGCTGCACATACGTAAATATGAAAGTTATTGAAACCTAAAGGAGTTTCGCTTAGGTAAGTGTCCCACATTCTTATTATAAGGTTTATTGATAACTCTCTCATTAATAAACAATTCATCCATCTGAAAGAAAATTGGATGAATTCAATACCTTCTTGGTCAAAATGTTGTAGTAATTCCAAATCGATTTTTGATATTAAATTGCGTAAGTCATTAACTTGCCTTATGATACCTGGTTGTTCATGAATATAATTATCGGTGATATTCTCTAATAACCTACTCAAACACCAATAAGTATCAGCTTCTATAATTGAAGAAACTCTAGTAGATAATTTACTTGGATCAAAATTATCTAAATTATATTGCATTAATTTTGAATCGTTTAAAAGCTCTTGCTCTTGTTCATCTTCTGGATCCAATAATCCAGGTATGAAAAGTTGAAAGTCATCATCTTCATTAGTATTATCTTTTGATACTTGTGACAATTTGGCTCTTTGTAATTGCCAGATATAATTATGTAAAAAAATTTGATAAAATGGAGTACATAAGTCATTAATTCCTTGAACGTATCCACTTGCTGGATGTCTTACTGCCCATAAATATAAGATTTTTCTCAATGATTTTTGGGTTTCGTCATATCCATACAATTTAATACTTGGATTAGTTCTTTTCACATCAATTTTAATTTGATGGTATAATTGCTTGTCACGGTTTAAACTGTTATTATTATTTGTACTGCTTGGCTGGTCTAATGATACGGTTGAGCTATTAGCCGTTTGAGTTAAATCTTCGATTTGTGAATCAATTGCACTTAACCCATCCCAATACTCTTGTCTTTTACGCTTAAGAGTAGAACTTTGTCTAGCTCTATTGGTAGGAAGATATCCTAGTAATACCTGCCAAGTGATAGCTCTTAATTCGGGAGGGATTCCGTTCCAGCTCAATTTTCTTAAATCTTGAATATTAATATTATTATCATTAGTTAATATCTTTTTAAATTTAGAATATTTCGAATTTAATTGATTTAAACGATTGATTTCTAATTTCATTTGATAGTCTTCATAATCCAACGATTCCTTGGGCGCCTTATTAGTATTATTTGGTGAGTTGGTTACTGGCATAGTTAAATCGGGATACAATGAATCAAGCATGGGACTTGGTTGTAAATGAAGTGAACTTCTTGAGGAATTATTTGAGCCAAATCCTTGTCCAGTAATTTTAGTTAAATTTTTATTCTCTACCGAATTCTTATGGCTGCTATTGCTTATAGTAACATCATCCAAGTCAGCGTCCCAATCATCATCAAGATCAGTATATTTATGGCGGCCATGTGAAGGAGAACGGCGTTGGTTTTTTTGTATACTATAATTTGATGTAGATCGATTAAGAGGAATTTCTGGTGGAGGTGTCGAACCAACATGGGAAAATGAGGCTCCTACAGGCCCAGAAACCGATCTTTGTGATGGAGTATTCCTCTTTGATCCACCTCCATTGGTTTCATTATAAATAGACCCGCTATTTGCCTTGGGAGAAACATATCCATACGATAAATTCCCATAAATATTACTATTCACCTCATTTATATCGTCTTTACTGGATGTCTTATGCTTGGAGTTATTATTACTCGATGTCGACGATGAATTGGAAGTTAATGATGATCCTGTCAATGAAAGATTCTTCAAGAAGGATGATAAATGCTTACCTTTCCCACCATTTTCTCCAAATATAAACTCATTATTCGAGCTATTATATATCTGGGACATCTCTTGCTTCTTCTTCCCCATGATTAAACGATTATTTTTGGATCTTTCAGGCCTTTTTAAATGCTGCTAGTTCAACGATTGCGCTGTCTGGTTTTTTTGTTTTTGCTTTGGATTTTTTTGGTGGATCTCAGATTTTTTTTTGTGATTTTTCGTGTTGATGTTTTAAGTATTTCAACTTTTGGTACGAGAGATACGAAAGTATACGACAGTTGAGTAATAAAGGCTTGAATATACGGATGGCTACACGGCGAAATACAATCAGGAGAATGTTTGTCGAAAAAAATGTGTATGAGAATTCTATAATAGATGTAATTAAGCAGAAGAGATTTCACCTTTAACAGCAACTGAACCAGGTTTCAATTCTCTTCCAGAAACATGTAAAGTACCGTTTTGAGTAATGTTAACAATGACTTCTAATTTAGAGTTTGGTTTTAAATCTTTCAAAGATAATTCTGCTAATAAATCACCAGCAACGTAAACAACATCTTTTCTAATTTCTGGTTCTTCATCAGAATCTTCATCTTCAGATTCATCAGAATCTTGTTCAGGTTCAACAACGGTTTCTTTAACGGTTCTTTTACCTTCGAATAATTCAATGTGAACAGCAGAAGATTCCCCATTGGTAACTTCTATAGATTTTTTAATTGGGTAAGCAGTTTCAGAAACTAAGATTGGAATAAAGTTACCTTCAGCATCTTTAATACCAATTGGTTTGCTTATGTGTTGGGTGTTTACAACAACTGGTTGTAAAGATTCTTTGATTTCTTCTTCATCAAAGGATTCAATTAAAGAAGCTTGTAAAGCAGCACCACGAGAAACTAATTCAGCTGGGTTAATAGCTTTAGAATCTAAAGCTGGAGAAACAACAACAGTTGATTCTGGGAAAATAAATTGAACATTTGAAGCTAATTTTGGAGTATGAGAAGTACCACCAACTAATAAAACTTCGTCGATATCTAAAGTTTCTAAACCAGCTTTAGTAACGGCTTTTTCAACAAAAGCAGTTAAATTAGATAAAACAGTTTTAGCAGCTAATTCATATCTTAATCTATTAATTGAAGTAAGGAAATCATAGCCTTCAGCTAAAGATTCAATTGAACAAGAAGAAGTATTAACATTAGATAAAGTTTTTTTAACAACAATAGATTCAGCCTTTAATTTAGCTAATGATCTAGCATTGGTTCTTGGGTTAGCTTTGAATTTTTTTTCAAATTCTTTAGCGAAAAATTCAGCTAAAGCATCATCTAATTGTTCCCCACCTAATCCTTTTTCATGGGCAGTAGCTAAGATGGTGAAAACACCACCTCTAACAGAAACAACTGCTGCATCAGATCTTATACCACCAAAATCAGCAACAACGAAAACTTTATCTTCTAATAAACGATCGTCATTTGAAGATAAGTGAGCTAATAAAGCAGAAGATGGTTCATTGATTAATTGTAAAACTTTTAAACCGGCATTGTTAGCAACTTTAGTAATTTCTTCTCTTTGCTTTTCAGTGAAATCGGTTGGAACAGTTAATACAACACTTTCAACTTTTTTACCAATATAATCTTCAGCAGCTCTCTTTAACTGTATGAAATGTCTTCTGGTAGCTTCTTCAACAGTGACAATTTCAACTTTATCATCAGCTCTAGTGATTTCATAACCAATACCACCATCTTCAGTTTTGATGGCTGGAGCACCAACTTTTGATACACTGGTGTCAACTTCTTCGAATTTTTTACCAACAAAATCTCTGAAGTTGATGATAGTGTTTTTGGCATTTCTGATTAATTGAGATTTGGCTTGAGTACCATGATATTCATCTTCTCCAACATATGATAAAACTGATGGAATAGAACGGTCCCCATCTGGGTTGGCAATAACATCAACTTTACCGTCCCCACCAGCAACAGCAATGGATGAGGAAGTGTTACCAAAGGTAATACCAATAACAGCAGACATGATATGTGTATATGAAGTGGTATTTAGTATAGAATCAAAAAAGTTGGCTTCGAAATGAACTTTTCTTCTTTTTTTTTTCACTTTTCAGTAGCTTTTGTAAAAAATTTCTGATGAGGGTTTTTTGCACTTTGGACGACTCGATTTGCAGGTTACAGTTGACTTAAGGGAAGTATTGGCTGCAACATCACTTTTGAATGTCTTTAATGCCTTTTAGTTGAATGCTGCACCTTGAAGCAGTTGGGGTTGCTAAGCAAGATTAGTATACCTCTGTTTAATTACTGGTTTTTGTTAAGTTCAAGGAATTTGTTGGTGAAGTAACGCTATTGTGGCGTATTAGGCTGAAGCAGGATTAAAGTAGTAATGTCCACCACGGTAAATGATGTCTCATGAAGAGGTGATTGTTTTATGAGAATTAAAATAGTGGTATTATGAATATATGAATAATTTGGTAAAAAATACAAAAAGTTAAAAAGAAAGGTCTTGCCCGGATTCGAACCGGGGTTGTTCGGATCAAAACCGAAAGTGATAACCACTACACTACAAAACCATTTTATATTCGATTTTTTTTGTGATTTGATATGTTCGTATTATCTTCACTTTAAAAAGTTTTGACTTTTTTTTAAAAAAATCGAAAAACAAAATCAGCAAAAATACGTTTAAATTCGCCTAACTGAACAGTTTATTATGTTTTTATTTTTCAAATTAAGGAGAACTGAAAGTGCTGCTTTCGGAAATTTTTAACTTTTTCATAATTTTATCAATTCTCTTAAGTTTTGTCACACCATCAGGGTCTGTCGATGGTCTTTCGAGCCGACCCGTACCAGATCAGCATAGGATAACCCCAAAATAAAATCCAATCATACTTTTGTCAGGCAATTTCCTGAAAACCCCCTATATTACGTATATATATATGCTCCCACGGCAGTGGAAAGAGAAGAATACTTCTTTTCTTTTAGTGTGTGAGCCTGACTACATGGTTGATTGAAATATAAGACCTGGATTGAAGGGAGAGATTTTTCCGTAAATATGTTTTATGTAATTCTCGATTTTTTAATTTTCGATTTTTTACGATTTTTTTAATTTCGATTTTGGTTTTATTATTTAGTTTAACTGTAATGAGTTATTCTCCCCTTCAATAACGACAACTGATCTAGGTAAGAGGTAAGTTAATCCACTACCAATCAGATATTAGTCCGTTTCGCTAGGGTCTTATTTGCATGCTGTGGCTGTCTGCCTATTTACGATGGTTTGGCTGCGAAAAAAGTATTGTATTTCAGTGTTGTATACTGATAAGATCAAGCAGACATAATCAAAACAAGAGAAAATCATTAACTGGTCTTCTTGGACTGTGATGAAGTCGACAACCTGGGATATTCTTAAGATATATTTCACTTATTTGAACTTAATATCAAGAATATTAGTACTGTGTATTCGATTGTATCTAACTGACACCATATTATGTTTCAGTACATTTGAAGTCAGATACATGTGGACGACATCGGTACCATCTCATAACTCTTAAGCTTTTGCCAGTATACATTTACTACTTGTGATTTATTTAAGCATCTCATATAGATATGTATATATAGTTTTTTTATTTATATATAGTGCTAAATTTACCACAACTACTAACTCTGGGTGAAGTCTCCGGGCTCCATGTTCCTAGCCTTATTGCAATGAGCTGCACTCGTGCTACTTTCGGGTCCTTAGTTTTCGTCTCTTTCTTACTTGAAACCTTCAAATGTACTTACTTGGATCACCGTTACCTTATATACCAATTTCCGCGGCACCGGCTACTGACATAATAGTCCATATAGCGAATAAGAGGATATAAAATTTTAACCCAGAGAATGAACTGTGCTTAATACTAAATGCATCACTTTTGGTTTTTCTGTGTAAGTACTCACCTTGTTGTATTCCACACTCATATACCTCTTTATAAGAATAAAGAGAACTAGCATAACCTAGATCAGCGCAGCCATAGTAAGTTTGATTATCGACAACAGTTATATTCATGGACATCTTGGAAAAAAGTGTTGAGGATTGGTTTTCTTCATTAGAAGAATATAACGATGATTTCCATGGTTATTTATAAGCAGAGATGACTTTCAACTATTTTTAGTTTTGGTTCTTTCAATGTTCGACTAACTTTTATAAATGTTAGCACTCATCGACCATCATTAATCTAAATTACGTGATACCACGGCAGCCATAACGCAAAAGCATGAAGGTGTTAGTTACGTGAGAAAACACCTTCTTGCAAATCTTCTTTTGTGGTATTGTGTTTTATTAATGATGTTTCAAAAGCCTAATAAATACGGCATTCGGTGATACGTGATTCCTTCAAATATAAGTTTTCAGTCTTCGGTACGCCTTAGGCTTTTCAGGCGTATTCGAACCTTGAATATTTACAAGGTGAATAGAATGATGTCGTATATTTGTGTCTAGGATGAAACCAAGATAGTACAAGGTTTATGGTTTCAATATTTAGCGAAATATGTAATAGGATGCAGTTAGCCTCCTCGTTAAACGCAGTTTGTTTATATGTTTTGCAGTTTGTATTTCACTTTTCACTTCCTACTGTTCCAAAATCCTACTTTACCCTAACTCTAAAACTCTTACTCTAACTCTAAAACTCATTCCATAACTTCCTTTTACGATATTGGGCTTTCAAACCAATATTTGTAGTCTTCTTAGGAAAGCTGGTTTTATCTTATACTTTGTGTTATATATTTGTTCTCAATATACATTCTTAAACCACTCTAGTATCGTATATTACAGGTAAATTAACCTATAAATATTACAAGATAAATAAGATGATATTCAGGGTTTTACAATAATCTTTTAGATCCTAGTAGAACTTTGAAGCAGTAGTACCGAAAAGAAATTGTTGATGGTGGTTATACTTTCAAACTATTAGCGTTTTTCCTAGCCATTCCATTATGATTTTTTACCCAAGCGTCGGACATTTCATTTCTGAGCTCTTTTAAAGCAAATACTGGGTCAAATTCACTACGATAGTCAACCAGATGTCCCGGGGTCTTCTGTAAACATTCTCTTTTGTATTCTATTTTGTGAAACAGCATATCATTCGAACGTTGACGTGATCAAGGATAAAAACCGGTATCCCAATCGTTTTATATATCATTATCTGAGCTGTTTAGAAAAACCACATTTCTTCGCTCCATAATCCCATTCTGAAGACTAATCCGAAATCCTTTGGTCTTCAGATATATCTCTAGGTTAAGCACCCGAAGATAAAGCACATTTTATAGCCTAGTAAACGGTTGCAATCCTGAGTGAACTTTGATGAAATATATTACGAAAGACATACGAAGCCCGACTCGAAGTATGCAGATCAACCTCAGCCTATCGGAATCACTATATTTGGAAAGCGTTGTTTAGTTATAGATACAGGGTTTGTGGGAGTGCTTTCGAGACAATGGTTTGCTGTTCAGCTGCATGCTAAGTGAAGGTCAAAGTTGTTTCAATCTACATGCTAGACCGTTTCATGGCCATTTCTGATTCAGTTTATTATCACTGAATCAAGGTAGAATTATAAAAAGTACAAATCAGTTTTCGAATGGCTCTTCACACCATTCTCAACCGTTGGATCACGATCCAGCTTGAAAGCATGAAAAGGCTGGCTAGTTGTGTCTTCTACCACTAATTACCTAAGGCAGTATTGTATAATGCGAGTAGTAACCAAGAACTAAATCCTTTATTAGATATATTTATGTTTTATGTTTTGAACAATGATATTTTTTTTCGTCTAATAAATGCACAATAAGACCTTACCAGGACTTTCTTTGGGCTTACCCTTGCAATGCCCTTGCAAGAAGCTATAAGGTTCCAGGGTTCCTGGGTTGAAAGATGTAGTGGACGTCACCATTCTGGCAGCTTCGACGTACTAACTTGTAGTTTACTAAATGAATCATTGATAAGATCAAATTGAAAAAGTACAAAACGACCTTACTTGAAATCCCAGATCAACCAATTAAGCATTTCGGGTTGATTTAAGTAAATATTGGGCAGTTACCCACTTTGAATGATTAGCCAGCTGATTAACTATGTATACTAAATAAAGTAAATAAATATGCTGCTCTTTCTTATTGTTTCAGTATAATTTGTCTTCCTTATTATCGACTTTACAACCACAAAGTTCAAGACAAAAGTGCTCCTATAGACATGAGCCATTATCAAGACAGTTCCTTGAGGACTTGTCTTGTATTTAATCCGGATTCTCTCTCAACTTTTCATTTGATGTTGTTTCTGTAGCTATATCACCTTGTATCGATCATACCCAATGGTTTTCAATATAGATAATAAAAAGATCCTTAAAAACTTGAGCAAGGCCTTCATTGCTGGAAGTGTTCTAGATCATGAAAAGAAAAAAGTTAAAAGGGAAATAAAAGAAGATGTGAATGAACAAATCAAAGAAGAAGTTAAAGAAGAGGTAACAGAAGCAAAGGAAGAACTCAAAGAAGAAGCACCCGAAGCACCCAAGGAATCACCCAAGGTCAAGTCTAAACCAAAGGCAAAACCAAAGGTTCCAAAGCCCGAAGGTCCAAAAGAGTTTGTCACTGTTGATAAGATCAGAAATAAGAGAATTGTTAAAATTGGTATGGTGGCTGCGACTAAAGAACATACTAAGATCCATAATGTTCCTATCAAAGTTCAAGATATATTTCTTAGAAATGCCATTAATGATGAGCCAAACTACATTTACTTCATGATTGAAGGATCACCGTTCTTGCATCCTAGTGTGGTTAATGAAAGTGTCAAATTATACGTTGATAATATTATCAAAAGCGACGACGAAACTATTGCCAAACTCAGCGAAGCTCTTCAAGCAGCATCAGCAGAATTATCAGAAACTTTACCAAAACAAAAGGAAATTGAAAAAAAAGGAACCGTCCTTATTAGAAAAAAGAAGAAGTTACCTCCTCCCACTAACCAAAAAGAAAATCAAGCTCGTAAGAATAAAATCAGAGAGATTAAAGCTTTGAAAAATGAATTAACTAGTACAATCAACAAAATCGAATCCCTTGAAGGCCAAATTCAAGGTCTTAATGATAAACTTAATTTTGCCAGAATTACTGCAAATGCAATTAAACAAGTCAGATTTGTCACTAAAGATGCTAGGATACTAGCAATGTCTCCATTTGCAAGCTGGGAGAAAGTTTCATCAAATGTTGATTTTAGAAAATATATTCTGCAGAAGTGGAATAACGTCGAAATCCCCATCAAGGATGACCCGCAAAATGAGAAGTTTAAATTGGTTTATAGACCTTCTAGTTCAAACGGTATCATGTTGGCTAAGTTTGTTTTCCCATATTCTGAAGAAGGTAATTGGAAAAATATCTTAACCTCCGGCTTTTTGGGTAGCGGGGATACCTTATTCCATAATTCAGACCCAAAGGCCGTTTCGGCTAAGAAAGCTGAAGTGCCTGACTTAGAAGATTTATATTACGTTTATATCTGCTATACCATGGGTCTGAAGGATTTACCTCCCAAGACATCAGAAAATTTTCCAAAGGTTAAATTTTCAGCATTGTCAAATACCCAACTTTGCCAAAATTGCAGTCATACCGGTCACCAAACCAGCAAATGTAAAAAAATTGTAAACGCCCAATAGCCCTACCTAATGCCTTACGTGTATATTAATGAATAAATGATGTATTTATTGAATTTATCAGTTTTTTGTAGTTTTTGCAGTATTTTTGTATTTTGGTGCGATTGATTGCAAAATTATACGCAACAATTCCCCCGATTTCCTAAATATCACTAGTTTTACAAAAATGTTAACTTATTCGAAAAGTAATTGAAACCTTCAGTAAGCACTTCAGTATCCTTATCCAATTATGAGTGGGTAGTTCTGCAAATAAATCAAAATTGTATGTGCTTTTCTACACGTTAGGAGAACGCATTTCATTCTCCAGCTATCCCAATTGGCCGTACGTAACTCAATCTAACCTTTATGCTTTCGTGACTAAGCATGTAATTTAATAGAAGCGATTATAGCTGAAATCACAAACCCAGAAATGGAATGCATCCATATTTTTTTTTTTGGCCGCAAAAACATTATACAACTTACGATATAGTTTGACTGCAAAACGAGATGTCTATATTAAATGAGACAGATTCAAGCTCTGTATACTGTGATTTCGAAGATGATGATTCGCTTACGATGAACGAGCTTCCTTCGTTCGCGATCCCCAAGTTTCCAGTTCCGTCTTCGCCTGAATACTCAAGCAAAAATCCAGAAAGCTCTCCAATTAAAAAACTATTAAAGAAAGTTCGTAAAAGTCAGTCGCTTCCTATACTTGAAAGCTCCTCTGCGACAACCACAGACTCCGATTCGTCTAGTTTATCACTCCATTCATTTGGGAAGTCCTTTAGAAGAGTGAAGAGCTTCTTGGGTTTGACAAAAAAAACAGAAGAATTTATAAATCCGTACTACTTCCAACGCAAACCCAAGCTTCATGAGACAGACTTTTATGATATAGAGTCCTTGCTACATTTTACAGAGGACCTAGATGCTACATCAGCTCCCATGGAATGGAAACAAAGATATGAGTTGATGAAGCAAACAAGGTCATCTTATCGTTCTCAAGATTACCAGGCGATGCACTCCATTGGTATATTTTCTTTAGAAGCACTTCAGCTAAGTGAAGATGATTCATCTTCATCTTCTTTATTCAGTTGAAGCGTGTTAGACTTACATGAACCATTGTCGTTGACTACACCAAAACATTTAGTTATAGCTTGAATATACTGTATATATTAAATTGTTAATGCATTTATGTCAAGTTTTCCAATATCTTTACCATCAGTCCATTCGCTAATATCTTTTAAGTCTTTTATAATATTGATTCCTCCATCTCTTCCTTGGACATCAAAAATATCTCTATTCTTTGCAGTTTCCGGTCTCCATTTCCAAGCTTCTCTTTTAACCGGATCCAAGGCTTCATCGCCTTCCAATACCACTTTAGATATATAATGGCCCACGATTGGGCAGAATTTGAAACCTTGGCCAGAATCACCAGTACCCAAAATCAACCCTCTGTGATCAGGATGAGATCCAATTAGAAAGTGGCGATCCGGAGTATCAGTACACCAGCAAATCTTAGTCAAGCTGAAAGGTTTATCGGAAAGCTCAGGGAAAACTTCTTTTAAAAAAAGACGAGTATAGGTTTCAGCTTCTTTTGGAATTAGATTTTTGTATACGGGGACCGATTCTTTAATAGTATCATCCCAGTTGATATAACCAGGGAACTCATTGCAAATTTTCAAATCGTTATTTGAGTCTGGTTCGAAGAAAAACCCATGGTCTAAGCTGAGAACCACTGGAATTTCTCTTAACTTTTCAGCTTGTTCCGGGCTTAATCTGATATGACTGACAGTCCAGCATTTAGCCAACAACTGTCCTTCAAAATCCAAGAGCCTATAAGATTGAGCACCAGCTGCAACAACAACTTTGTTCGAATGGAAAATTTCTCCAGAGTAGGTTCTGACCCCAACAACAGAGTTATCTTTTTCATCATACAAAATTTCGTCAACTGCATCACGTACGAATTTTCCTCCTAGCCTTTTAACTTCAGTAGCTATTAATCTTAAAACTTCGGCTGCATACACCCATCCACATTTTTCCTGTTGGTACAAACCTTCCCATTCTTGAAATCGTTTTGATTGGTCCGAGCCATCGTCGACCGAGGGAATAAGTTTAGTGAAGTCCAGCTGATCTTTCAAACTCTTGTACTGAATTGCTTTTTCGTCTAAGAACTGTTTCCTTTCTTTAAAATAAGCAAAATCTTTTTCAGTCGTATAAAGTATACCCGTTTCGTGTAATGCCGGTTTAAATACGGGATCATTTTGCCATAAGTCTAAAGATTTCAATGCCAATTCAGAATAAAATTTTTCCTCGACCGAGCTCTGCAAGATCTTATTAACGTCATTACCAGCACTCAAAGGAGAGGGAGTTTCGTAAGGATCGATTATCGTGACATTCTTTTCACCTTTTCTTAAAAGTTGTAAAGCAGTAGAAAGACCAAAAGTTCCAGCACCTATAATCACGATGGAAGTCATGGTTTGATTTATAGACCAAAAGCAATATGAAGCGTTTTCAGTCCTTTTTTATATAAATTGGGTGATTGCAATGGCATCATCGCCTTTATAGAACTTAAATATGTCAAGGAAGGTCGAATCAACAAGTAAAATTTGTGTATTAGCCAACGGAATTTACAGTGCGGAATTGCAAATATATAGACACAATTAGCCAAAATTTATTTATTCTTTAAAACAACTAAACACTTATATAGAAAACCCAAGTCATGACCTGATGACTTGCTTACAAAGACCAGAAATCAGTCAAGTTACCACCAGCACCGTTAAAGGCAAGAAGATTTGGAGATTGGCCGTCAGTGAGGCCTTGAATGACACCTTTAGTTGCGTACTTGATAACCTTAGATTTCAAAGCTTGAGGATCGAGTAAGCCACTTTCACCGGTGGCGTATTCCGAGTTGATATCTGGGTATAAAGATAAAAAGTAGGATAACAAACCGGCAATATGAGGAGAGGCCATCGAGGTACCAGACATTTGGACGGTATCAGACCAGACAAAAGTAGACAAGATATCCACCCCAGGAGCAAAGATATCCACACAACGGCCCCAGTTGGAGAAAGAAGCCTTGTTGTCGGCATTATCAGAGGCCCCCACGGTGATTGGACCGTTGGCTCTAGCTGGAGAGTATTCACAAGCATCGGAATCGTCATTACCAGCAGCAACGGCAATATGTAAACCGGCTTTAGAACCAGCGTTGGTAGCCAAATCCAAAGCATCGGTGGCCCCACCACCAATGGACATATTAACGGTGGATCCTTTGAAACCCTTTCTCTTGGTTTGAACCTTTTCTTTATGGTCATTGACCACAAATTCAATACCCTTGATGATATCGGAAGTAGTACCGGAACCCAAAGCATTCATAACCCCCACAGCAACCAATTCGACTTTTTTAGCAACACCATAAGTTTTGGATCCAATGATACCAGCACAATGGGTACCATGGCCATGGCCATCGAACTTGATATGAGGGAAAGGAACCGCGTCACCCCAAGAAGCACGGCCTTCAAACTCAGAGTGCTCAACCTTAATCCCGGTATCGATAACGTAAGCCGTGACCCCTTCACCACCGTCGTTATCATACAAAAAGTCGGTAGAAGGAGAAAGCTCACGCTGACTCAATCTAGCCAACCCCCAAGTGGCTTCCTTTTGAATATCAAATTCATCAACTTGCATGATAGCATCACGCTCAATAAACTTAACAAACGGATTCAGCTGAATCAACTTGATCAATTCGTCATTGAAATAACCAAAGTAACCACCAAAAGATTCCCCAATATTGAAAAACAGAAGCGCAGATTGTCCCGACTCAATCTTCATGTCCTTGACCATACTAGCATGATGCACATTAATCCATTGCTGGTGGTCTTGAACCTGGGCCGTACTTAAACCATCCTTGAACACAACAATATATCTGTTAGGAACAATTCTATCAGCACTAACTTTACTCAAGATTGGTGCCATTGCGTCTTCCTTCAACACTCCTTGACCGTAGTCTTGCTTGGAAGGCTCAACCTTATCAATATGAGTGAGCAACTGGTCAAAGCTTAAGAGAGTCTTCAAGTCAGGGATGACCAATCCCATAACCAAACCAACGTTTATCAAAACAGTAGCCACAATGATTCTAGCTTGCATTATGAATACTTAGCCAGAAAGAAGAACAAGTAACTACTCCAGTACCCAGTTTGCCTTCTTTAAATAGTCTGGGGGTATGAATTGGTCTGCACAGAGCATGTGCAGGCCAGCCATTAATACCCTAACGTTATCTTATCAACGGGCACACCGTCTACACTGCCTGCTGAACCGCTTCAAAGGGTCTGTTCAGCCTATTGAAGGACCGTTCAGCGTATTGGAGGACTGTTCAGCCTATGGAACCCCTTGGCAGGCTGCCCGACAGCACTCTTGTGACGGTTGAAGGATGCCCCAGATGTACGGGTGCTTTACCCAAGAGTAAAACACCCAGACACCCAGACACCTCCAGACACCTCCAGACACCATGCTCACGCTTACGCGTGCGCGCCCGCCAGCTTAAGTATGGGTTAAGTAGGGGGACCCCGTAGTTAACGCCCTGGGTAATTCTGAGCATCGCACTGACCACGTAATTCCCCATACAAAAACCCAATTGAAAAAACAGCTAAACGCCCAATTGAAAAAAAAAAAACAGAGAAATCGAGATAGAGATACCTTCATTTGAGTTGAAATATCGAATAATCAATAAAGATTTGAATTCAAGCTTGGGCGGTCGGACTTTTTTTGGAAGAGCATACCGCAAGTATACAAAACATCGAATTATCTTGGTTTAAATTCATATCAATTGGTTGGAAAAATGTCAAGTAGAAGAAGAGCATATCCACAACCTCAATACGCTGCTGCTCCTCCAGTGGCTGATCCTTCACAGTATCAGCAATCTCCTTATGGGGCACCAGCCGTTCCAGCGGTGGGGGGTGCTGCGGCAGGAGTTCCCGCTCCGGTGGCACCAACATATGGTGTTGATCAACTAAATCAAGGTTTCCAAAATATGAATGTTGGCCAACCATCAACTGCTTCTCCATATCAACAACCTTATAATGCTTATCCACAACAAGTTCCTCAACAACCCGCAGCACCACAACAGCCATATGATCCATACCAACAAGCACAAGCAGGTTTAGCCGCCTCGGGGGCCACTCCTTATGCACCACAATACTCTGCTGGTGGTGCAGTTGGGGGGATTCCTTCTCCAGGTACTTCTGCGTATGGCCAACCTCCTTTGAATCAATTATATACTACTGATTTATTAAGAGAATTGCCACCTCCAATCAGTGACTTATCATTACCACCACCACCCATCATATTACCACCAAATGCTGCAGTAGTCCCTACTTCAGAAGATTCAAATGCTAATCCAGAATACTTTAGATCTACTCTTAATGTGATACCAAATAATCACTCTTTATTGAAGAAAACTAAATTGCCTTTGGCTTTAGTAGTTAGACCTTATGGTGATTTACATATTGATTCAGAAAATATCCCAGTTGCTTCCGATACTTTGATTGCTAGATGTCGTCGTTGTCGTGGTTATATCAATCCTTTCATCACTTTAACTGAACAAGGAAGACGTTGGAGATGTAATTTCTGTAATTTACAAAATGATATTCCAAGTGGATTTGAATATGATGCTATGCACAATCCAAAAAATAAATTCGAAAGACCTGAATTAAATCATGCAGTTGTTGAATTCATTGCTCCTAAAGAATACATGGCTAGAGCCCCTCAACCAGTGGTTTTCACTTTTATTATTGATGTTTCTGCTGATGCAGTTTCAAGTGGATTAACTTCTACTATTACCAGAACTATTTTAGAAAGTTTAGATCGTATCCCAAATGATAAAAAAACTACTAAAGTTGCCTTTATTGGGGTTGATTCTAATTTACATTTCTTTAGATTTAATGAAGGCTTGGATGGTATTGAATCTTTGATTGTTTCAGATATTGATGAACCTTTCCTTCCTTCTCCTGAAGGTTTATTAGTTAATTTAGATGAAAATAGACCGGCTATTGAAAAATTATTAATCGATTTCCCAACTTTCTTCGAAGGTACCGCTAATGTTAATTTTGCTCTTGGTCCCGCTTTAAAAGCTGGTCATAAAATGATTTCAAGTATTGGTGGTAAATTAATTTGTTTTGCTGCTACTTTACCTAATTTAGGTGAAGGTAAGTTATCAATTAGAGATGAATCTCAATCTGGTAAACAAAAAGAATCTCAAGTTTTATTAAATGCTGCTGATAAATTTTATAAAAGTTTTGCGGTTGATTGTAATTCTGTTCAAGTTACTGTTGATTTATTCTTAACTGCTACCAAATATCAAGATGTTGCTACTTTATCTAACTTGCCTCGTTTTACTGCTGGTCAAACTCATTACTATCCTGCTTGGACTTGTGCTAAAGCTGAAGATGTTACTAAATTATCAAGAGAAGTTAGTGAACATTTATCAATGGATATCGCTTTAGAAGCCGTTTTAAGATGTAGGGGTTCTACTGGTCTTAGAATGAGTTCATTTTATGGTAATTTCTTCAATAGATCTTCTGATTTATGTTCTTTCCCATCTTTCCCAAGAGATCAAAGTTATACTATCGAAGTTTCAATCGAAGAAACCTTAACTAAACCAGTAGTTTATTTCCAAGCTGCTGTTTTACATTCTACTTGTTTCGGTGAAAGAAGAATTAGAGTTATGAACATGGCTATTCCAACTTCCTCTAAAATAGATGACATTTATGCATCTGCTGATCAATTAGCAATTGCTAATTTCTTTACTCATAGAGCTGTGGAAAAAGCTTTATCTTCATCTATACCAGATGCAAGAGAATTACTCGTCAAATCAGTTACTGATGTCTTGAATGTATTCAAAAAGGAATTAATTTCTGGTAACGTATCGGGTTCTTCTCCATTACAAATTTCAACTAATTTAAGAATGTTACCATTGTTATTATTCTCCTTAACCAAACATTTAGGGTTAAGAAATGAAAAAGTTCCATCTGATCATAGAGCCGCCGCTTTAAATAATTTAGCATCATTACCAATTCCTCATTTGATCAAATATATTTACCCAGCAGTCTACTCTTTACATAACATGCCAGATGAATGTGGATTACCGGAACAAATTGTTCAAGTTAATGAAGAAACTGGTGAAGAAGAAACCATTAGTACCACTGAAATATTATTGCCTGAACCTATTAACAATTCAAAAGAATCTTGGGAAAACTATGGTTTATACTTGATTGATAATTCAAGTGAGTTATTCTTATGGGTTTCTGGTGATGTTGTTCCTGAATTGGTTCAAGATTTATTTGGTGCAAACAGCTTATATGAAATTCCAACTGGTAAAACTGAATTACCAGAATTTTCAATCGAAGAATCAGAATTTAATTATAAAGTTCGTCAAATCATTGGTAAAATTAGAGAACAAAGAGATTCTATCACGTGGAAGAATTTATACGTTGTTTATGGTGGTTCATCTAACGAACCAATTGATATCTCTCAACAACGTGACTTAATGGCATTGAGATTATGGGCATTAAGTTGCTTGGTCGAAGACAAGTCTCATACTGAAATTGGCTATAGAGAATTTTTATCTCAATTAAAGAGTAGAGTTGCCGTTTAATTTTAATGCACATATATACTTTATAATCTTCCCATCCTTTAATTCTACCATTGTTAAATTTTTATACAAAAAGTATTTATCTAAAGTAAGAACTTTATAAATAAATCATTTTTTTATGAAAGTTTGTAATATTATATCAAATTATTTTCTTTCTATTTAATAAATTTAATTTATTTACCTGTATTTATTAAATCTATAGCTTCAACAAATAAATCTCGCTCTTCACCGTCAAAAGTCTCTTCGATAGTGTTTTTAATCCCTGATTGATATACCTTTAAGTTTTTTGCTATAGGACCTCCTCTGGCCATTGTGGCTACTATATTTTTTTTGAACTTATGTGATAGATTTGCCCAATAGACTTTTGAAATAGACTTACCTTCAAAATGGTTATTCAAGACATCAAGTAAGTTTTGAAACTCTTCAGTATTGTTAGCATGGTCAACTTGAGATTGAGCTGTTGATGAGATATTTGTGAGGTTAGACGATTTTAAGATTTCTTCTAATGTTTTTATATACTCATCTGAGCTAGCTTTAGTTTCTTTCACCACAGTAGTGAAATTACGGGGGGATTGCAATGATCGAGTCAATTGGGTAAGCGACGTCTGGACGTGTTTATTAATACAAGATTTTTCCACAATCTGATAAACTTCCTTTTCATTAAGTAAATACAATGCAATCAAATTATTTTGTAGTTTAATATTGGAGACTGAAAATGAGGTGTGGTGGTTGAAGTCCTGAACTATAAACTGATTCAAATCGTTCACTAAGCTCGTTGTTTTATTCAAATGTATTGATTGGTAATCTCTTATAAACTTAATTGAAAATAAATCATTACCAGCATTCCCACCGTTTAGAGCATTATGCTTATTAACATCCTTTTCAGAAGCATAGAATTGAGATAGCTGTTTATTTAACCTAGCTAATCTTATGACTTCTTTATTGTCATTTACATTATCAACATCAGCTGAGCCATATGCTTTTTCGGAATCTTCCAATTGCTGAAGTAAAAAGATAAAGTAGCCAGAACCTCTTACTAAGTTCAAAGTAGCATGAATCTTTCTCATGGCGTTATTCATATTGACTGCTTCATCATATGGCTTTATAACGTTATCTTTCACCCTTTGAAACGAGTTATTGACTCTTTCAAGTGATGGATTTATTGAATCGTTGAATGCTGATCTGGTATCTTCTATTTTACTGAAATGGGATATTAATGACTCATGGTTATCAGTACTTATACTCTTCATCCGCTTTTCACATTCATTGATATCAAATTTGAGTTTCTTTATTGGTGTCATTAGATCCAATTGTGAATCGTCATGGTCATTGGTAGCCAATATTATATCATTGGCAAATTGTGGAGCCCTAAAATCTGGCTCAAGAAATGCTTCAAAATCCTCGAGTTCGTCCTTTTCCCTGACGCTGGTCATAATTGTCTAAGTAGCCTAATGGTGCTGACGTTTAACTGCCATTTACAATTGTCGATTTTTCACTACGAGAATCTCACTACAATTTTTTTTTTTTTTTTGTTAGCATTATCAATAATTCATTAATCTATAAACTGCTTTCCTTATACTAAATCAAAAGCTATTCAGTCTTATACTTAGGTTTGGATGCTTGAGGTTTTGAAGAATTGGTTTTGTTGAGATTGAAACGTTTCGATTTAGGTGTGAATGCTTTTTGGCCATAAAATTGTTTCTTGAATTTTGCATCCTTTTCCTTTTGAAGCTTTTTTTCAATTCTTTTACGTTCAAGCTTTCTTTCACGGCAAGCGACTTTATATTCTCTTTTCTTCTTACCAGCACGTTTACTATGGGACCTCTTTTTCTGTTTTGCAAGTTCTTTCTCTATTTGAGCATTATGTGATTCCAAAATAAGGCATTTCCACGGCTTAGGATCTTCTATTGGAACAGATATCTGTATTTGCTGGTATATATCATCGCCAGAAACAGCAGCTTCTAAAAATTGTCTCTTTTGATCTTCCGAGTAGGATGCATAGTAATACGATAACGGTCTTTCGTTCTTAATTACCTCTAGTGATTCTTCTCTTAAAGAAACTTTCATGATTTTAGATTTGGTCCTGCCTCTTTCTTCATCCACAACAACATCCATCGAAGTATCATCTTTAGGCTCTTCAGCTTTCGAGTTCGGTGGAGGGGCTGCAAACAAGGGGAACTCGAATTCTTCATCAGATTCCTGCTTCTCTTCAGTGGCCACCTCCTTATCTTTGGACAATATGCTTATATCATCAGTGACAGCGTCCTCTTTCTCATCGTTATTGTCCACTTCTATGAAATCAAATTCAAAGTTACTGGGCATGTAACTAGTTGGGTTCTCATCGCTTTCACTTTCATATTCGGATTCTGAATTATATAGTGATTCCCTCGATATCCTATTATAATTGTTAGTTTTTCAACACCAAAAATTGGACGCGTTCATCCTAAATACATACTTCTTATACTGTGACATTATATGTCTTTGGTCTTGCTTTGGGGTATGGTTATTTGATCTATGACTAAGTTCATCTCATCGTCGCTGGTTTTTCAATTTTTTTTTTTTTCGATAAATCCAGCGAATTTTTCGGTCTCTGAGACACTGTGGAGAAAGTTACCTACATTTTTAAAAGATATTTAAATATTATGATAAAAATTATAAATAATACAGCACATAGGAGAGAAGCAAAGAATTAGGCATTAATAATGAAGACATAAAACTCGTAAAAAAGAAGTAAAGGACATACGTTCCAGTAAAATTTTTTTTTTTATTTTTTTTTTTTTTTTTTTTTTTAATTTTTCTTTTTTTGATTTGAACTTTCAAGTTTAATGAAAAAGTAGGGGCATATTTATTACCAGATTGGTGTATTAGATTTCCTGATCACTCTAAGAGCATCCTTGCGGAGTCTCAATTTAGGTGGAACGAAGCTAGTTTTCTGAACTGATTCGGTATCGATGACAATATCATTTTTATCAGTCAAAATATCAACTTGGATGTTGCGTACTTCATTGAATGGCATCATGGATCCCAAATCAACAGGAGTAATGAACTTCTTATTCCAAATAAGATCGACTATCTTTGGATAATGTTTTTCAAGAAAAGATTTTGCTTCCGAAAGCTTAACAAAGTTTAATAAAAGAAACTTAAATTTGGAGTGTCCTTCTCTTTGTAAATTCAAATGTGGATTTGAAGGATCAATACCAATCATAGGATAGAAGAGGATCCAAGTTTTAGATTTATTTTCAAGACTGACTTCAATTTTAGAACTAAAGTTTGCCTTTTCACCCAATTCAGTAATAGATAAGGCAGTCATTAAAGAAAGTTGAAGATCAATGACGTATTCTTCTCCATTCATTTTGAAAACGTACAATGGAACGAATTTTGAAAGTTCTTCTAAAGTATGTTCAATACCAAATTTTATGCATCTCAATCCAATAGGATAATTTTCGATACATTTTTTAAATTTAAGTTGTTCACGCTTGACTTCAAGTTGACGATTGGCTTCTGCAATCTCTTCAGCTTCTTTAATTCTCTTTTCATGCTCCAAAATTTCTTGTTTCTTTTGTTCCTCAATTCTCTTTTCTTCATCTTCTTTTCTCTTGCGTTCTTTTTCTTTTTCGGCTTTAATGAAGAACTCTTTTCTAGCCTTCTTCTTAGCTTCAGATTTTTCTTGCCAGATTCTGGCCTCTTCAGCAATTTTGGCTCTTTGTTCTTCTTGTGCTTTAGTAAGTGGAGCAGGAGCAGGAGCAGGAGCAGTCACAGGAGAAGTAATGGAAGCAGACGAAAGTGCAGGGGAAGGTGATTGAGTCAGTGGTTTTTTAGTAATATCTCGATCAGATGATCTGCTTGATTCCAAACTAGGACGATGTGAATGTTGAGTAGGAGTAACTGAAGTTGGTGATTGTTCCCTGGACTTGAAACGTTTTGGATCTTCGTTTGCTTCTGGGGTTCTGTCTTTGGCAAAAACGTTACTTGGTTGTGACTTCAACTTATCAAATTCCCTTGATTTGACTTTCTTTAACTTCTTTGTAGAATTCAGATCAGAATTACCGGATGAAATTTTGCGTTTCTTGTTGAGAGAGAGTTCATCTTCTCTATCTTTTTCATCAAAATCATTTTCCTTTTGTTTTTCAATTTCATGATCGCTAACATCAGAATTAACAGGCTTCTCAAAATCTTCGCTTTCTTTCTCTTCTGGTTTTTTTGACTCTTTAGGGATTTCTTCTTTAAAAGACAGGGTAGTATCTTTATGAGCTTCCTTGATTATTGCATTTTCATTAGCCGGTGTCTTTTCAGATGTTGTTGGTCCATTAGATGATTTCAAGATTTCTCCTTGAAGTAATTCAACTTCTCTTGGATCATACTCAGCAGAATATTTTGCTATATCTAAAGCATTTAAACCATCCTTTTTTCTTTTTTTAGTAGGATCAGCTCCTCTAGAAATCAAAAACTTAACAACTTCATAATTTCCGAGGCCCACAGTAGATAATAGAGCTGTTAATCCAACTTTGTTTTCTTGATTTATATCATAGGACCCTGGATTCAAACCAAGTAAAATATCAACTAATTCAACATGACCATTTCTAGCGGCCAAATTCAATATATCTGGTTTACTTTGAAGAGTATAATCATGAGCAAGAAAATCACTAGCTGCAGCTTCTTTAAAACCTTGTGCAGAATATTTATATATTGTTGAAGAAGAATTCTTCTTTTTAACCAAGCCTAAGAAATAATCTTCATATGGATCTTCCACTATTTTAGAAGGTGCCAAAGGAACTGCTTTATCACTTGAATTCCCCTTTTGGGCCTCTAGGGCCTTTTCTAAAAGTTCAATGATTTCGTCATAACCTTCTTCATCTGAATGTAAATGAGAAATTTTAGTCAAAGCAGTATAACCATCTGCATTATGAATATCAGCATTGGCTCCGTTATCCAACAATACTTTGACAGTGTCGATATGTTTATTTTCAGCAGCATCCATGAGAGGAGTTTCAGAATCCCCAGCTTCAATAGCTTGTTTGTTTACATCAGCACCATTTTTAATTAGATATTTCACAACATCTGTATGTCCAGATAAAGCAGCTTCATGCAAACAGGTGAATCCACCAAAGTCACTTTCATTTGCATCTGCACCAAGACTAATGAATCTTTTAACATCTGCCAAGTCACCTTTTTTACAAGCACGTTGAAGCAAGCTTCTTCCACTAGAGTCTCTTTTAACTTTATAGGATCCCTTTGATTTCGAAGAGCCTGGGGTTGACGATTTTCTAGCACTATCTTGTTTGGAAATAGAAGTGGATCTAGATTTGGAGCTTTTCGAATCTTCTGAAAATTCTTTCTCTTTAAAAACGGTAGATTCATCGTCACTTTCATCATCTGACAGTATATATTTTTTATTTCTTTGTTTCTTTCTTAAAGGTTGATCATATTCATCATAATCTTTTTTACGAAGTAATTTTCTACCTTGACGAATACGTGGAGGTGAGTCAGCAGGGAGAGTTTCTTGTTCAGAAAATTCTTCGACATCAGTTTTGGTAGTCTTACTTTCAGCTTCATCTTCCTCATCACTTACAGAGACAGAAGGTGACTTTTTCAAGTCCCTCTTCTTTTCCTCTTTATTCAATTTGAAGGACTGAGTATTGTTGGAGCTATCATTCACTGATCGACTAGGCTCATTGACCGCTGAAGCTGCTGACTTAGCACGATTATCACTTATATCGGTTAAGGTTGAGTCAGTAGCTGAAGTTGCTGACAAGGCTTTAGCACGATTATCACTTATATCGGTTAAAGTTGAGTCAGTAGCCGAAGTAATGATCTTTGGTGAATTTTCTGATGATTTCAATTCAGGTTCAGTATGTTGTTTTGAAGAACCGTCTTGCTTTTGAACATTCAGCGGGGATTGATTTTCGGGATTTTTGGTATCTGCGTTTCCATCACTTGGGCCATAATTCGACTTATTGATTTCTTGACTAATTTCCGGATCTTTTGACTCATCTTTAGGTTCGGATATTTGATTATTATCTTTAGCTTTACTTTTAGCAATTTTCAAATAATCTGCAAACGAAGTTTTTTGATTTTGAGCAGGTGGAGTGGAAGTAGGGGTTATTGAAGATTTAGAGGATTTTTCGCCTTCTTGATTTTCGTTAGGAATTTTTGGTCCGTCTAAGTTCTTTCCCGAACTTTCTTCAGAAACCTGGGAGTTTCTACTATCGCTTTTCACTTCTTGTTCAATCGGTCCTTTGGGTTCAATTGGTTCATTTGGTTCATTAGATTCAATTGGTCCTTTGGGTTCCTTTGGTTCATTTGGTCCTTTGGATTCATTTGATCCTTTGGATTCATTTGATCCCTTTGGTTCCTTTAGTTCCTTTGGTTCAATTGGTCCTTTGGATTCATTTGGTTCATCTTGCTTCTTATTAGATTCTTCTGTTCTCGAATCATAATCATCATCGAATAAATGAAGTAACTTAGGATTAGTGATTGTATTTGAAGGAGATTCTGATTTTTTCAATTTTTCTAACTCCAATCTTCTGTTTTCATCAGTTGAATACGTGGAACGATTTTCAGATCTGGATTTGTCAGAACGTTGATCACTCGAGTAATGGTCGGTATACTTTCTATCATCTTTTCTTTGATAACCTCGGTCATCGAAGGAGCCAGGTTTTTTCGCTTTATCATCCAAAGATGACTTTCTTCGATCTTTAATATAGCTTGAGCGGGAAGAATTATCATAGTTCGATCTTGGATTATAAGAGCTTCTATTAAACTTATCTTTTGGTCTCAGTGATGACTTGAAAGGTAACGGCTGTCTATTTTTGGGAGGGTAAGAATCATATTTCTCGTAACTCGATCTTTTCCTGGGGAAAGGTGCCTGCTGGCTGCCTGACGACGGGCGGTAGCTGCCGTAGTAGTCTCGATTGATCGACGACTCATTATTTCGTCTGCTATAACCGTTAGCTAAGCTTTCATTAGAATGGCTCACACTCGGCGGCTGACTTCTTTTATAGGACGAGCCAGGGTACTTCCCGGCATACCCCGTTCTTTCTCTGGCTCCCGAGCTGGAGCCTGCGTTGGACCCCGACCCGCCACTTGGCTTGGGAGTATAATGGTTGTTACTGGACATGTCTAGAGTAGTTACCGCCAATATGGTGAAGTGGGATAAAATTTTATTTGTGCCAAAAAAAAAGAAAAAAAAATTCAGCTTTTGGCTGCTTCTGGTGTACGGAGTTTAAGGATTTGTTTCAAATACGCGTGCACTTACAAAAAGAATAGCCAGCTTTTAGCAGTCAAAGACTAATACAAGACGGTAGACAGGTATAAGACATGCAATTAAAGATAAGTATACAGAGAAGTGAAGAGGATAACCGGACCAGGGACCAAGGGGCGGGCGATAGTTACGAGATGGAGTCGCCGAATTCCATTAATTCAAAGATTAGACTCATATTGGGACAAATACGATCACAGCTTTCGATGTAGTAGCCTTTATGGGAGAGGTCTTTAGCGAGAAGCTTATCGTTGTTGGAGGTACCGTTTTTCAATAGGTCGTAGGCGTCGTTGACGCCGATTTTGAATTTTTTCATGAAGTAGGCTACTATGACACAAGCGGATCGGGAAACTCCACATTGGCAGTGGATGAGGATTTTTTTATTTGGTTGATCGAATTTGGAGATTTGGTTGGTTAAATTGGGTAAGTCTTTTGAGATGGAAGAATTATGGGACCAAGGGATGTATAAGTATTCATTTTCGTGATTTAATGATAAATCCTGACATTCTTTAGCCACGTTAATGACCAAGTCGTAATCGTTGAGGTTGACTTTGTAATCGCTTATGTTGGGATCGGAAAATAGGTAGATTTGGTTATTCAAAACGTTTGCTGGGCCATTTGGATAGGCGTTTAGCTGATTTTTCTCTTGTAGTTCTTCCGGGAGTTTTTTAAATTTATGGTCGTTCAAGTTGATTGATTGAACTTTATTGATGAATTCGTTATTTATGATGAAGGGGCTTTGTAAATTATTTGGGTATTCATTATAATCCGACGATTGGTTCAATTGATAGTTCAATTCATCATTTTGCTCCAAGGGGAATTTGAAATTAGATAATTGGGGGGTGGTTTGGGATTTTTTCGGTAATTTTGGTAATGGAGGCATTATGGGGGTATTTGATACGTTTGGGGTTAAGAGTTCTTCATTATTCGGTATGGATAACGTCAATGTTTTTCTTCTGGTTATACTTGGTTTATTAAAGGGCAAAGGGTCGGTCAAATCCTCCTTTTCCGGCAGGGCATCCGGTTTATTCAAATTTAGTGATAGGTTCTTCATATTGATATTTCGGCTGGAGGTTAGTGAAGACGGTTTTCTGGAATGTTTTGGGGAATAATTGATTGAACCATTGATTGAATCGATTGGCTTGGGCGACTCTAAAGATGCTAATGAGTAATTTGATGAAGGAGACCCGGAATAGGGCGAGTAATGATTAAATCCTGGACGGGGAATTTGAAATGGTAAACTAGTAGTATTAGTAGTGGTAGTGGACATATTTTTAGAACTACTACTGGGAGAAGCTTTTTCTTCCTTTTGGTTGAAAGTCGGTGTTGGAGGGGGCGGAGGGTGTGGTTTTATTAGAAATGGATTCGAACTCATGTTATATAGGAAGAAGATGAAATAGTTTGAAACAAGTATGGAATTTTGATTAGGAATTTGTTAATCCAACGAGAAACAAAAGGGAAACAAAGGAAAAAAAGGAAAGCGATAAAAATATACCAAAGCCTAAAAATAAAATATTTTGGGTTTACTTTACAACGTTAATGACCAATACGGGATAACCAGCTTTAAGAAAGGAAGAAGCAGCCCATGAACCAAATCATCAAGAACAAAAGGTAGTTGAAGATGAACGAGTAGGGCAAAAACCACTGGAAAGCTTAAAAAAAAAATTTCACGCAAAACAGAACCAAAAAAAAAAAAAAAAAGCACAGAACAATAAGGTCAATACATATTTATTAGAAACATGTAAGGTACTTTAAGGTACCAATAGAGGATCCAGTGGCAGTACTATTGACGATGGTTGACGATCAGGGTTTACACGTGTAAAGAATCCGTACCCCTCGTCCCCTGGTGCTATTTTAGTTGATACTACACTGAAAAAGATCAAAATTAATAAATATTTATTATACATGCAATTAACGGTAAGGAGCATCGGCATCGATACAGTATTGTAATTCTTGTTCCCACTTATCACCATTTTCTAATAATTTTTCTTTATTATATAACAATTCTTCTCTGGTTTCGGTAGTATATTCGACGTTTGGACTTTCCACAATTGCATCAACAGGACAAGAATCTTGACAATACCCACAATAGATACATTTAGTCATATCGATATCGTATTTATAAGTTCTTCTACTACCATCGATTCTCTCTTCGGCTTCGATAGTAATGGCTTGGGCTGGACAAATGGCTTCACATAATTTACAAGCAATGCATCTTTCTTCCCCACTTGGATATCTTCTCAATGCATGTTCTCCTCTGAATCGAGGACTGATTGGTCCCTTTTCAAAGGGATAATAAATAGTATATGGTGCTCTGAAGTACATTTCCAAACAAATGTACATCCCTCTGGCAATTTCGTTCAAGAAGAAAAACTTGGTGGCTTTACTCAAGGCACTTTCATTGCTTTCTTCCCAAGTCTTTGGCTTTGGTGCTCTGAATCCCTTGGGCCAAACCGATTGCGTTGATCCTCCGGTATTGAAGTAACTTGGTTGGGCATCCGCAGCAAGCGCTGGCTTCAAGCTGGTGAAACTCTTACTGAAATGACGAACGCCTCCCACACGTAATCCTCTAGCTATCATCTTGTTCTTGCTTGTACTTGTAGTAGTTCAAAAGAAGATTGTTATCGTTGAAAATTTCTCATGTAAAAAACATTTCATTTATTCTCATTGGATAACTGACTCCGGGGACTTTCTGCTTAGGTAAGCGCATACCTTTTATTAAGCAATCGCCCTCACTGGCTGCAAGAATTGCAGGTTGGGATCTTACAGGTTGGCCTAGACTGCAAATATATTCACTATTTATTAAGTTTTAGTAACCCATTGGTCTTTAACCCATTAGTCTGAGGGCTAGTTCGACGGAAGCAAAGGTCCCGGCACTGCAGGGAATGGCTCTGAGTAAGCAGGGAACAATACCTTTCCAGAACCCGGCGGCCCCGTTGAGCTTGTAGATGGTCTTTGCCGTGGACCAGATGTGGCCGTTGAAACGAGACTGGCTGCCAAACCCATCGCTTTGGATGTTACTTTTGATGACGTCCAAGGGGTAGGAGCTCAACCAGAGCGCATTCCCGGCCAAGGCCCCCGAGAGCAACAACTCCGGAGTGGAGATTTGGTCTCTTGAAGTATAGTTATTGTACTGTTGGATCTTCCCGATCAAGGTTTCATAGGTCAAGAACCAGATCCCGTAGGCTTGCACTTCTCTTAGGAGGGTGATGTTGAAACCCCGGTACACGCCCTTAAGGCCCTGGTGGTGCCAAATGGCCTGAACGGTGGAGCGCAAGCTGGTTGGCTTGGACGAGCTCTGACTCAAGATTCTCAACTGCTCAACCGGGGCGGTGATTGGGGTGTTGACCAAACCGGCCATTGCCCCGGCCAAATAGGTTTGCGGCCATAGATTCAACGAGTTTTGTTTTGTATATTTAAGGATTTGTCTTTTTGATTCGTGGAACCCGTAGAATTGCAACGAAACACAGGCCCCTACTCCGATCAAGGGGGGTAACGTTCCCTTGTAGAAGGCAAGGGCGCCTTCATTGGCGAAAACTTGTTTGATGATTTGGGTCGACGTTAATGGAGTTGACGAAGTTTGCAATCTAATTTTCACCAAGTCTGCCGGCTGGCCAATGAGCACTTGCGTGGCGCCACCAATGAACCCAGCACCGATATCCTTGACTTTCCTACTTACCGAGTGATCTATATCTGTCATAGTTGAAGAAAAAGGGTAAGAATACCAAGATCAAGACTAAGATAAATCAACTTTTCATCTTATCGATTGCCTAACATCACGTGCGCACACTTGTCTATTAAATACATAAGAATATACAATTAACCATTAAGTAAGCCACCAATTGACATACTGTGTTTTTTCTTTTCCATTTTATCACGTAATGAGTTTTCCAGGTCGTCTTCATCATTCGTAGGGTTAGTTTTTTTATAGGATGACGTAAAATCGATTGCCACCGGAGTGACTTTTTTAGAACAGGCTCCTCCACAACATGTTTTAATCCCCGGTATATACAAGTCATTTCTGATGGAAGGCAATTTGATTGGATTATGGTTTATTGGGGGTAATTGAACTGGAGGCAACACCACTGATGGGGTTGGTTGTTGTGGTGGTTCTTCTTTAATCTTCTTCTTTTTATCCTTTTTAATGAACTGTAAATTTCTTTTCCTTCTTTTAATGGTAGTTCTTTTCATTTTAATCGGACGATGGCTCCCGTGAAGTCTGTAATACAATCCACATGCGTTACAGATTGTATTACCGGCGTCGTCTCTTCTCCAAAGAGGAGTAATGGTACTACCACAATTAAAACATGCAATCGCTAAAGGATCGTCATCGTTTGAAGAATCAGTGGATGAATCTTCGGATTTGATTTTCGATTCTTCATTCGAATGAGTGTACGATTTGTCTTGTTCCTTAACCACAACTCGGTTATTATAAGCAGGACATCCCTGACAAGCAGCACTCCCACCAGTCCCATTACATCTTCCATCTCCTTTACAACTTCCCTCTTCTTCCTTCAAAATAGGAATGGTGTTGGGAGGTCTCTTCAAATTAACCGGCCGATTAGCGTTATTCGAACGTAAATATAACCCACAAGCATTACACATCAACGTCCCATCGGGGGCCCTTCTCCAAAGAGGAGTCTTGGTGGTATTACAATTCGAACATTGTTGTCCAACTGGTATACCCCTTTTAGGTGATTCTGTCGGTATTTCAGCCATCATATATGCATAATAAGAACCAAGAAAGTATTCAACCAATATATCCAAGTATCAAGGAATAAAGTTATGAAACAAGTAGAAAAACAGGATGAAAAGATTTAAAACTTAAAAGAAGCCTTTCATTGTGCGATGATTCCCAAAAAGTCACCATTTACGAGAAGATCCGATGGAAAAACCTGGTGCACGGGCCCGCGCCTGGGGCGCCCGCCTCAGTTTTCCTGGACACTGGCCAATCAGCGTGCGCGCATTACTAACCATCGGCTGCCGCCACTCGACCGGGACAATTGTGTCAAACTTTATCGATTCCATCAGTCGCGTGTGATTGGCCAGCGATGCTTTTGATTACACGGCAGGTGCCGTCGACTACTTGTACTTAATCCACTCTTAAGCGAAACTCGATTGGGAGACGGTATGTGTGAGAGGTTACTTTACGTAGGTAATATATTGAGTAGAATGATTAGAGCTCGTCGTATCGAAAGATCTTCTTAAGAACCCTTATATCTGGAGAGTTATTGTATGTCTGATACCGGGTCGCAGCATGAGAGAAATCTAGAAATACAATGTTGCCGTTGGAAATTTTGCAATTCCTTCTTGCAATATCGTCATGGCTGATTCCAAGACCCCCCATCATTTGGAGCTGTCTGCATCCCTGCTCAACCATCGACTTAGTGACTTTGGTGTCGTGTTCCTCGACGTACGAGAGCAATAAGTAGTATCCGTCAATGGGCTTCCGGTGTTTGACGTTCATCCGGAACCCACCATAGTGATAGAGAGTAGGAGTGTGAATTTGCTCATCAGCACTTGCATTATGTATTTGAATGCGCTCGTAGCACGAAGCCTCTCTAAGGAAGAGTTCAATGCACATTTTGATTTCTCTCATGTTAGATGTCGGCCATCGATCGAGTTCTGCAATGACATCGGGAATGAAAAGCTTCATTACCACCAGGTCATCCTGGCTCAACGCTCCGAGCACTTGGTTGAAAAAGGGGAAGTATTGGCAAATCAAATCCACTTTGAACTTGTAAACATGTCGATCGTGACCTTCCCCTTGTAGTACTTCAAACCCAGTCCATGAGTCGCAGGCCCCTTCAATATGCGAATGGCTCTTTTCGTGGTTGATATCCCGCTGGGCATTACTTGAGTTGGTGAGTTTTGCTCTTATCTGTGCATTAAGTGACTCTTCGTCTTGGCCAATCTCCTTCCCCACGGCTTGGATGAACGCATTGACGGTTCCCTCCTGGCTTGCTCCACGGAGCTCGAGCTCTTCGGTGGTTTCGAAAAAGAGCCACGATAATAGTGCTGCTTGCACCGTTAATCCAGATCTGTTCAACGGGAATAGTCTATACTTGCACGGGATCCCTGTAGACCCCTTCAGCTGACCGAGTTTGACTTCATCAATTTCAATGAAAAGAGAGTAGTGGAAATTGGTTACAATAGCCCGTGTTGTATTGCAGCCAACAAAGAACCCGCCTACTTGTCTTATGATTGACTTGAACGCCTCGCTTGACTCGTCGAGTCCATCTTCGACCAATTCACTGAATTCAGGACCCATTGCTTCAACCGCCACTAAGGGAACGCCATGCTCCATATAAAGAATGTCTGGTCTTCTTTTAACCGGGGTTCGACTCTTGTCGTCACTATAATAACTGCCAGTACTGAACCAATACTTTTCGTACCAGATATGGTGACGGACAATACGAAGAAAAGAAACCGTGGTATCGCCAATATACTTTTCAAAAAGGTGACGACATTCGGAAGCGTCTTCTGGGAAATAACAACTACTTCGGGGTGAGAACTCGTAGTTTATACTTGCCCATTTGTCTACTGGCTGATTAGAATTTAAAACCGCCTCTCGAAAACACCGCTGGAAAGAATTCAATTTCTTAAAACTTTCATCAGCCAACTCCGTTTCAAATGCCAACAGGAATTCGTCCAATCTACTATTCCAACCACGGGCCCTCGGAAGGCTGGTGTTACGCTTAACCCTATCAAAACTAAATTCAGGAAGCACACTGATGGAGAAAAAGGGGATGGCAGCATTTGCAAGGAGTTCTAAATCATACAGTTCCCAATCGTGGATCTGTCGAGGCAAGTCTCCTTTTATACGAAACCTTTCACGAGGACTCATCCGTGCCAATATTTCAGGCATGACTCCGTTGATGTAAAACAACCGCTCTCCAGGATACTTCTGCTCCAATAAGTCACTTGTGTATTTCTCGATATACTCCATTTGATCACAATCAGGAAACTCGGTGAATGCAGTAGAACTGACGTACACTAGTCTATCTGCAATGCCTTCGTAGATAGACCGCTGCACTCGATACCTTTCTAACAAGTCTTCGGGAGGAATGTACTTGACATACACAATCTTCTCAGAAGGGAAGATTTGCATCAATTTCTCCGGTGAAATACTGTTATCGTACTCAATAAGCTTTTCACCTTGGCTTTTCATGATCTTCGCGTAGTACTTTGAGTTCATGGTGCTGTGTTTTGAACGAATCCACAATGAAGTAACTTAATTGGATTTTAAGCAGGTTTGGCCAGCTTCATTCGTGATAAGCTAATAAAAATACTCTGCTTCGGCTGCAAAAAGCAAAAAAAGAATATGTACGGGTGCAAAACGTCACATTAGACCCATACACCACAAACCGTCACGTGCTACCAATTCACGTGACCACAAACGCGTCGTGCACCGCGCCCAAGAACCTATCATTTGGCGTTGTTTACGTTTAAACGTCCCTTTCAATTACAGTGCAAACACCATTCTGTCAGTGAATGAAGGAGTAGGTGTCAGTAGTGAAGTAGACGGAGGGTAGTAGAGCAGAGGGAGCTGTAGTAGAGCAGAGGGAGCTGTAGCAGAGAAGGTGAAGGTGTAGTAGAGCAGCAGAGTAATTGTAGAAGAGTAGTAGGAAAGTAGGGTGGTACGGCCAGTGAGTGACCCGTGCACCAGGGAAAAATCACAACAAATAAACAAATAAACACAGCGGTTAATTCAGATATCAACACCTCCTTTTCTTAAACATCACTTTCATTAACTTCAAAACAAGACTACTTCTTTTACTTTGCTATACTGCTGCTACTGCTGCTACTGCTGCTTCTGGTGCTCCATAATATATCCAAGACTTAATAATCCAATATGAATACGCGCCCGCAATTAACCACGGCGGGTGCTTCATCAAATCAAACAATTCATTCAACAAATAGTTCAAATTCAATAAATACAAGTCCAAATAACTTCTTGACACCAAAGAATTCGAAAAGATCAAGTGTAATATCGAATTCATCGACTTCAAATAAAGAAAATCCATCAAGATCATCGTTTATAGCAAATTCCAATTCCAAAATTGATTATTTTGCAAATAACCATTTTTCAAGATCATTCAATAGTTTGATTTTGGATGATATTAAAGATGAGTTAAACTTATCGACCGCTAATAAGAAAACCATCAATAAAAGCCCCCCATTCAATGTTAAACAAGATTTGTATATGGGAATCGATAGTATAGATCAACAATTAACTGATGAAGATTTTAGTGATACTAATAATAGTGATGAAAATGATTTTTCAACACTAACCATTATAAATTCCAATAAACTAAGATCAAATGATGATTTAAAGAAAAGTTCAATAAAAAGATCTTCCAAATACCTTAATTTATCAATTGAAGATAAATCAAATAAAATTCCGGAAGATATTGATAATATAAGTGATTTAAATGAAATTGACTCTTGTGCCATAAATAAGGAAATGAATACTCCTCCTTTCAAAAATAAAAATTTTAAAAGACCTCATCAATTGATATCCCAGTCTCCTTCTCCATCATCTTCTAAAATTAATCCAAAAATTAACTTAACAAAACATTCTCCAATAAGAATTGAAAATGATTTCAAATCTCAAACCAATTTATACTCTCCTTCAAAATTAGGTTTAAAAGGTTTTAAAATGTTTAAAAATTCCGATAAATTAGCAATAATATCTCCAAATAGAAATAATCATCAAATATTAACCGAAAATAAAAATGATTCAAATAGATCATTACCTTCTAAACTAAGAAAAACTTCCTATTCAAATTTATCAGTTTCAACAAATAATGATTTTACCACGGCATCTTCTCCAAATTCTTCAAATTTTAATTTTGAAATTTATAATCTTGATAAATTAGATATGGATTTAGATAATGATAGTCCTTCTAAAAATAGGAAACTGTCAAATAGTTCCTTAAATAAAGATCAATTGGTTATATATCAAGATAATGATGAAGATGTTGGTTTTCCTAAAAAAACAACCGTTAAATCACCAAATTTAAATGATAATAAAGAAAATGAATATAAAAATTCTTATAAATTTGTTAAACCACTACAAACTGCATTCAAATCAACTGGATTATTGAAGAAAAACTCAATTTCAAATAATCTAGATAATAAATTGAAAAAATTCCCCCCAGAAACTCCAATTAAAAAAAATCCTTTATTGAATTCAGTAAATAATTCAAATTCATTAACTACAAATTATCCAATTAGAAACTCAAGTTTAAGTAACCTAATAAGCTCTGCTCATGACGAAGGAGAAGATCTGGAAATTTCAATTGAAGTCGGTAGAAATATATCAAATCAATCAATTAATGATTCAAATTTAAGTTATTTCAAGATTCCTCCTCCTTCTACGATTAAAAAGAATGTTGATTTTTTCGAAAAAGACTTAGACATTGATTTAAGTTCAGATTATGAAGATATTGATTTAATTCCTGAAACTCCAACTAAATCAGTTAAAAAATCCCATTCAATGCCAGCTAATTTCTCCCCAGTTACTTTCAAAAAACATCAAAAACAGTTAAAACTAGATCAATTGAAAAAATCAAATTATCCAAATTTGAATATATCAATTAATAAATTGAATAACCTTGAAAAAATTAACGAACCTTCCACCCCAACAAACCTAATTCATTCAAAGTCGCTCAATTTGAAGAACGATTCAATCGATTCATCCCAGTCAACCATAAGAACAAGCATCCCCAATAATAACTCCCACAAAATTGATGACCATCTAATCAATAAATTTGGTTTGAAAAATTTGAAATACTTGGGTACTGGAGAATTTTCAATTGCTTATGAGTGTTTATTTCAAGATCAAAAATTTGCCATTAAAAGATCTAAAAAACAAATCATTGGTAAATTAGAACGTAAAACAATTAATCGGGAAATTGAGGCTTTAAGAATGTTAACCTCGGTTAAAGATAATGAAGATATTAATTTAAAAGAACAAGATGAAGGAAAAGAGTACCTTGTTTATTTCATTGAAGCTTGGGATTTTAATAATTTTTTTTATATAATGACCGAGTTTTGTGAAGGAGGTACATTATTTGATTTTTTAGAAGAAAATAAAAATTATAAAATTGATGAATTTAGAATATGGAAAATCTTGATTGAAGTCTTGAATGGATTAAAGTTTATTCATCTGAAGAATTATTTACATTTGGATTTAAAACCAGCTAATATTTTTATCACTTTTGAAGGTTCTCTTAAAATTGGTGATTTCGGTTTAGCCACAAAATTACCAATTTTGGAAAAAGATTTTGATTTAGAAGGTGATAGAAATTACATTGCTCCTGAATTGATCAATGATAAGATATATACTCCATTTGCTGATATTTTCAGTGTTGGTTTAATAATTTTAGAAATTGCAACTAATATTATTTTACCAGAAAATGGAACTCCTTGGAGAAAATTACGTAGCGGTGATTTAAGTGATGCTGGTAAACTATCAAGTGATAACATTCTGGATTTTTTAAACCATCAAAATTTTTCTTCTTTAACTTCTTATAATTCGATTGGGTTATCACTGACTTCTTCATTAAATCGTGAATCTTCGAATGTTCAACATCCAAATCCTTCTTTAGCCAGTATTGAAGATTTAATTCCTCATGGTGCTCCTGATTTCTTAATTTACAATTCTAATAATTTAGATAAACTAGTTACTAAAATGTTGAAACCAAATCCTTTCGATAGACCCACTGCTAAAATGATTTTAACAATGAATGAATGTCAAGTCATTGAAAATAGACGTAAGGCTGGTGCTACTATCTTCGAGGGTGAATTCGGTCCAAGCAATGAGGACGACTAGTTCGGGAAATGACTTTATGTGTATATAATGTACTTATAGACTTTTTTATTTTTTTTAATATAGATCTGGTATCTTTTTTCTCGTTCGACTGCTCTTTTTTGCAGTCTACCAAACACCGTACTAAACACCGCAGCTACAAATCAGTTCAAGACAATAAGTTAATGATATAAAATACTAGATTCAAAGAATCCACTAATGCGAGAAAGAGAAAGATTTCAAAATTCAAAAGGAGAAGAAAATTCCATTCAGTCTTACTTCAAAGAATCTGTTTACTTCATTACAGATTATTCATGGATGATTCAGATTATTCATAAGCATTAGTAAAGATACATATATAAAAAAGGTCAAAAAGAAGAATAAATTAGAAAAACAAACAAACCAAACAAACGAGGTAAGACTTATGGGGTGATCTTTTCTTTTAATATATATTATTTAATTTTTTTTTTTTTATATTTTTTTCAAAGTTTTCATGTAAGAAATGAATAATGGAAATGATGACAGGGAGCAAAGTCAAGGAAGGAATAGATCTATTGGATTTGAGAGTAACCAGTGAATGGATTAGCATTCTTAGATTTCAAGTATTCATCAGAAGCTTCTTGCCATTGTCTGTTCATGGTGGTTGGACCATCAGCAGCAAAAGATCTAATGACGGCGAATAAACCAACACCGGCAGCTAAACCAATAACGGTACCCCAGAAAACTTTAGCTCTATCGCTAGGACTGTGCAAAGGTTTTCTTGGACCCCATTCCCCAAAAGAAATGTAGTAAGCAGCCTTTTTTTCGGCTGGGGTTAATTCTTGCCATGGTAATTCCATTCTACCCTTTAATTCACTTATTAAGGTATCTCTATCTTCTTTTGGTAACGATTCCCATCTGGAGTCTAATTTGCCAACGTAAGCATTAGACAATGCTCTTGGTGCAGTTTTAGCAACAGTGGATTGTTGACGAACGGCAATTCTTTGAATAGATTGACGAAACATGGCTAGATATCAGTTAGTATATATTCATGCAAAGCCCGAACCAAAAAGACTGAGTTTTCTGAAAAATCAAAAGAACAAACTGAAAAATTTAACAAAAAAAAAAAAATTATCAAAACGCCCTGGTGTATGGATCTTTTGTCCTTCCTTCACTTAACATTTGATTGGCCGGGAAAAGTCGGTAGTCGGACGACCGCTTCTCTGGTCCCATCCACCAACCTGACAGTGTCCAGAGGCCTGGTCTGGCATTCCTGCTGGATCTTCCAGGACGTGCTGGGAGGATCTAAGCGGCCGCTGTGCGAGCAGCTCGCTCGCAATTCATATCTGGCTCTGGATGAGCTATTTTCCATTACCTGAACGGATTCGTTGGTTTGTTATCTCTTCACCTCGTTCACATTGTTGCTGCTGATAGAGCCAGGGTCTGCTCGCGTCTTGGTGCGTGGTTCACTCGAGTATACATACCTGTAATGATGGCTAGATGTACTTTGATTAGAAAAAGTAAGTGGTTGATAAAATCTTTTATTAAAAGCTCCAATCACAAATTGAAATTTGATTATTGGCTAAAAAAAAAAAAAACAGTGTCTGAAAATTTGATGAGTGGAAGCGGGTCGTGTCCGCAGTCAAATTAAATGGGGTGATTATTTATTGTTGCAATAGTTAGAGTTACAGTTACTATTTATTTAGTATTGATACAAACGATTGATCTTTTCAATTGGGTGTCGTCGACGTCGAGGACGTCGAGGACGAAGGGAAGGGTTGCGATACGGGTTTGCAAGTAGGCGACGAACTCGATGACCGAACCACCAACGCCAAAGTAGATGTTTTTAGCAGCCACTAGAGCAGACGACTTGACGGGCGAGAGCACGGCAAGGATGGTTTCTGCTAGGACGGGTAAGGATTCTGGCGAGTAGATTGTTTCGGAGGTGATGAGGAAATCGATCGGGTGATTGGGTAAGAGGTCGATGAAAGGGTTACTCCAGGCCCCGGAGATGAATTGGAGGTTGATGTTTAGGTTGTGCAAAGAGGATTCGAAGTGGGTGATGAGTTGTGGGGTGATGAGAAGCTCATCGTTGTTTAAGGCAGAGCCATTGGCGTTGCTTAGTTCGTATAGGACTTGCGGGTCCAAAGTCGATGCCCAATGGATTAAGATATTAGGTAGGGTGACTAATCTCAAGACTTCATAATTGAAATCACTCAATGTTATTTGGGTTGCAGCGGACTTAATGTTGCCATTGAAGTAATTTAGTAAGAGGAAACATGTAGGTAATGCGGTTCCACATCCTAATTCTAAGATATGTTTGTACTGGTTGAGTTTGCCGAGTTTAATCATTTCGGAAATGTGGTCCACGCTATCGTAGGAGCATTCCCAGCTTTTGAATCCCCCTTCGTAAACGTCTTTTTTCAAGTCGTCTTTGTTTTCTCCTACTAAGATATCGTTAATCATCTCGTTGTTGTTTTCGTCCTCCTCCATCATGACCTGGTGCTTGATATCAAACAATTCTCGACGATAGATGATGTTGCCCTTGCCGGTGGTATAGTTGTCGAACGTGAGTCGAACATTGGTCAACGTCCCTAGTAACGAACTCAATTCATGTAATTTGGGCTGGGTGTTTGCGTCGAGCTTGATTTGGTCCAAGGGATCGCGGTGTTCTTGCGGTTGCGTCTGGGCCACAACAGATTGGCCTTCCAACTCGTCGTCACTGAAGTCTTCGTTGGTGAATCCAAATGAAAATGACATGCCGAACTAACGAAGTAAGTAGTTAAGTTGAATTAATAAGTTGAATTAATAAGTTGAAGAAGTAATAAGTGAATCTCATCGCTTTTTTTTTTTTTTTTTTTTTTCAGTGAACCGATATATTTTGACGGATTACGTACGATTGATTCAAGCTAATCACTTTTGCCAATCGAGAAGCGTCCAAGCACAGCTGGGAGAACAGTTGTACAACGGTAGAAGGGGCCTTGGCCAATTTCTCGACCGCCGGTTCTTCTGCTGTCACTCCCTGTGGCTGTAATAAGAGAACTATCAGGTTCAACTTCTTGTAAAGTGACTCGCATTGAGTCTTCATAAGTGAAAAAACGTATCTATCTTTCTTTACTGCCATCAGCTCCATTACTGATAGGCGCAGGCTGAACTGCTGGAAGTGGCTAGTCCAACTAAAGAAGAGTGATATGCTATCCCTCAATCTATTGTATAGATCGGGGTGTTGGCATGGTAGTAATAATTCATGTAGTGCTTGATAATTGTTTTTAAATTGTTCTTTTAATTGGAAACTCTTGTTATGAACATTTTGAAAGAAAGGCCATAATGTTCGGGGGATCTTATCAGCGTTTTTACTTTCTTCATCCATGGTCCCATATCGAGCCACTATCCAAATAAGATCCGAATCCAATTCTTCAATTGAATTAAATAATACAAGTATCGATTGGTATATGGTTAGTAAACTCTGATTCATTACTTTTTTGCTGGGTTTCCCTTCCTTGTATAATCCTAAATGTACAAATCGTACTCCGTATAAATATTCGTCAAATGGTATTGCTAACTGTGAATTGGAGTACTCATTGTAAATGGGACTCTTTCTAAACAACTCTTCGTGTTTGGTATTTTCAAGCAACCTATTTGTAATCACGATACATTCCCAATATATACATATATATCTTAGTGCCCAAGAATACTTTTCAGTTTCGAGCTCTAGCGTATCGTGGAATTTCTCATTAAAATAATATAACCTGTCTAATTGAATAAATAAGTGACTTTCTTGGGTCAAGACAAATGCTTTGATGAATTCTTCATTGAACATTTTAAGTTTTATTTGAAGACCATGATCCTTCTTAAGTATATAGAATTCATCCGAATACCACTTTGAGGAAATATATTCAAATGTTTCAAGCATCTTCAATACCATCTTCAAATTACCGGCTACCTCCATAGCTTGGGAGAGACAATACCCTTTATATCTTGCTTCGTAAATAAAACATCTAATCCTGTTGCTTGCATGAATGAAATAATTCAAATCTTCAACTAATTTCCTCTTGGTTATTTGACCTTCGAAAATCTTATTTGGTATACTCAAGGGAACTTCCGGTGCTGAGTTTAATTTCTCTCTGATTTGGGGGTCCATTGCCGCTCCTTGCAATTCAAGCGAGTCAATTTCATTAGCTGGAATTGATAGTACTACCGATAAGGTAACATAATAATGCTGCTGCCAAGTTGAGATTATTCTATTGATAACAGGCCATGTTTTGTCCTCGACCACCCTAAAAAAATCAACGAGGAGTCTACTATCACCACAGGTACGACCATTTAACTTGTATCGATGATCCGGTTCAAGCATGATTAAGTGTTCGGTGCTGAGTCCTTGTTACTTAGTATGGATCGAAGAATAGTGTTTTTTTTTTTTTTTTTGATCTCTCTGAGATTTTTCAACACCCATCAACATTTCACTGAGTTGGTGGATTAGCTTCACTTGGATAAATGTAGCTGTACATCTACTTTGTGCTTACTGTACGTCCATTTTGTGCTTATGCAACCCTTCCGTCGAAGGAGAGGAATCGCAATGCAAGTATTAAATTAGAAATGAAGAATTGCAATGCAAGTATTAAATTAGAAATAAAGAATTGCAACGCAAGTATTAAATTAGAAATGAAAAATTAAGACATGATGCCAAACAAGAAGAATTACTACCAATCCCACTGGTGATGGAATCTGATAGCAATTGACTTCTCGGACGCCGTAGGGCTTTGATATTCTTCCTTTAATGTCAAGCCGTCATAGTGAAAAAAAAAAAAGAGATACTAAAGCATATAACTATTCTTTTAAAGACAATATCCAAACAAAATGGGGTTTCCCTTAGGGGAAACAAGTACCAAAATGGCTTTTTTTATACTTTTTTTGCGCTTCTTTATGGTATGGGAGTTTTTTCTGGACTCTGGTATTCAACCAAACAAAAAAATCAACGTCTACGGCCATATCCAGCATAAAGCATGATTACCCGTCCGATCAATAATTATTAAGCTGCTGAGAGCGATGCTGAGTACGTTAGTGGGAGACCATAATGGAAACCATCGTGCTGTAGACTCTTCTTTTTTGGATATTTGAAGGAGTAACTAATGATTTGTGATTGAAAAATTTTTTTTGTACTGCGTGAAAAGGTTGCAAAAAGAGTTGGGTTCCACTGAAAAGTATATTGAGAAACTATACAATTACAATCTGTATATGAAGTATGGACTCTTATCACCCATCTCAATGAGTTCTTGGTCGGTATATTCGTCATAGTAGCCACTTTCCAACCTTCTTTTCTTCATGGAATTTGATATACTATAGCCAATGACATTGATCAACATTGCCACAAGTCCAAGCGATATAAACATTATCTCCATCCCATGGCCCAATAAGTATCTTGGAGAATCCTTGCCCCTGTATATGTTACTGCTATAAGCTCCACTAAAGTTACCGATACCAATCTGGAACCCTATTGCAACCGCACGCTTATAAGTTCCCGAAACGTTATTTGAAAACCAAACCACAACCGAAGGTAATGAAGGATACACACCAAGAGCAACGACAAAAAGAGCTCCGTATACGGAATGAGGATACTTCTCGGGATCCATACTTATACAAACAATATATCCAGCCAACATGCATAAAAAGTTGAAGAGAATAAAAGGAGAACGAAGGCCAAGCTTACTCATAATCAATGCTTGTACAACACAGTATATAGCTGCCACAATATAGATGGGGGCACTCAACAATTGCGCCTTGGTCGATGCATACCCCATAGTTTTGATAAGGGTGGGAGTGAAAAGCGAGATCCCATAAAGTGGAACACAGGTTCCACAGTATACCAAAAGCATGGTCCAACTCTGCCAATCTTTGAAAACTGCCCAGAAGTACTTAGGGTTATTGGAGTGATCTTCTCCTAAGGGAGCGGTTCTTTGTCCATGGCTGATCCCGGAAAGCTTTTTCAAACTCTGTCCATCTGTATTAGAATCGTGCTTGACCCTGTAAGTGACAAACTCACGTTCTCGATCGTTTAGAAATTTTGCATCCTGTGGGAAATCGGGGAAAACGAAGTATGATAGTACCCCAAGAAGAACGGTTAAACAACCTTCGAGAATGAAAATATATCTCCAACCAGCCAACCCACCGAGTCCATCCATTTGAGTGATTGCAGCAGCTAACAAACCTGAAAAGGCACCGGCTATAGAGGCTGCTGAAAAAAATATGGCTTCTCTTACCAAAAACTCATTCTTGGTATAATAAACCGAAAGGTAGAACGAGATCCCTGGAAACAAAGGAGCTTCGAATAACCCCAACAATGCTCTACAGGCAAGCAAATCAGCATACTTTTGTGATAAACCACTTAAAGTCATCGCGATTCCCCATAAAATAATTGCAATAACTAAGAAAAGCGAGGGCTTCACATGTTTTAAAATGGTGTTGCTAGGAATTTCAAACGTAGCATAAAATATGAAAAACACCGTCAAACAGATATTATATTCGTTGCCCTTCAAATGTAAATCTTCTGCAAGTCCTTCTATCTTAGCAGCACCAATATTACCTCTGTCCAAAAAACTTATCAAGTATAAAACTGTGAAGAGCGGCATCAACCTGAAATCAAGTTTTCTAATCAACTTCTTCTGATCAATGTCACTGAAATCTGGCTCTTCCACCACCGATTCGATTTTAGATGCGTCTGGAGAATAACCATCCTCTAAATTCTCAATAGAGCTAGAAACGTTATTTTTATCGGCATTTTTCCCATTTACCCCCAAATATTGATCAGGAAATGGCATTCCAAGTTCTTTTTGTTCTTTTTCTGAAAGAGCAGAACTCATTTCTAAAGCTATAATGTTGTTTAATGTAATCTTCAGAAATTTAATGGCATTGTTAACTTTTTATATCCATGGTATAGAGACCGTTATAACGTCTGCGAAATTCCTGCTAAAAAAAGAAAAATACGTCAAATATCAGGAAGACCCTTGGCAAATTTGATAAGGGCCAACATCACTAATACAAAAGTAGAAATGATTTACATCATTTCTCACTTTTGGATGATCCCATAGCCTTGGAACACTCGTTAAAACTCATCCAACACTACTCCAACTTCGTCAAGTTCCTGAGGTTCCTAAAGCTCTAGGGGATGCTACCTTCAAGTCCCCGCCTCGAAGCCTTGGAAGCCCCAATTGAGCAACGTTTGATTTAGTCAATCAACGGATTTATTAATAAGCGTTGAACGCAATTGGAACGGACCGAAGAGTACTACAGTTGAAATTTGCAACAGCAAATGCAGAATTGCTGTAAGTGAAAAAACTCTAGCCATGGTAGTGTATAACTAATACAGCTTGACTAGAACCATAGTTTTATCTTACAAATTACCATGAGAAACCACGTTTGTCTAGTATTTGATTCTCTTAATTATTAGTAAAGGTAACGAGGAAGGGAGTCCAATTCTTAACTCTAGAAACTAAGCTCGGACTCCCCTCATGAACCCCGAAGCAGAGATAGGTACGTCCGGCTCTGACTTCGAAAATTTCAGAACTACTTGTCAGGAGTTATGCCTCTTAACATCCTTATAGAAGACCCCTCCTCTCTTTCTAAGTGGCTATGGTTGAGCATAAGGGTACCTTAGAGGTTTTACGTTCGTCAAAATCAAGTTAATTTTTCTTTATCATTAAAAAACCGATACTTTTCTACAATCTGTATATGAAGTATGGACTCTTGTCACCCATTTCAATGAGTTCTTGATCAGTGTATTCATCATAGTAGCCACTGTCCAACCTTCTCTTCTTCTTAGAGTTCGAGGCACTGTAACCGATAAAGGTGATAGCCATTGCCACGAGCCCAATAGAAACAAACATAATCTCCATCCCATGGCCTAATAGATATCTCGGGGAATCCTGTCCTCTATATATGTTACTGCTATAGGCTCCACTAAAGTTACCGATACCAATCTGGAACCCTATTGCAACCGCACGCTTATAGGTTCCCGAAACGTTATTTGAAAACCAAACCACAACCAATGGAAATGAAGGATAAATTCCAAGAGCAATAACAAATAAAGCACCGTAAATGGAATGTGGATATTTCACTGGGTCCATACTGATACAAACAACATAGCCAGCTAAAATACATAGATAGTTGAATAGAATAAACGGGGACCGAAGTCCTATTCTACTCAGAATATATGCCTGAAGGATGCAAAACACAGCTGCTACAATATAAATGGGGGCACTCAACAATTGTGCCTTGGTCGATGCATACCCCATGTTTTTAATAATGGTAGGAGTGAAAAGCGAGATCCCATAAAGTGGAACACAGGTTCCACAGTATACCAAAAGCATGGTCCAACTCTGCCAATCTTTGAAAACTGCCCAAAAATACTTAGGGTTATTGGAGTGGTCCTCTCCTAATGGTGCGGTTCTTTGACCGTGATTAAGCTTAGAAAGCTCCTTCAAACTTTCTCCATCTCTATTGGAATCGTGTTTGACCCTGTAAGTGACAAACTCACGTTCTCGATCATTAAGGAATTTTGCATCCTGTGGGAAATCGGGGAAGACAAAGTATGCTAGGATCCCAAGAAGAACGGTCAAGGCACCTTCGAGAATAAAGATATATCTCCATCCTTCTAAACCTCCGATTCCGTCCATTTGAGTAATTGCGGCAGCTAGCAAACCTGAAAAGGCACCGGCTATAGAGGCTGCTGAAAAAAATATTGCTTCTCTTACCAAAAACTCATTCTTGGTATAATAAACCGAAAGGTAGAATGAGATACCTGGAAACAAAGGAGCTTCGAATAACCCCAACAATGCTCTACAGGCAAGCAAATCAGCGTATTTTTGTACTAACCCACTCAAAGTCATGACAATCCCCCATAAGATTATTGCGGCAACTATGAAGAGAGAGGGTTTAACATGCTTCAATATCGTATTACTGGGCATTTCACAACCAGCGTAGAGTATGAAAAACACCGTCAAGCAAAGATTATACTCCGATCCTTGCAAATTCAAGTCTTCTGCAAGTCCTTCTATCTTAGCAGCACCAATATTACCTCTGTCCAAAAAACTTATCAAGTATAAGATTGTGAAGAGCGGCATTAACCTGAAATCAAGTTTCCTAATTAACTTCTTCTGATCAATGTCACTGAAATCTGGCTCTTCCACCACCGACTCAAATTTAGATGCATCTGGGGAAGCCCCATCTACATTCTCAATAGAGCTAGTAACATTGTTCTTGTCGTTGAACTCCTGGTCAACTTCTTCAATATATTGAGCCGAAGGCTTTTCAAGATTCTTATCCATCGATTAAGCTGATTTCGTTATCCCGAGAAGGTTTTGGAAAAGCAATGAACGGAATTTCCAATCTCTTTTATAGTCAGAATGACATCTTACCCCACGTTATATTGTCTGCGAAAAATGAAACAAGACACCCTTTAAGCATGGGGAACTACTCATTTGATGGGACACTCAGGCTACCTGAGCTCTTTCGGGATCGAACTATTACGAGCTCGCTAACTCCTTGGGGGAAGCAATGGGGTCCCCGCATGGGAAGATGGAGTATTGTCGCAAATAAAAAAAAAATAAGTGGGTGGAAAATTCTCATTATCTTATCTATAACCTATACAAGAAGTAGGGACTTTTGTCACCCATTTGAAGTATATCATCATCTGAGTAATCATCGTAGTAACCTGCTTGTAATCTTTTCTTCTTTTTGGCATTTGAGCCACTGTAAATGAAGAATGTGAGTACCAAAGCCATTAGACCAAGCGCAACAAACATTATCTCTATACCATGTCCTAAGAAAAACCGGGGAGAGTCCTGGGTTCTATAGATATTACTACTGAAAATACCACATAGGTTCCCAATCCCTATTTCCAAACCCATTGCCACGGCTCTTTTATAGGTTCCAGCAACGTTATTGGAGAGCCATGCAACCACAATTGGGAAAGATGGATAGATTCCAAAAGCAGTTATGAATAATGCAGCATAGGTTGATTTTGGGTTTGTAGAAGGGTCCATGCATATTAAGATGATGTATCCGGTCAACGTGCACAGAAAGTTGAAAAGGATAAAGGGAGAACGGACCCCAAGCTTACCCAGGATGAGAGCTTGTACAATACTAGCAACTGCAGCAGCGATATAGATTGGGGCCGTAAGTAATTGAGCTTTGGTTGCAGTATAACCTAGATTGTTGATAATGGTGGGTGCGAAAAGTGAAACTCCATAAAGCGGTACTCCAACGGCATAATACATGATGAGGAAAGCCCAACATTGCCAATCTGAAAAAGCTGCCCAGATGTACTTTGGTTTCTTTGAATGGTCTTCGCCTAAGGGAGCGGATCTTTGATCGTTACCGAGTTTTGCCACCTCTTTTAGACTCTCTCCATCTCTATTGGTAGCATGCTTGACCCTGTAAGTGACAAACTCACGTTCTCGATCATTAAGGAATTTTGCATCCTGTGGGAAGTCTGGGAAGACAAAGTATGCTAGGATCCCGAGAAGAATGGTCAAGGCCCCCTCAAGAATGAAAATATATCTCCATCCTTCTAAACCTCCGATTCCGTCCATTTGAGTAATTGCGGCAGCTAGCAAACCTGAAAAGGCACCGGCTATAGAGGCTGCTGA